CAAAAATATGACACTGACAATCTTATTCTCTGTTGACAGCACTACAGTTGAATGATAGATATGCTCAGTCACTTATTTTCCAGAACACAGACTTCTTACAGAAAGAGTATTTCTTGTAGGAATAGTAATTACCCGCTGAGAGTTGCCTTTTGTACAGACATGCCAACCTACATCGTTGGACATAAGGTCCATTATGACTTTCCAGAAATGCATGCTGCCTAGGTATGAAATGATTAGTTGCTGATTAATTTGCAAAAGCTTTTTGAGCTAGGAATGGTTTAATCAGTAAGTGTGTGTGCTCTGCTCTCTGTGTGCATTCATGAAGACTGAAGTGCTGCAGAAAGTTCCAGTTCTTTACCCTCTGAAACTCCTACTTCTCATCTATTCTCATTTTGTCAAGGACTCTATGTAGAGTATAGTAGACCACACATTCAAAATTTATGGGGAATGAAATCTTTGGCAATGGAAAGGTACACTTTACATTCTGGGGTCACAGGAGTCTTTATGAGCAATGGAGAAGATAACATTTTCAGTAAACAGTATTCATCATCTCAGGACTCTCTCCTCTACTCTGGGAGAAGAATCACCTCCATTCCCACCATGATTAGCAGGGATACTCTAATCTTATCTGTTTTCCACATTCAGGCATGCAGACCTCATGCTGCAATTTTTACACAGAGGAATTAAGTTATATTGTTTGGCAAATTAAAAAAAACTGGAAATATGACACATCTCTCACCTACTACCACCACTCTTACCACTATCACTGAAGTTGAAAAAAAAAAGAGTTCTTTTAGATTTATCTGTGGGGGAACAGGGTGCTGAGAGGCATAGAGGCTTCAGCTTTTACCCATTTAAACCACAAAAGACTCCAAATAGCCAAAGAAATCTTAAAAAAAGAACAAAGTGCAGGGTATCATGCTCCCTGGCATCAAACTATACTACAAAGCTACAATAACCAAAACAGTATGTCACTGGCATTAAAAACAGGTATATAGATCAATGCAATAGAATAGAAAGCCCAGAAATAAGTCCTCATGTATATGGCCTATTAATATATGACAAAGGAGGCAAGGACATACAATAGGGTAAAGACAGTCTCTTCAATAAGTAGTGCTGCAAAAAGAATGAAACCAGACCACTTTCTTACATCATATACAAGACTAAACTCAAAATGAATTAAAGACTTAAATGTTACACCTGAAACCTTACAACTCCTCAAAGAAAACATAGGCAGTAAACTCTTTGATATAGCTCTTAGTCATATCTCTTTTTGAGATATCTCCTTGACCAAGAGAAACAAAAGATAAAATAAACAAATGGGACTACCTCGAACTAAATAGATTATGCACAATGAAGAAAACTATCAACAAAATAAAAAGACAACCTACCAAATGGAGAAGATATTTGCTAATGATACATACAATAAGGAGTTAATATCCAAAGTTTATAAGGAACTCATACAACTTAACACCAAAACCCAAGTAATCTAATTACAAAAGTGGTCAGAGGACCTGAATAGACTCTTGTCCAAAGAGGACATAAAGGTGGCCAATAGACATATGCAAAGATGCTCAATGTTACTAACCATCAGGGAAATGCAAATTAAAACCACAGTTGAAATCTCACCTTACACCTGTCAGAATGGCTATCATCAATGAATCAACAAATAACAAGTGCTGGTGAAAATGAGGAGAAAAGGGAAGCTTTGTGCACTATTGATGGGAGTGCAACCTGGTGCAGCCACTGTGGAAAACAGTATGGAGATTCCTCAAAACATTAAAAATATACCTGTGATATGATTCAGCAACTCCACATCTGAGTATTTATCCAAAGAAAACAAAATACTAATTTGAAGTTACATTCACCCCTATGTTCATTGAAGCATTTCTAGTAATAGCCATTCCAAGATATAGAAACAATCTAAGTGTCTATCAATAGGAAGTAGATAGAGAAGATGTAGTAAAAACACACACACAATGGAATAAAAGAGAAAGAAATCTAAAGTAGACCGCACATCCCAACCTCCCCTCTCCCAACCACCCTCACTCCTCTTGTATTTGTGACAAAATGGATGGACCTAGAGGGTTATTATGCTAAGTGCATAAGGCAGAGGAAGACACTGTAATTTCACTTACATGTGCAACCTAAAAAAATGAACAAAACAAAAACATACTCATGGAGAACAAGCTGATGGTTGCCAAACAGGAGGGGGTGGGGAAGATGGGAGTTTAAAATAAACAGATAAATAGATAGATAGATAGATAGACAGATAGATGATAGATATAGATCACACTGTAGTATGGCGCGTGCGCGCGCACACACATACACACACACACACACACACACACAAAATAAACCCTGGAAATTTTACCTGAGTGAATCCTTATGAAAGCTTCAATCAGAGAGAAAGCAAACTTACAGGGGGAGGAGGTTGAAGCCGCTAGCCAGGGGTATGGCTGAGGTTCCGCACCTGCTCTGAGAGCCCAGTACACCCTGCAAACCCTCAGAAGAGGGCCTGGCTCCTTTCTGAAAGCACATCCCAGGCCTGGCATTGGTTTGGAGCTCTCAAAGAGTGACATGTTTTGCAAACCTGGCTGTGTCTGTGGCTCAACGCTGGTTCTTAAGACAAATGATAAAACTGCCTACTCTGTAGAGGCAGTTTTGGAAATCGCCCATCAGAGCCCATCAGCTGACCATGCACTTCCAGGTGGTGTGATTCTGGCTGAGCTGAGCCTGGAGCAAGGTGCAGTGCCATGCCAGCCTGCTCCAACAGGTGCAGCCTGTCTTGAAGACTACAGGCAGCTCTTGGTGAGTTTACATGTAGTGGCATCAGTGGCTATAGCCAGTTTAAAAAGACATAAGTGTAAGTGAATATAAACTATTAGGAAACAATTTGGCAATGGCTAACTACAAATATAAAAATATTATGTGCTTTGGCCTCGTAGTGTTACTTCTAAGAACTTACCCAAGAAAAATAAATAAGTTTACATTCTATGACATTCATTTTAGGAGGTTGGTGAAACACATTATGGTAAATTCATTTGATGGATTACTCTACACTCAAAGACCTAAGAAATAGGCACCATGTAGTTTTTTAAAACCACATAAAATATATATAGTATAATTGTGATTTTGTAAGAAAACACAAAGAATAATAGACATATAATTAAATATAAACAGATTTCTGAGTGATTAAATTTTGGGTGATTTTATGCTTCTTTACATATTCCAATTTTTCTATAATTTACATATATACCATTTGTATTCAATAAGATAATGTTATTTAAAAATCCTTCCACTCATACCCTGGCTCTAAATCACCATTCCTAAGAAATCTGGCCTTTCTGGAGCTAGCACAGTGTGGGGCGGGGGGTGGGGGGGGCGCTGGAAGAGAGGAGTGAGGGTGGTTGGGAGAGGGGAAGTTGGGCTGGGGGTTTTGCAGGCTGCACTGTGTGGGGTGTGGGAGCAGAAAGGAGCCCAATCAAAGTTCTGGGTGGGGAAGCGAGGCCACTTCCTTTCTGGGAGAAGGGAATGTCAGCATGCCCTGCCCAGGACCACTGCCTCTGCCATGGGGTTACTGTGAGTGTGGCAAAAATTCAACAACCCTGAGAACTGAGGAGTGAGGTCAAGGGGTGCCCAGAGGGAGGTTGAAGCAGCCCAGGAAGGCATACAATTGCTTCTTGGTCACTTGGTGCCCCTGGAGAGACTGTTGCCCAGGGAGAGGGGCTGAAAGCTTTCTCACAACCCAGGTCCCACTCCTCTGGACCAAAAGGAAACCAACGGTGGACATGTCATGACCTGGCCAGTCGGCCCCCAGAGAGCTCACAGCCCCTCCATAGACTGTCACCCCAAGGTCGGCACAGAGGGTACCAGTGGTAATATTTGTATGCACTTGACAGTTTACAAATAATCCCCATGCTAGTTCCGTAGAGGAGCTGTAAACATTCCTTTCAGAGAACACACGTTTGCAATCTGAGAAGAACTATGGTGAGGGCTTTCTCTTTCCCCAACTGTAATTCCATCTGTGACACTCTCTTCTGCCTTCTGGTGGCTGAGATTACAGTCAGCAGAGGCAGACAGACAGCTGTTTCTCAAACTACAAAGTGACGGGAAAACCATGGTATTAGTGAAGAGTTATTTGCCCCTTTATAGTGAATCTGGAAAGTGCTGATAAATAATCAGCACTAATGAATAACTTTGTAGATTCAGTTAAGGCAACACCAGGAACCCAAAAGAGAGAATCACCTGTTTAGTGCAGACCTGCCAGAGACAGGTGAAATAGATGCTCTTTGTGCAGACTTAGTGTCTGAGTGGTAATCACCTGGTGAAATTTTCACTTGCAAATCAGTGTTTTCTGAAAATGCATGACTCAAGGTCATACACGACCCAGCATAGCTCTCTAAAGTCCACCAGCTACCCTCTGCTGAACAGCCCCTGTGATGGGGACCTGCAACTTCCCCAGGGGAACATTCATGTTCACACAGACATGTATGTCAGAAAGCAGACCCAAAGACTGCAGTGTGGGGGCCATAAAAGAGCACTGAGTTGAAGGGAAGATGGCTCAGCCTCAGAAGTGGTGGGCACAGAGCTGTAAGAACACCCCCTGACACTATGATGTCCAAATTTCAGAATTATGTGTTATTTCCTCCTGATGAGCAAACGCTGTGTAGAAGATACAGACTATGAGTACTTGCAGTCTTCTTTATTAGGGAGAGTAGTGCTGGGTAATAATATTAGCCTAGAACATGGTTCATTATTTTGTAGATAAAACTAGCAGTGATTCATCTTTCCCATTGACTACTGTTAGCTTGCCATACAGAGCTTTAATTATAGTATGTATATCCATCTCAGCTTCCCTACTAGATAGTTTTAGCTCTTAGGGAATTGGTCATCAAGCGAGAGTTGACTGATAGCAGATTGTACGTGGGAAGCCAAGTGGATTATAGGTTTATTAGATTGGTTTATTTGCTATTTTATGAATATTATGTGTTTCCCAACTTGGACTGCATATGCCTTCAGGGCAGGAATTACTTCTTATACCTGACTATAGACCCAACACCAAGCACACACACTACCTACCAGTATATGCTCAATAGTTATTCGTAGAAAACTGTGTTGCAGGGGGCACATGTACATTGAACAGGTGCCGAAGAATTATCATGATTAACAAAGACCATCAAGTCACTGGCTTTATGTTAATAAAACATCATAAATTAAAGAGTACACTGCATTAATTTAACCTCATAAATTATAACCCCTTAACAGATATAAAATTTTTGTATTTTTAAAGTGCTTTAAAAGATATTTATTTTTAACCAGTGGAAAATAATGTTCTTTAAAAGACATTTCATTTTTAGTGAAAAATAATATTACCAAAAGCATATAACAATTTGTTCATTGTCAAGAAATGGGATTTTTATATAAAACACAGATGTTGCAATGAATGCCAAAATGATGGTTATGGGTGGTCAAAGTTCAAAACTGGATTTGCTATTAAATCCACCCTCATGGTGTCTTAAGTCAAGAATGACCTTGAGCAGGGAGAGGGAGGTGTGTTGGGAATCAGTGCCTTTCAAGGTGAATTTCCTCACTGTATAACTGGTTTGAGTCAGTGGTTGGGACAGCCATTCAGATTCACAGTCCCCTGAACTTCCACAGCTTCAGTGACAGGGATGGGGATGTGGTTGACTTGAATATTCTTTAGGCAGCCGAAAAATGATTTCCAGACAGGGAGCTTCAGGGTCTTCAAATTGGCTGAAAGAGCAAAAGGAGAGGTATTCATAATTCATACTGTCAAATGAGTGCTCCCAATTTAAAAACTAGAGTTAAAGGGACCCAGAGTGTCAGCTGACCCAGTCATTTCCTCCCTTTAAACAGGTACCCAACACCCCACCCACTGCGATAAATCAGCACAAGGCAATTGTTCAAATTCTTCAAAGAAGGAGATTCCACAGCCCAAATCAGTAGATAATAACTCTGAATGCAAGTGCTTTTTATGGGTCATGGAAGACCTGTGAAATTAATGATTGAACTATTTGGAGGGACACTAAACGATGAAGATTGACAAGACTCTTTTCAGGCAAAATTCCAGTCCTGAACTTGTCTCATCTCAACCTACCTGACTGTCCCACTCTGGCCCCACGAATCTTAATAACTCACCAGGAAAACTTAATGCCTGGAGAGGAGAGGCCAGCTTCTCAGCCCCCTTCCTCATTCTTTGCTGGTATCAGGCTTCTTGGTTAAGAGAGGCTTGTAAATTATAGACGTGGGACAGGAGGAAGCAGCAGCAATGTGGCCTGGGCTGCCATGAAATGTGCCCATTGCTGCAACTGGGTGTCCCCATGTGCTGGAGCAAAGGGCCTCAGCATTCCCACCGTACAGTCAACGGTGGCTCTCCTGATGACCCACAGCTGGGGTAGCATATTCTTTGGGTTAAACTGGAAATGTTAAGAACTGACAAGGGACAACATGGCATGGAAGTCATGACGAGAGTTACCTGGGACACCTCCTATGTACAGTGGCTCCTGAGTGCTGGCAGGTGGGAAGGGGAGCTGTCCAGCCGTGTAGTTATTGTCTGCATCCAGCTCCAGCTGCAGGATGTGTTGCTTTATGGTGACTGCAGGGGAAGCAAGCTGGTCAGGTGGTGCCTGAGGAGAGCCCTGCCCACTGTTCAATGCCTACACTAGTGTGCAACCACTGGCTTCTTTGAACTCATTCCTGTCGGACCGGTGGGGCACTGTTCTCAGGAATTCAGTCAACCAGACATACATTCAGTTCATTTCTCCACACCAGGTGGTGTTTAGGTGCTCCCACATTTATTACAGAATTTAATCCTTAAACTTTATGAGATAGGTATTATCACTCCTACTTCCCACATGAGAGACTGACTCTCAGGCATTAAGGAGCTTGACAAGACGGCTTGGTCATAAATTGTATGGTCTCCTGGTCTCCTGTCCAGGGTCTCCTGTCAGGCCCTGGTCTCCTGTCACCAGAAGCCATGCTTATGTCACGTGATCTCAGCTTCTTCCCAAGAGGACACTGACTTCAGGAAACTAACTCCAAAGACAGTCGCTTTTGTGCCTCTAAGTAATTCCGCCCATGTTAATAGTCTTCACTGACAGCAAAGTCGTTAGCTTTCAAATTAGGCAAGAAAAGGCTAGTTTTTTACAAAGATATTTTAGCCAGTATAGGTTAATATATCTCCAAACTTGTGCCCACAAATTCTTCAAAAAACTGCAGATAGCAGCCCCAGAGAAAGGCTACACCTGTGCTCTGTCCAGTGGTTTGTCTCAATCGTTTGCATTCATATTAAATGGGTATTTAAAAAAACCCAACACTGAACTTCAACAGTAGTAAGAGCAAATATTTACTGAGCACTTACTACATATTGGACATTGCTAAGCACTTTACGTACACTATTCCATTTAGTTTCCACAACCCTGGGAAGTATATACTCTTTTTATCTCCATTGCACAGATGAGGAAACAGACTATGAAAAGCAATTAAGTAGTAGCTTGCTCAAGGTCCCACAGGAAAGGCCTGAAATTGAGATTTGACCTCTGTTCTTTTTGACTTCAGACTCAAAATCTAAATCACAGCGTAATACTACCTTAAAAACAAACACAGCTTATCAGTTTTGTGGGCTCAAAAAACAAAAATGTCAGTATGTTGTGGAGAACTGGAGGCAGCACCCAGAAATTACATAAACATGGTGGGGGTGAGAAGGGACATGTCCTCACCATATTGTGGACCCTGAGAAGAAAGAGTCATTTGATGTGCAGCCTAAGAAGGAATTTATTTGCTGACATGGACTCCTCATGGTCAACCAAGGGCCCAAAGTTTATGACTAATAAGAGCCTAGAGGCCATCTGCTGACGGGGCTCCTCGCATACTCTGCATACTGGGAAGAACCTTGGACTGAACTCTCAGCTTCCTGTGCAAGCAGAGGGGTCCAGCTTCTTGGCTTCTCTGGGCCATACGTTAAATACACTGGGACACATAATCACACACACAAAAAATCACATAATGTTTTAAGTAAGTTTACAATTTTGTGTTGGGTCACATTCCTAGCCATCCTAGGCCACAGGTTGGACACCCCGTATGTCCTGATTGTTTGCGTCGTTTGAGTCAACACGACAGGTTTCATCTGTTGACCGATGGACTAAGATCTGCCTTACCCAATCAGATCTATACAAATTGTATCCTCATTTGCGTCTGTATTGACCAATCAGAACTGCAAAATTTACAGACATCATTTGCATAAAGTTGGGAACTTTCATTATAAAAGATTGCTTCCCCTTTGTCTCAGTGGAACACAATTTAGGTTGCTACCTGAATTTATGTCTCCTGGGCTGCAGCTCCTTTTGCTCAATAAAAGCTTTTTTATTCTTTATTATACTCTAAAATTAATTTTGGTTTATAGTTTTAATCTGGTGGGCTGACCTTGGTCAGACACTAATGGATTCATGAACGCAGGCAGCGTTTGGGACATTCAAGTCAGATGAACAGGGAGATTGTTTCAGTGAAGAGGCTACCAGACGTCATACCTGACACTGAATGCCACTGTCCATCACACAGAGACTGCTTTGGTGTGACCGATGTCAAGATGCCACCCGCCTCACTGTCCACGGAGGCCATGACCTGCAACACACATTGCATTTTCCAATTTCCTTCAGAAAGACAGGTGGAGCCAACTGCCTCTGGCCTCTTCCCTCCCCAACCCTTCCACCCCAACAGCCCAAGAGCACTTTAGGTACAAGTCCCCCCGCCTACACCGAGTGATCACATGGGGTCCAGGACTTTGCAGGAATCCTTCTGCTGCATCCTTCAAAGCAAGCAAGCTGCACACTTAGAGTTCTTTCTGAAGTTGGTGCTAAAGGCAATAAGCTCTTCCTTCTGCATCGGAACTCCACCCCTGTCAGGTCCTACTTGGAGGTTACTGATTAGCATGGAAGATCTCCTTAGTCATTAGATGTGACAGTGGCTTGGTTTAGAAGGACATGTAAAATTTGGAAGGCAAAAATGCTGGCTGAGGCCTACATACTGCTGCTAGGGCCAGCCCATTAAAATAAGGCCATCAATGCATGATTTATAGAAGGGTTGGAATTCACAGAATCCTACAAACTAACTGGATTGGCACAAGTCATGTGTCAGGGGTCAGGCACTCAACGTGTTACTGTGTAAAATCTCGCATTCTCATTCTCTGGGCCAGGATTCCCCAAGCGCCAAATGAAGGTGAATGAAATGAGAGGACTAAGTGTTGATAAGTAATTTATATTTAATGTGCATGTAGCTAGACAGTGCAGCCTATTCTCAGGGAACTTTCTAGCTAAACAATGTGACTTCTGTTATGGAGGTCATCAGGCCTTGATTTCAACTTCTGTGATTATTTCCCCTCCAGAAGCTCTCACTGGAGACTGTCCCCAACCTCCCTCCTCCCCAAAAAGCCAGCCTTCTCCCAACCCCTGGCAAGCAGATAGCTGCTCGCTTCTCCGGCTGCTCAGAGGCCTGCTCAGACTTAAATGCTGCAACTTTTTTTTAATAAAGTGTTCTTCTAGGAGTTTGGATGATTTTATTTTCTTCTGGGTGTTTTCCCCTCACATTTATAAAGTGTGGAAGGATGCAGGTGGAAGAAAATTGCACATTATTGATCTTTGCCTTGAGGCCTTAATTAAGAGAGGCTTCCTAGAAAAATTTGGTTTTAAAGAGATTTTTGTGAAGAGAAAAGCAATATAAGTGGGTCATGAAAATAAGATATTGATGGGGCCTGTGAGCAATGGGATGGATGGAGCCGCAGAAACAGACCCCGGAGAAGGAATCGGTGAACTGCAAAGGAAGCCAGTGGAGACCTGGTGGCCAGTGTGGCTGCAGGACCGGGGGCCCGGTAAGCTGTGCAGAGAGGACGAAGGGAATCTGAAACAGATTCAGTGGACAGGGCATGGGCACAGGTGTGACATGGTGTAAACATCTGGTGAGAAAAGGTGTGCCATGAATTCTGGCACTGCCCTTAGGAATAAAAGTAGAGATGAGACAAGGGGGAGGGGCGGAAGAGAAAAATGACCACTTATGGAGTATATGGCAGCTTCTATTCTCCTGATAGATGCCCTAAGATACAAGCATTATTATCTACACTCTAAAGATAAAGAAATCGAGTCTGAAAGAGGTAAAGTAACTTCCCTAAGGTCATACTGCTAAGTGGTGCAGCTGGAATTCAGCCCAGCTTGAGTTTTCCTACTTTTAAAGATGAAGAACAGAAATTATGATATGGTCACATTAGTTGCTAAAGGGAAGGGGTGAGTCAGCCCTAAAGTCAGGTCTCTTAAATACAAGCTTGGATTCACTATCATTACTTCCCCTAGTGTGGTCTCCAGAAGTGGAACCTGCTTCTAATGTAAATTTGCACGCTCTTCCACATCATCACGCTGCTACGCACCTTCCCTGCCTCCATGTAAACACATAGGTGCCTCCCGGGTTGACTGCCGACATGTATTAGCATTCCAGTAAGACTTCTTGGACGAATGCTGAAAAGGAGCTTAAATTCTGGCCCCAACAACACGGAGTTAGCTTCAAAAGAAAAAAATGAACAGTTAAAACATCATAAGTCAAGAAAAAGGATGGAGTTCTTCAGACTCAAAGACATAAATTCTTCCAAACTGCTTCTTACCTAGTTTGATGTGACCCTCTTCTTGGGAGAAATAAATGCCTTTCTCCAAAGAGTCAGTCAAGCAGGGAGACACCCCAAAGCTTTCAGAGGGGGTGTCTAGTGGTTTTGAATCCAACTGAAAGTTCCTTAGGCATCCCACAAAGTTCTTTCGGGGAAGACTCTGCAACAATGCAGAAGAGAGAACAAACTTCATTACCCGCAACTTTCAGATGCCAAGGTTAAGGGCAGGGGCAGTTGTCTGCTAAAGGCAGAAGGTTGGGGATTCATTCCCTCTGTTTCAAAGGGTCATGTGGGCTTGCCTTCCACTTGGCTCCCTGTGCACAGTACCAAGAACAACCTGGATACCAGACATCTTGGTGGGCTGTCAGAGTTTGAAGGTGCTATGTGTGCAGAGAGCAGGCTGGTGGAGGTTGTCTGCGAGTGCTGGAACAAGGACAGGTGGGTGCCCTGACTCTGGGCCACGCAGATGGAGCCACAACAGGGGAAGTTCCACCTCACATGTCACAGATCTCACCCTCTCTTTGCAGGTACAGACCACTTCTTAGGGTTTCATGTGCTCATGTGGTTGCTTAATGCAGGGCAGCTGACTGAAGAAAGAGGCCAAAACATTCCCAAAATGGTAAAGTATAAAAAGGTTCTGTACACCACTGGGCTCCTTGAATGCACTGGAATTAAAATGAGACACAGTGTGCAGCATTGGTGGGTTTGCGTGAAGCCCAGCCTGCCCGACACGCAGGTGGGCCTGAAACAGCAACTCTCCCCCGGGTCCTAGGGATGCGCTTCTGAGTCCTGGGCTCCCTGAAATCATGCACCAGATATCCTCTGCACATGCGTTTTCCTGGGGAGTGGGACTGTAGCTTTCATAAAATTCTCAAAAAAAGGTGAAGAGTCACTGAATTAAATCCCTAAACTCCCTTCTAGAATCAATGCCTTTAGGACCCTGGAAGCCTGCATGACAGATGCAAGGTGTGATCATTTTAAGAGAATAAGGAAATATTGGAGCGGCATGTGGTGCCAGTGTCGACGATAAAGTAATGATTGGGCTTCCTGTGAAATTTTTAGTCTCTTCAGATTTTCCATCGTGTACAATACTAATGAGCCTGTAGCTCAGACCCAGCTCTGACTCTCCAAGACAGGCCATCGCCTGACACTGAGACTCACAGGGGTGTCCAACCTTTCGGTGTCTCTCCGTCACACTGGAAGAAGAGGAGTTGTCTTGGGCCACACGTTAAATACATCATGACACATAATCACAAAAACACTCAACATTTTAAGTAAATTTAGGATTTCGTGTCGCGCCATAGGCCGGACACCCCCACAGGTCTAGAGGCTGGGGCTGCAGGCTTTGGTGTCCGGCGGCACGCCGGCTTGGCGGCACACCGGTTGGGTTGCATGTAGCCTGCCCTTCAGTAGGATTTGGAGGACGGTGACCCAGTGATAATCTTTCAGGGTGAAGGAAGGCTGCAAAAAGGACCTTGGCTTGTAAGAATGTTATAAATGGGGTTCTACAGATTGTCCCAGATATCAGGGTGCCCGGTGTGAGGTATCCAGGTCAAAAGAATACCCGGATTGTGCCCTCCATCAGCTGCCCCGCCCTGTGGTTTCTGAGAGGGAAATAGGTACAGAGGCTTCAGAAAAGCAAACAGTAATGCTGAGTATCCTCCTTAGCAATTAATATGTTGTACATATATATGTGTTATATAATCTATTGTGTTATATATTATTTATGATATAAATATTATTATATATAATAAATAAAACCAATACTTTATGACTTGCTGGGGCTTTGACCCGAACCCCAGTGCAAAACTCAAGGGGGCCAGGCTGAGCCCTGTGGGGACATCCTGGCCTAGGCAAGGTCAGCCTGAACGCACAGAATCCACGCTGGCGGAAACGACCTGCTTTAATTATGCCCATTCCCAGGCCCACATTTGCGTCTTGGCCCTTCCTCCACCACTGCAAGCAAACATCGCACCAGAATGGGCCACCACCCATGGAGAAAGGGGCAAGAGGGGCTGAGCACCTGGCCACGCATTTAGGTAGAGGGCAGTTCCTAGGCCTGAGCTGCTGACAGAACCATCTTAGTCAACTCTGTCAGGGAAAAAAGCAAATCTGAGAGAACTGAGGGTGGGTACAGCTTCCCCAAGCAAACTAGGTGCAACTGGTGCTCTGGCAGCGTGGGGAGAGGGCACTGCAGAGCTCAACCTTAGATCTGTGGGTCCATCAGTGCCATTGAACTTGAAAGATCCAGGGACATACCCCTCCTTCTTGGGAAACAAATGGGCTTGTGACTTTCCCTTAGCCCAAAGTTCCCCCAGTTTTGTTCTTAATATAATTTTATTTTAGACACCAAATAATATTAAAACACATATTCAGGGCAAGGAACAAATTTCTGTTTTGTGCAAATATGTTTTAAACGCCTCCTGATCACTTGTCAGGCTGCTTTTTCTCTACATGAAGGGAGTGCGGGCAACACTGTCTAGCCAGACTTTTTAAATACTTTGATTTTCACATGTTTATTTTGGTGGTTACCTACTATTTATGGTTAAGAATAGTGGGTTTCCATTTAGGAAAGAGAAAAGGAGATCCTTTAGAAACAAATTCAAGTTAAACAGTGGGTTCATTGAGAGCAAACTATTAAATGAATGTCTCACTGAGTATGGCAAAGATGGTGAAGGTGGCATAACCTGCTAAAGTCTGAAAAATATTATCTTAACCCAAAATCCCCATCTACAATGTAAAACCTACGTTTCTGCATTCCCTAGAATGAGAATCTAAGAGAGCCACATCTCTAAAGCCACAGGGAAGCCCAGGGCTCACTCCTTCAGGGCCTGCCCGTGTCTTAAGCTGCACCTTTAAAATGAAAGGCTGGGAATGGGGAGGGTATATGGACATTAATTAGATTATTTTAAAAATCATTTAGAGTATTTTGATAGTCCTGAATACCTTGTATAATTATAATGATTATGTTATAAACTGAATTATTTATCCATGGCTCTGAAGCATAACCACTCACCTTCGGTTTCCCTGAAGGAGACGATCCCAGGTAAATTGGTGTGCTGAGGCTGAAGGTGGAATTTCCAGGCCAACTCGCCTCCCAGGCCCTCAGACCATCTACAACAAAGCGCCACTTCTCTCCATCTTGCCCGAAGGCCACCTTAAGAGTAAGGACAATAAGTTAATCACATTTTTGCCTTTGACAATTGCTGCTGTCATGGGAAATTTTTAAAAAGTGTTTTTATGTTTCTTCAAGTAGCTTTTAAAAATCAGAGCTTTTTCTCTCTAGGGTTGTTATCATCATCATCATTGTCATCATCATCATTTTGTAGTGTTATATTAGATATTAAACAAGTAAGCCAAACATGTGAGCAGGACAAAAAAAAAGACCCAAGGTTGCTCAAAAGTAAACTAATAAAGATATAGTTAATCTGAAAACTTATAAAAAACATAAACAATTGAGGAACTAACAGAACATAACAGAACAGAACTTAGTTACATACACCCATGTAACTAAGGGGAGCAGTAGCTTGTGCAGACCTAGGAGCGGGGTGGGGAGTCACATGCTCCCTTGAGCGGGGCTCCTAGAGGAAGGGGCCAGTGGCTACTTCTCTGTCAACAAGACGAACAAGTGTTGTAAACTCTCTGCTAAAAGTCAAGATATCTGGGCTCCATGGTGGACCTGGTGGCTATGCGACTGTTCATTAATGGCTCCCCAGTTTATACACTCAGCTGCCACCTCTGGCCCCTACCCTCTCCCCACATGTCTGACAGGCAGCTCGGCTTGAGGATGCTCACACCGGAACTCTGGCTTTGACCCAGCTCTACACTGCTCCTTCCCCGGCCACGTCCACGTCCTCCCCATCTTTTTCATCTCAGCAAAAGTTTCACCATTGACCCAATTGCTGGTTCTAATTAATTTCAGGACTCAATATTGCCTCTTCTTTCTCTCACACTCTACATGCAATCTACATGGATGGTCCACTTCTATCTCCACCACAGTCTCTCAAAGCAAAGGCGCTAGCATCCATCTGGTCTACCTACCTCTACTTTTACCCTTTTTAAGTCTCTTCAGCTAAGGAGAGTTTTGAAAATGTAAATCTGTTCATGCAATGCTCCATTTTTTTTTTGGTTTTAGACTCTTCAAAAGCTTCAGAGACACTCAGAATAAAACTTAAAATCCTTACCCTGGTCTTCAAAGCTTACATTATGTGGCCCCTGCCTTGCTTTTGAATCCCATTTCTTATCCTTTCTTCTCTGTTTGCTTAGCTAACTCCTACCTCAGGGTCTTTGCACCTGCTGTTCCCTCTGCCTGAAACACCCTCCCTATAACTTCATGTGGCTGTCATATCCCAGAGGAGGCCTTTTTTCACTACCCTATGTAAAATAGTCTCTCTACTCAGTTACTTCCTTAGTTTGCTTTACTATTTTCTCAAAGCACTTACCAGCACCTGACATTATAGCGGGTGGAGGTGTTGTTTATATGCTCCAGGATGGCAACTCATTAAATACTTGTTAACTGAGTACAACCTGTCAAATGACTTAAGTTTTCTGAGTTTTAGTTCCCTTATCAGAAAAAAAATGCAGGTCCCTTCTTGCTTTAAACTGTACTTCTTTAAATCTGGGATGTCTGAAGGTAAGAGCTAAGATGCTAGAGATGTGGCTTGTTTTTTTTTTATCCTTGTCCAAGGATACATTTATTGATTTAAGGATTCAAGAGAGGGGGGTGGAGAGAGATATATATATCAGCTGTCTCTCATTCAAAACCTGACCAGGGATCACACCTACAACCTAGGTATGTGCCTTGACCAGGAATCAAACCCACAGCCTTTTGGTGCACGGGACGATGCTTCAATTAACCTAGCCACCCAACCAGCACAAGATGTGGGTCTTTCTACTTGTGCTATGGGGAAAGCTCACAGAGGGGACTGGAGACCTGGAAATTGTTCTGAAAGAGAGAAATGGTCCAGGAGGCTGGGGTGGGAGCAGGCAAGGTGAGTGAGACACCCCAGAGAGACACGGAGGGGACTGAAGGAACAGTGAGGAAAGCCATCTTGGCATTGAAGATGGCTTCCAGGCACGGCATGCGCAGCGGTCTCCAGCGCTGAGGTTCCAGCGCCGCCCCAGCACTCACCGTGTGCCACTTCCCGTCGTTGCACTTCTTTTTGCTTTTGAGCCTCAGCTTTTTCTCTTCTACTCCCAAAGCAAGGACCAGCCGTCCCTTTGAGAGATAAAGAGCCAGAAAGGAGTTCTTGGTGCCCGTGTAAAACACAAGCCCTCTGGAGGATGTCGTCTTCATGTCCACAGCAAACTGTGGCCTGCGGGGGAAAGACAGCAACAGGCAAGGAAGGAAAATAGAAGTTTTTAGTGTTTTAAAATCTTCAAAGCTGGGAGAGAGGGTGAGGGGCAAACACCCAACCCCCATTATTTAAATAAACAGGCATGTGCTAATTAAATGACCTATCGAGGAACTTTTTAAAAATCCTCACCTGAGGATATGTTTATTGATTTTAGAGAGAGAAGGAGAGAGAAAGGAAGGGAGAGAGAAACATTGATGTGAGAGAGACACATTGATCGGCTGCCTCCCATACGTGCCTCAACTGGGGATGGAACCCGAAACCTACGTGTACGCGCCCCGACTGCCAATCGAACCCACAACCTTTTGGTGTAGGGGATGATGCCCCAGCTGAGCAACCTGGCCAGGGCTCTGGGAACTCTAAAAAGTCATTATAGGCAGCTGTTAAAAGCTGTGTTGTATAAGTTCCTCGCTGAGTCAGGGAATAATGTGGAAGTTCCACACCAAGCTTAGGTAATAGGGTAAGTCCCAGCACATGGCAAGGAGGAAGATGCCTGACTTAAAAAAAAAAAAACAACATTAAAAAAATTACAGTAGCACTGGACAGGTGGCTCAGTTGGTTGGAGTGTCGTCCTTTACACCAAAAGGTTGTGAGCTCTATTTCTGGTCAGGGCACTTCCTAGGTTGTGGGTTTGATCCCTGCTCAAGACATGTATGGGAGGCAACCAATTAATGTTTCTTTCTCTCTTTCTCTCCCCTTTTCTCTCTCTCTAGAAACATATTCTAAGGTGAGGTTTAAAAAAGTATGCTAAAATACGCATAACATAAAACTTACCATCTTAACCATTTTAAAGTGTTCAGTTCAGAGTGTTAAGTACACTCACACCATTGTACAGCCCATTTCCAGAACTCCTTGCATTTTGCAAAACTGAAATGCTGTACCCATTAAACAACAACTCTGTTCTTCCTCATCCCCTGGCCCCTGGCAACCACCATTCCATATCCTGTCCCTGAACTTCACTGCTCCCGGCACCCGCTGCGAGTGAAACCGTGCAGTGTGTCTTTGTGAGCAGCTTATCTCACTAAGCAGCTCCCCCTCACGTACTCTTTACACCCTGTGAACAGGCGTTCCATTTTGTACCCATACAAGGAGAAGGTGTAAGGAGGAGTTGGGGGATAATTTGAATAACAAGGATTTGATTTAAGCATCGGGTAAGCATTTTCTTTCTGTAAGATACATTTAACACTGAGGCACAGGGGTGGAGTTCTACCTTCACCCACCCACCTTTGTTTCTCGGACCTTAATACTCCACTTCTGATAAAACAGGAATTAAGCAAGCATCATACAGTAAAAGCAGAGAAGCAAAGTTAATATTCATTTGCATGGTGGTTACGTATCATATATACAGCTGGCTAAACAGGCTTTACTTTCAATGAAAGCTCACATTCATTTGTCTATCCATCCATCCACTTATTTATTCATTCATTTAACAAACATTTAATGAGTGTGTAGTATGTATAAGTGTAGTATGTATAAGGCACTGTGGTGGAGACAGAGAATGCAGTAATGGATGTCTCACTCCTTGAGCAGTTTATGGAGCACAGGTGCACTGCAACAGGTGCCCAAGGCACAGTAGGAAGGCATGGTGGGAGATACAGGTGTTAACAGGCTGCCAGCACCCATTCCTCGTGGTCCATGTCTAAGTGCACACCCGACAGAGGGCAGGAACCGGGTCCACCCTGCTTAAAGCTTCATCCCCAGTGCCTAGCACTCAGTAGGCACTTAAGTATTAGTTACTAAATTGAATTAAATGGTATATAGAAAATTTGGAGGCAGAATAAGGAAGCAGAAGGAAGAAAATCACATTAACTTCTCTTTGCTTTTTAATTCTGTGAGGCTGAGCAAACAATGAGATGCACTTTAATTCTTCAATTAGCAAGTCTCCTTAAGGGTAATGTTCTTCATGGTTTTTTAAAATCTATATTTGTTAAATTAAACCAACCAGATGGTGACACTGCTCAATATTTCTTGTGGTGTACCTGCATTAGCACGGAGGTTTGGAAAAACGAGAGTTAGGCAGTTTAAGGGAGGACAGAACTTGCTACAGAATTTAAGTACTTTACATATGTGGGCTTGGTTAGTAGACTTGACATTTGCTCTCCAGAATTATTCCTTAGAGCAACTTTCAGAAAAGACTAACTGATTAACACCCAAAAAAGGCAGTGGCAGGAGCCGCACTGTAGTCTGAGGCCCTTCCCACCCACCCCTCCCCTCCCCTCTCCTCTCACCAGTGGCAGGCCCCTATCTCAGCTAAAGGCTCTCCTTGCCAGCTCCTACCTCCTGCCCCCTCCCCCTTTATCTTCCGCAGGAACAATGAATCTCCTGCACATCTAACCCCATCCTGACATCTCCAGCCTAGAGGAAGTGGCATATGGCCCAGGCTCACACAGCCAGCAAGGGGCTGAGCAGGGACTGAAAGCCAGGTCTCTTGGACCCCAGGGAAATTCTGCTCCTACAGGTAAGTCATAAAGGAGTTTTTGGCACATTTTTATTTTGGCCTCTTTCAAATCACATGAAAATGACAAACCTTGTTTTTCTATTTTTCTGACAGAATTAATATCTGTGCTCCTTCCTTCTTCCCCAAAAGAGATGCAACTTGTTAGCACAAAAAGTCCAAATGTATCCTATAAAAATGATCTATCTGGCAGAGAGTCTACTGAAAAGAACGATTTTCCTCTGATTATGGAATGCAGGAGAAGAAAGGTGGTTTGTCATGGAAATAAATAGCAGCTTTGGAAAGAATTATCAGCCTTATTTTTAGAACACTGTCAGTTCTAAAGCAGAGCCGAGCCGACTGTTCCAGCCCCGGAGCCATGCGTCACGTGTGCCTTCCAGCTGCCGGGCGGGAGCCCGCTCCAGCAACCACGCTGCGTGTCCTGTGCAGGCCGGCACCTCTTTCACGAAAGTGGCGGTGCCACCATCATCAGTGACAGGTGTAGAGTTTCATGCCAGCTAGCCTGACCTGGAGTAAAATTATAGAGTTAGGTTCTGAGTTGGTGTGGGGGCAGGAAAACTAAATAATACCTTGGTTTTAGCAACTCCTGGGGAAGCATGAATATCAAGTGGCTGGTGGGACTGTCCCCAAACCTGAGGGCTCCATGACTGGCATGGGTCCAGGGAGGTGATGGGCAAGACTGAGCATTCTGCCACAGCTGCATGCTCCTTGGGGAGGCCGCTGGTGTGTCCTGCATTGGCTGTGTGGGAAAGAAGCACAAAATTAGGGCTGCTAATTGTCACAGGGAAGAATGAAGAACACTTATCTTGCTAAGTGCTTAGCAGTTTTTACCTTGGATCCTAAGAGAGGAATTCAATATAGATGAATTCATCCTTGGGAAGGAAGGGTGTCATGCCTGACCTACAGAAGTCTGCTCTCTTTCCTGAGAGCACTGCACTTGGAACCAGCCATGTCCAGAGCCCCTCTCCATTTTGGGGCTTCATTGGAACCACAGTGTCCCCTGAGAGCCAGCATTTGGTCAGCAGCACCAAGGCCTAAACAGGCAGCCAGTGGGATGTGGAACTGCCAACCTGCCACCTCCCCTGGGCCACTCACTCGGGCTTTAGCATGGGGGCAGGGAGAGGATCAGGAGAGCAGGGTACCAAAACTGTGGGGGCTCACAATCTGTCCTCACTTTCATCAAACTTGACCCAAGCACAGAAGTCTGAGCTCGACAATGCTTTGGACTTATGAACAGGACTGAGTTTTAATGCACAAAACAACCATAATAAGTATCAGATGTGACTAGAAAAACTGTTGGAAGAAATGAAGACTCGCCAGCCCTCCCCTGCTTTTCTCCACTGCAAAACCCAGATTTCAATGACCTGTCCATGCCTTTCCCAGGCAGATCAGTGCTTCTGGCTGGGCATTGCCACGTAAGGTTATGTCACCCTCAGCTGTGCAGGACAGAGCCCAGATGGCCATGCGGGAGCAGGGCCCAGTCCTGACGTGCCACGCCTCAAGCCCTCCTGTGTCCATTAATGTGACACCGGGGTAGCCCCCTTACTGGTTAAACCATTTTGCAGTGGGTTTTCTGGAGCTAGCAGCTGAAGGCTTCCCAACAGATTCAGATTCCTTCAAGACCAGGTTTTCCTCCCCAACCCCATTCCTAGATAAGATGCTCAGAATGCAAATCAGTTTCTTAAAACATTCTATGCTTGCACATTGCTGAATGGAGATGTTTGATCACTCGAAAGTTAAGTGAATTGCTTAAAACCAGAGCCAGTTCTGGACCCGACTGCAGTTGAGGATCTGAAGCTCTGTCACAAAAGCATTCCTTTTAATGGCTTCATGTTAATTACAGAAAAATGTCAAAATTAGATCAGGCCACCCAAGATACACTGATTTGCTTCGAGTGTGATTCTAAGCTTACCTCCCCCAGTCTCTTTTCTCCACCAGATTTGCCCTGTTCACCAAGTTTCTTAAGCCTGCAGATGCTACATGGGAAGAGCATGTGAAGGTGAAGAGCACATGCTTTGGGATTCTACAGCCCTAAGCTTCAATTCTGAATCTACTATTCACTGACAGGACAAGTCTTTCTTAACTTCTCTGAGCCTCAAGTTCCCGACCTGTAAAGTTGGCATTTTATTCTGCTCCCAAAGGGGTGTACTGTGGATGAAAGAGATGGTATGAAGACTTGTGATGATCACACAGAATGTGCACAAAAACGTCTTTTACCTGCGAGTTCTGCCCACACCCCGCCTCCCCACTTTGGATTTCTGCTCCTGCAGCAACAACATTCACTTGTCTGAATTAAACCCATACTCCAGACCCAGTTCATGCATAACCTCCTCCAAAAAGACCTCCCTGTCTCTGCAGCAGAAACATTTCTGCTACACCATGTTGCAGGTTTTGTCCCTTTCACTTAGTTTATTAATGTGAATAATAATAATAGCTAATATTTATTGCGTGCTTATCATGTGCCAGGCACTTTTTTATGTGTTCTATGTTTCTTACCTCATTTAATCCTCACAGCACCATGGGATAGTACTATTATACATTCTCATTTATGTTGCAGGAAATAGGCCCACAGGGAGGTTAAATCACTCAAGGTCACATGCCTAGTAAGTGATAACACCTGATACAAACCCAGGGCGTCCGACCCAAAGTCATAGGACACAAAGCTCTGTTGCCTTCTCTGTTACTGGGCTTGGCAAGGCAGAATCCATGTCTTATTCTACCTAATCTGGGGGCTTGCACAAAATGGGGAAATTTAAGTATAGCATATTTAGTGGAGTCTCCCCCATCAAGCGGGAGACACCATGCAAGGCCCACTCAGAGACACCTGACAGTCTCCTGCCAGCTTTCTGTACCTGAATGTCCTGCAGGCACCTGCCGCTAAATATGCCACAAACTCCACTCATCCTCTTTCCCTCCAAATACTTGTCCTGTCCTCTTCCACAATGGCATCTCCATCCATCCAGTACCCATACCAGACTAGATACCTCAGAATTGTATTAACTCCTACCTCTCCCTTGCCACCCACATTCAATTACTCTGTCATGTATATTTTATCTTTTAAATAGCTTTGAATCCATTTCCATCTCTCGGTCTCCATCACCACTGTACTAATTTAGTCTCTCAGTAATTTTCAGCCTCACAGTCAAAAAAAAAAGAATATATGACTTCATTCCCGATGGGGCAGGTCTAAAGATAATCTTTCCATAACTGTGAAATGATAACCCTTTGGGAATTATGAAGTATATTCCTTCTTAATAGCATAAAACATTTCTTATTATGTACTATCTATTAAACTCCTCCAAATCATTGTACAGCAGGGAAATATTGGCAGACAAGCAGTGTGTGGTTGACATTAAGTGAAAAGCGTGCTGAACAGAAGCAGATTGGTTTTAAGAGCACGCAGGTTCTGGAGTCAGGCTGCCTGGGTTTGAATTCCAGCTCTACCCTCCATCTGCGGGAGCTTAGGCACGTTGCTTGCCCTTCTAAACCACAACACCCTTTTCTGTGAGAGGTGGCTGGTAATAGCACTTCTCTCACAAGGTTACTTGTGGATTTAGTGAGAAAATCCTCTTAAAGAGCTTAGGGCAATGCCTGGCACATAGAGGTGCTCAGTGTTTTTTATTAATCATGTTAATTGTAACCTCAGACGTGGGGGGTTCACACCATTGACCTCAGGCAGAACAAGGAATTCTTTAAGTCCTAACCCTGTGTTCAATTCCTTACGATGCTTCTGCTGCTCCAAACAAGGAATTTTGTTTCCTTTCAACCCCTTTTAGCACTGCACATTAGTATCACCTCAGGGAACTTGACTAACTTCTGCCATCTGAACCACTTGACTTAACTGGGTGGGATGCAACCTGAGTGTTGGGATTTTAAAAGCTCTTCGAGTGTTCTCAAGTGCAGTCAAGGTCAAGCCACACTGGTCTCAGCAAGGCCTGGGTGCATTGTGCATCTGTCACAGAGGCGGGACAGAGAGGTGTCTGTGGGGAGCAGGAAGGGGCATGGGCCCTGAATTCTAGAGACAATTACTGTACCTGCTGGAAGTGTCAAAAGAGCAAGACATCAGCTATAGAAATTTGGGAACAGAAGTCAAGGCTTAGTCTGTTTTGTGTCTGCAAAAATTGCCAAATTTTCATCGATACAAAATAAAACCTAAAAAGAAAACCGCCTTGACATTTTGGCATAATTGAACTGTGGATAACCCAACAATCCCACTTACTGCAGGCACTGGGCATCTTAGGATCAGGTGATCCACACCCCGCCCACCCCTCCCCCAACTCTCCCATGAGATGGTGAGAAGCAAAACCCAGGGTAAGGTTTGGCACTTACCTTGTTGATATTGAAAGTCATGGCTCTGTTAAACTTTGTAGAACCTTCAAGCAACATTAGAAAAGGTGGTTTGTTTAAGCTGCAGCCTCCCAGGGACACATCTTTCTGGATAGATTTAGTGGTCAAATCTAGGACTTCAGGACGCTGTGATAACCTGGAATGAGGGAAGAAAAAAAAAGCCACTGCCAAACTTGGACACATCAAGGAAGACACGCTGGCAGGGAGAGATTGTTCTGAAAACACATTCTTACTGCCAGGGTTTCTGGGTACCCTTTCCTTCAACTGCCCCTTGTACCTGGGGGCACCACTGGCTCCTCACAGAGGATGAGCATGTGCTCTGCCCACCTGTGTACTCCCTAAAATACCCAGCACTGCTCCTTGCCTGCAGGAGGGCTTGAGAAACTCCTCTTTTTCTTTTCCCTTTGCTTTTTCTTTCTGAATGGTCAGGGTTGTGGCAAAGCTAGAATACTGCAGTTCTTTCTTTAGAACAGGTATCATGTAGAAATATGACAACAAAATATGCAAAGAGGACAAATGCAGGCACTAGATGATCTACAGCAATGATTTTCAACATTTTTCATCTCACGACACATATACACTAGTTACTAAAATTCTGCAGCACACCAAAAAATGTCCAGCCAAAAATAGGTATCATTTTAATTCATTCACACTGAATGGCTATTGTTGTGTTGGCTGTTGTCATTTTGTTGTTTGTTTGTTTGACAACCTAAGAGAAAAAGAGGTCAGTGGGTCTGACTAAGTGGTCAGGTATTGCACGTTTTACAAATTCTTGTGGCACACCAGTGTGCCACACAGGTTGAAGGTTGCTGGTTTAGAATGATGGTGAACATAAGGAAACCTCAGAAGTGAGTTTAGGAAAGGGTTTTTCTTGCTGCATTTGAATAGGGAAGTACTACAGATACGTCTGCTTTTTCTCATGATTGTTGTCTGAGCCTTGAGGGGCAATAGAAGCTCCCAAGCTCCCAACAGGCTGCCTGAGGTTCATGACCAGTCCTGGGCTCTCCCTCTGTCCTGGGGAAGGTTTTGCTTCTTATTTAAAAATAATCATTTTATATCACAAGGACAGAACATTAAAGCATTTGCATGCAAGCCTCTGGCTCTACTCTCTCTGGAATGTCAACGCTGTGGCAGTTTGGTCTCTTAGCATTGCACTGGTCCACACAATCCCTGGCCTGAGAACAGGGAGAGCTGATTAAATCTAACTGTGCAACCTTGATTAAAATGAAGTAATATTTCAGTGTGAATATTTTTCAGAAACATAATCTGAAACTTAATGCTATAACACCTTTTCCAAGGTTACATGCCAAAGCTGCTTCTACAAAGGAAGGCTGGGCCCAAGTGTTTTTTTTCTTTTTCTTTTTTGGTTGTTGTGAGTTTGTTTTTAATGTGTGTGTTATGCCAGAGAAGTCATTCTCTGAACGTGTGTGGCAATCCAACCCCGTAACAACCAATGACGCCATCTGCATTGGCAGGCCGTTCTCATCACACAGAGAAAAGGGCTCATACCTTAGGAAAAAAACGTTGCTGATACAGCCCTCAAAATTATTCCCGCCCAGACGCAGAGAGTGCTGGGAACTTGAAGAGCCTTGTAGCCTTTGGTTGCTTTTCAGAAGCTGGTCATCAATGAGAAGCCGGAGTCTGAAAGAGGAGGGAAGAAAACAAAGGTGAGAAGTGCTGGGGAGAGGAAAAGGTTGTCTCCCGTGGTCAACTTACTGTCTTCAGTGCAGACTCAGTGTCTTTTACAAACAGCAACTCAGTGAACTGGACTTATTTTTAAAGAGCATTTACAGTTTTTCCATGCATTTCTTTTTGCACACATTTTTATTAAAGTCTCCTGCACATTCAGAAAGTGCATACATTGAAATTGTACAGCTCAGTGAGTTCTGCAATGTGAATACAGCAACATCACCAGCGCCTGGATGGAGAACTAACCAGCGCCCCAGGGACTGTGCTGGCACAGGGAGCTGTGGAGCTTCCACTCTCATTACATCCCTTTTTCTCTCCCATTTGGAATATATCACAATGTATGTATCCATCCAGTGTTGATTATTTCTTAATGAGGAAGCTGATATAGAACCAGGAAGAAGGCCCAGACTTACTAGTAAAATAGTGTCAGTCTCAAGGACAAATATTTTACAAGAAAGATACTAGAAAATACCATTAAACTAAATAAAGTAAAATCCTTAGAGCTCTGGCAGACTTGCCATTCTACTCACCCAGAGTTGTCCATTATAACAGATACGAAGTGCAGTAAACCGTCCATGTATGTCTGTGGAGATCTTAAAATTGGGCCGCTGCTGTCCCTGGTGCTGAGTTCGATGTGACCGTCCTCCAGGGTGATGTGGAGGCTGCTCATCTGAAATCATTACAGGGTGTACCCATCAACACAATGAATTTTCACTTAAGGATTATGATTGTATCAGTACTGAATTTACAATCAAAACTAAGTATAAAACAGTTAGGGTGTTTTGACCCAAATATTTTGACTTTGGTATTTGGATCTAAAGATTATTTTTAAATATTTTAACTCCATGTTCATGAATATAAAAATCTTATGCAAATTATTTCAACACTGGTAGATTTGTCAAAAGCATTTTATGGACCTACATTCATAAAGTAATTTAATTTCTCCATTAATTATGCAAAACAGTTAAACCATTTTTAAAATTTTTCTATTTTCACTTTAATTTTGCTAAAGTTATTTTCATTAGATCAATTCTTTCCAGAATAAACTTTAGAATGAAGACTTGACCCATCATTTTTTTCATATGTGATTATAATAATGAACTCTTATGTTCAGGCATTATGAATTTTTAATTTTGGGGTCATAATTTCTAGGAAGTTCAATTTTCCTATGTCAAACTCTGCAGATCTAAATTCTGGCAAGATAATTTGATTGTTTCTGTCAATTCTTAATTTAAAAAAAATCATGGTAGTTTTAGCAATTGCCATTTTAATTTTGTTGATGTTTCCTCTTACCAAGTACAATTTTTGCAGTTTTCAGCAAGATGTAATTCTTCAGTGAGGTTTTAATCTAAAACAGCTTTTATAGTGATGGCTGTACCCATGTCACTTTCATTTTATGTTGATTTTTTTTCCATTGGCAATATTCATCGTGAACTAGGTAAAAGAATGCTGACTGATACGTATTTCTTAGCTAACCCATTATGAAGTTGAGGGCCATGTTCCTAGGATATTTCTAGGATTCCTGCATAGCCTGGGACTCACCTCATCTTTTACTAAGTCAATTAAATCTGCCATCTGCTTATGATCATTTTGTATGTTATGTACCAAGCGTCCCTACCCTTGGCAGAAGAAACAAGTGTTCCATGTCAAAAGAGTAGATCAAAACATCCTGTTTTGATGGAAGAGCCATTCTCACAATCTAAATGTTGGCATGTGCCTTCCTTGCACTGGTTTTTGAAAAAAGTTCTCTAAAGGCTAATAGCAAAGATGTCAAGAGAGAAAAGGCTTCCTTTTCTTATATATATATATGTGTGTGTGTATATATGTGTATTAAATCCTCACCTGAGGACATGTTTATTGATTTGAGAGACCGAGACAGAGACAGAAAGACAGACATAGATGTGGGAAAGAAAGATTGATCAGTTGCCTCCCACATGCTTCCTGACCTGGGATCAAACCCGCAGCCTAGGTGTGTGCCCTGACAAGAGATCGAACCCATAACCTTTTAGTGTATGGGTCGATGCTCCAACCAAATGAACCACCTGGCCAGGGGAGGAAAGGCTTTCTAATATGACACATTCACAGAGTCAGCTACCATCCTTCCTTTCCACAAATACTAGATGTCTGTTGTGCTGGAAATCCTGAATAAACAAATGCAAGAATGGCAGTATGCTATTTCTACTTCTCTTTTTAAATCCCACTTGTTCCACAAGGGGATTTCTAAGTATCAGTTGACTCCCAAGCCTATGTAACTGCACTAGCTAAATCCTCTTAAATTATAGAGGGTATCTCTTTGCTAAAGGGATTTTCTGTGGTTCTGTTGTACATGAGCAAAGAACAAGGGACATTCTTTTCTCCCATTTCTCAGACGTAAATATTGTCCAACTAGCTGCTGCTGCAAAAATGAGGGCTATCTTTTGTGATATCAAAAAAGAATAATGGGGATACATTCTGATTTTTTCATTAGATCTAAAACTTTAAGCTACATTATTATTTATAACAGTTATAATTTACTTTGACTCAAAATATAAATCTAAAAAGAATGAAAATAAGCCCATGAATACACACAAATTCAATTCTGTGAACTCTAATGTACTTTCTAAGCCTGATTTCCTTTAGGACCTAACCTGGGATGAATATTTCAACTTCCAATTTCTGTTCCAAATCTCTCTATTGTATAGATGGCAAACATAAGTCCCGGGGTCGAATCTGGCCCTCCACCTTGTTTTATCTGGCCCAGCACCTTGTTTCTACCTGGTGGCAGCGCTGAGCTCTCCCTTAACTGTTAAGGAGCAGTTACATGTATACAGTCCTAATATTACATTCGGCCCTTTGAAGGCAATCCCAAGGCTGATGTGGCCCCTAGTGAAAATGAGTTTGACACTCCTGCTCTATTGTTTCTGACATCAAACTTTGAGTCAAGTTTAAATCTTGTTCAATATTCATGCCATGTTTCATACCCCTGCCAGATGACTTAATAATGTGCCGCTGGGTTGAAAGGTCTGAAACCCAAAGGAGGTCTGGAACTGGCTGGGCAATGAAGAGTCTGCATAGGTGAAACTCAATTGTCCTCCCCTGGAGAATGAGGCAGACCGCACGAGCTGAAATGCAAACACAATAAATTACTAGCATTACAATCATTTCATGGCTTAAAATCCAACCTTATTCTATGTCTTCTCACAACAACTGATTAATGTGGTTCATGACATCTCCTGAAGAAACTGATTTTGCTTTTCTGAATGATAATTATCAATCATCTATAGGTTTCTATGTGTATAGTTGGTATTCCTTCTTTCTTACAAATTTCATATGCAAACCTAAAGAGGTTTTGCAAGCATGTGGGGAGTGTGTATGAGCCAGCTCTCAGTAACAGTTCTGTGCTACCAGAAAAGAGTCCGAAGTTGATGTGTTAACGAATACCAAAAACAAGTTGGTTGGGGAGCATTCACTCGTACAGCTTTGAACTCTTCACTTACCTCCCAGTCTTCTGAGCACTTCTTTGTTACTCCCACAGTATCATTCAACCTCACTACGCCACTGGTTTTCTTCAGATTCTTCATGCAGCCTCGGAAAGCAGGTGTAGAAATGTTGAACCTGATTTGGGGCACACAGAAAGGACAAGGATGTACCAGACCAGGCTTACCTGAGACCTGGAGCTGAAACACCGCACTTTGCTACTTCTCACCCATAAACAAGTGTGTGCTTTAGGGTTACCTGTTCTCATGGGATTTCTATAAAATCCTTATTTTGTGATGCTGGGAAAATCTACTTTCTTTCTGTGTGATTCTGCATTCTCCGCTTTAAAAATGGAACACTGTAGTGTTGACAGAAGAATGGCCAGTGTCCCCCAAAGGTATAGAGACAGAGAAGATACACAATATGTCAAATTGCTCCCTATCCCGTGCCCATGCAGGAGTCATGGCAATATGTGGTGAAGAGAAAGTATATTAATAAATCAATATACTATAAATATTCATAAGCACATATTAATAAATTAATAAGTAATTTATCAGAGTCAGGAATGCTCTAGAAAAGTTTTGCTCTTTTTTTCTGTCCACCTTTGAGTTAGCCACTTTTAAGTTAGCCTTTTCCCCTGTCCGTTTCTAAGTTAAACTTAGAAGAAACAAACTGTTACTTTTTGGTTCTAGACAATTATAAAAAATGTGGCTTGATATTTAACCAGTGCCAAGCTGGGACAGAGGAAGCACTGTCTGGCCTCATATGCTGTGTCCACCACCTCCTAAGGGGTTGTTGTGAGGATTAAACTAGCCAGTGCTCAGGCAATGCCTGCAACCAGATGTGGACGTGGTCATGAACGCTCAGGAGGTGCTTCTCAGAGGCGAGATAGGCCTGCTCTGGAGCTGTGGGCTCTGGAGCCAGACTGCCTGGGCTCAAGTCCTGTCTCTGCTGCCTGACCAGGCGACGTACCTTTGCTGTGCCTCTATTTTCCCACGTATGCAATGGGATATGTAATCTGTTTCCCAGGGTTGTCAGGAGTTTAAATGAGTTAATATGGGTAACACACTCAAATGGCACTCAATATGGAGCAGGGACTCAAAATGTGATGGCAGACTCAGTAACTGTTCCCATAATGCAACGATTATAAGGAGAACCATCTCTAAAGCAGCTCTTCCCATGCAGCTGCCTTAGTGTTTCCCTTTTGATTTGACTTCTGGCTCTGTTTGACGGTGAATTCACATTAAACATTAACACGCATGAGCCGACTGGAATCCAGGCAAATATTTGTGTTTCTTAAACAAATGATGTACTAAGAAGAACACAAAGCTGATTTCATTATAAATCCCTAAGGCAGCTCACTTTTCTAAATGGAAGGGTGTCTGCATTCATTTTTATTCAATTCATTATAAACAGTTTAGCTACATGCAGTATGCATAAAATTAAATTTTATTAAAGGAAAAGGAAGAAATGAATCCTCACTGGAATTGCAGCATCAGCTTAATTATTGAATAAAGATGGCTTTTTCCCTCAGAAGAGGAGGAAAGTTAATATGAGTTGCTGGAGCTTGTCTATTTATACGAACATTTAGATCCACCCTCTCTTTCATTTCAGTGTGCTTTAGGCACATCAACATCTCCTGAGGCCCTTCTTTCCAGAAAGTACAGGCTGGAGGAAGAAGACAGTGGCAGAAAGTAAGGGGGAGAGAAAGGGCACTAACAGACACGGACGCCTGTTCTGTGCACGGCAGTGTCATGCTGTCCTCACAATGACCTCTGAGGGAGCTACTTTCTCATCTCACATTTCCTGAGCATGTACCACATGCCTGGCACTGTGCTCACTGCTCTGAATCCCTCAACCACCCCGAGAGAGAGGCAGTTACTGTGCCCACATTACAGGTGTAGCAGGAGGCTAAGGGAGGCTGAGTAACCTGCCTGAAGTTGTGCAGCGGGAAAGCAGCAGCACTGGGACCTGAGTGGTCAGTGGAACACACAAGCAAGTGTCACCTGAAGCCCTCGAGCCTCACACATGCACAGCTTGTGCACCCACAGCACTCGGAATGATCATGGCTCTCTCCTGCAGAATATTTATCTGCATCAGAGATGATGAGATGGTAGATTTATTCCACTATTCTTTGGGACATCCTTGTTACTCTGAGTCTTTGAGAGCATAGAGTTCCATGTTTACTCCAGGATGCAGGGACTACACACACTTGCTAGAGGAATGGGACTGCAGAGGGGTACAAGCTGAGGTATTCATGGGCTGGCACTTTGGGCTGTGTATGCACACCATGGACCCCTCGGTTCACAAAGGCTCAGCCAGGTGCCAGCCTGCTGGAGGCAGATTTCAGAGGGCAGTAAGAGCAAAATGTAATCCTAAAGCCAGGGCTGGGTGCTTAGGAAAATGTCCAAGACATCCTTGACTGATTTTACTTTTCAAATTATTTTCATTTTAATGTTTTATTATTATATTCAATAATGTTTTATTATTACACTCAATGTGTCAGTCCTCAGGAAAAGCTTCTTGTTGGTTCGGGACTCTCTGGTACTGTCAGAGATGGTTCTCCCTTCTCATGGGAAACAAGTGGGGTTAACATGTTGCGGCTCCTGACTGGAATCCTAAAGGCGGCATTGCAAGCTCTGGGTCCTACTCCCAGAAGACACACTACAGTGAAAGGAGAAAACAGAACACCCACGAAATCTCTTGGTCAAAGCTGCTTTATTTAGAGATTACTCTAGCTTGCTTTTCTCCACATTAGATTTAAGCACTTCCTACTGCCTGTAAGAGCCTTCCATTCATGCCAGGGCTCAGAATGAACTCCTCTATGCCCACCTGCCCCCAGAGGCCCATGTCACAGGGACTTTCGGGACTCTCTGGACTATCAAGGAGGACCAGAAAGTGTTGAATATATTGCCTAGCATTTTATCTGTGGGGGAGTAAAAAGCCAGTGAGATCTTTCGACTGGCCTCTATGTCCTGCATTTTCCACGTTCTTATGATTTGAATTTAAAAAATCAAAGTGTAAATTTGCCCAGAAAAAGGAAGTTGTCCCTTGTTTGGAAGACCTTAGGACAGGTTACTACGACAAGTGTATATGTGTATACTGATGCATATGCATACCTACATCCATCTGTGTGTTGCTTTAATGGGTAGAGATGATGACAAGGAAAAGGAAGGCTGAGTGCCGACTTAACCCAAGGTCAGGCAGCTCTTTGATGGCTGAGCCCAAAACAGAACCATTTCTTTGGATTTTCACCCAATACCCTTTCCTGGTCAACTTTGCTTGCCTGGCCCCTACATGGCTGTCTGGGGGCCTTCTGCCCTCAGACTAGTGCAAATCACTGAACAATGTACTTCCTCTGAGAATTCCTCACTACTCTGGGTGAGCCCACCTGCCCCACAACCTCAGTACCCAGCTGTACCCAAGCTTGATTCACACCCTCTTCTTCTTGGACTTCTCTTCAGAGGTCTAGACCTTATTTCCCACCCTGTCTTGGCTTCTCCACCTGCTAGCTCAGGACAAACTCAGCACCCCGCTCCTCCCTCCCTGCTCTCCATCTGCCCAAGTGCTAGATCACAAACCATGTGCAGTTCTTGAGCACTTTTCTCCTTTATTCCCCAAAGCCAAGCCACCATTCAGTACTGCCCACTCACTGTCCTAAATATGTTGGGAATCCACTCCTATTTCCTTACCTGCACTGCCATTCCCCTGGTCAGGCCACCCTCTTCTCTCACCACCGTTAATACTCTCATCTTCCAACCACTCCACCTGCCTCTGCTCTTTCCCCTCTTCATCCAATCTCTACCTCGAACCAGAGTGAGTTACTGAGAACCCAGATTTGATCACGTCCTTTCTCTACTGAAGTCCCCCCGATGGCTCCTTACTATGACTTTAAAGATCCTCAGTGGTCTGGCCCCTGCTTTCCACACCAGCCCTGTGGGGCAGCCCTGGCCTGCTTCACAGTGCCCTCCAGTTCTCTGAAAGCTCACCCTTTCTCTAGTGTGTGGCTCTTCGCATAAGCTGACTGCTAGCATCTTTCAGGTCTACCCAGAGGCCAATTTCCTGAGGCCCCCAACTGGATTAGATTCCCTTCCCAGGTCTCCTAGCACCCTGAGCTTCCCCTCTTGCGGCATTGGTCACATTCTACTATCTCCTTTCACCACAGTTGTGGCTCTGCCCTGGTCATCACTGTCTTCCCAACACCCGCCACACTGCCTGATGTCACGGAACACTCAATGAGTAATGAACAAATAAATCATAACCTCAGATGTACACAATAGTGCTACCTTAAATTTCTCTATTTTATTACATTTAGTTGAATAAAATCAAGATTATTGACCCTTCCTAACTAGCTATTCATGATTGAATTGCTATTTAATATTGATGATATTAAATATTAATATCACCTTTTGGCTCCTAATTTCTTCATCTGTAAAATTCAGAGATTACATACCATGACCTACAAGGTCTTTTCCAGTTCAACAATCTAAGGAGTGAAAAATTTCACTCCAAACTCTATTAAAGTGCTAAAATTGTGCTCGCTTCAGCAGTACATATACTAAAATTGGAACAATACAGAGAAGCTTAGCATGGCCCCTACGCAAGGATGCCACGCAAATTCATGAAAGCACTAAAATTTCTCACCTGCATTTTTATCTTTGGGGATGACCCTGAAAACTTTGAAACAAAGATTAGTGCCTCCTTGCTAAAGACGGAGAGATGCTCAAATGCATAAGGACTGTAGAAGGAAAAATACCTTTGGGTAACACCTTGTAATTCATATAAAGTAGTCCTTCCAACTGATTGATAAATTGGAACAAAAAGTTAACTAGCCTCAGATCTCATTTAAGTAATTGTAATTGAACATTCTGGGATTCCCTTAACTAGACACTAACCCGCCCAGGATATCTTCTTTCCGTGCACTACCATCAGCTCTCTTAAACCCTTTTTGGAAGATATAAACAAAATGTAAACGTTTTTGTTAAGTACATTCTCAAAGTGTTTTTTCCTCATTCAGATTAAGCTTTACTTCCTTTTAAATGAATTTAATTCATTCATGTATTCATTAGTCTGGGAAACAGGTTTGCATGTATTCTATGCTCAATAACATACAGAGGGGCAGGTGGTACAGTTGTGCCTTACATTCTAGAAATACCCCCCAAAGGCAGCAACCCCAGTCCAGCTTCTGGTGCCCAGGACTGCTTCTCCAGCATGGGATTGCCCATGCTGTCTTACATTACCTTTTTTTTTTTTAAATCCTCACCCGAGGATATGTTTTTTATTGATGACAGAGAGAGAAAGAAGAGAAGAGAGAGAGAAAGGAGAAGAGAGAGAGAAACATTGATGTGAGAGAGAAACATTGATTGGTTGCCTCCTATACGTGCCCCAACCAGGGACCAAATCTGCAATCTGTGTGTGTGCCCTGACTGGGAATCAAACCTGTAACTTTTCAGTGCACAGGATGATGCTCCAACGAACTGAGCCACCCGGCCAGGGCATCTCTCACACTACCTTTAAGGACCTAGGGCCACAGCCTCCATTCTAATTGGCAGCATTGTCACCACCATCTATGTTCCTGTGGCTTCTCTCCTCCCAAGAATGATGGGGGGGTGGCACCCTCACCACCCCATCTAGTATTTATAGCCTGTTTTGCTCTGTTGTCTAACACTGTTAATACTGAAAAGCCAACTTTTTGTGTTTATTTTCAGTGGAATTTAAAATATGCAAACTAATCAGTAGCGATCCTAACCACTAAGAGAGGCAATCTGCTTCCTTAAAAAATATATATAACATCTAGCCCTGGCTGGTGTAGCTCAGTGGATTGAGTGCAGGCTGCAAACCAAAGCATCGCAGGTTCGATTCCCAGTCAGGGCATATGCCTGGGTTGCAGGCCACGGCCCCCAGCAACCACACATTGATGTTTCTCTCTCTCTCTTTCTCTCTCCCTTCCCTCTCTAAAAGTAAATAAATAAAATCTTAAAAAAAGGCACATACATATTTTAAAAAATATATATATTATCAATATATTAATATATTGATATGTATGTATTAGTATACATATATTGATAATATACATATACTGATAATATATGTATTAGTAATATATATATTAGTAATTAGTTATTAGTAATATATATTAGTAATTAGTAATTAGTAATATATGTAATATACATATATTGATAATATATGTATTAGTATTATTATATGTTATATAACATCTTACCTTTCCCTGATTGAAAGTGGAATTCCTCCTAGATAATATGTGTCAAAATGAAATATTTTGCTGTTAATTGTAACATGTTTAGAATTCACACTTATCCGCATACTTTTGTGGGCGTTTCCAATTCGGATCTGAATCTGAAATACAAGGGAGGAAACTCAGTGAGCAATGGGAAATACAGGAATCCTGTTCACAATGCTCCAGAGTTACTATGTTTTTGTCTTCCTTCAGATTTATTTATATATATGACATAGCACTTCTGCATTATAAAAATGTAACATTAAAACATTTAATATTTATATTAATATTTTAAAAATTAATATTTACATATTTAAAGCATTAATAGAAAAATTTGCATTTGAAATTGTGTTTTACATATGCCATATACACGTTAACATATTTCATGCCCAAATGTTCAAATTTTAAAAGGACATGTCTCTCGGTTAATAATTACAAGTTCATCTGGTAATAGAAAAGTGTTTTGGGCACTGGCTTAATTTGAAAGGACTAAGGATATTCAACAGTTTAAGTAAACAGACTCAAAAGATATACCGAATGATCATTCCCATCGTTTATGATGTCTCCAACTCCACTTTCCTTTGGTGGCTCTGAATTCAGTTTGTGTTGCACCAGGAGACGACCTTCTTCTACATTTAGAGAGAGGAAGTGATCCTGGAGCAGGGAAACAATGTCGATTACCAGGGGACTCAACAGAGGAAGAGCTGCCACTGGCTCTCAGCTGCTCTCAGGTTACAGACTGTTCTCAGCTCCAGCTGCCTCCTTAATTAAAAGGGACAACAGTGCTGCAATATCCAACCGCCGGGATGGGTACGATGGTTAAGTGTTATGAATCTTGGCAAGCATCATATACAGTGATTGGCACATAGGGAGGATGCAATAAATGCTAGCTACTATGGCTTTGTTTCATAGGAATCTATAACCAGCATGTGCAAATGGAAACCAAAAAGATACAGATCATTAATGTCATGAGAAAACGACCACTCCTCTTGGGAAAATGTATGGTTTTACTCCAACCCCAGGCATTTTCCACCATCTGTTTTCTGACTTATTGTTATGTCTCAGTCTCATTTGCTGGCTCACTCCCCTCTGACCTTCAATTTAAGTGTTAGGGGTTTTTTGGGGATCCCACACAGGACCTCTTCCCTTCTACCACTGTCTCTGTCTCACAATCACAGACACTCCTGTGGCTCCAATTCAGGTGTGCCCAGGAAGCTCAGATGTTTTTCCCCAGCCTGGCCCTGCCTTTGCAGCACCAAGTCTTACATCTGATTACCTTACTGTTGTTCCTGGCATGACTCACAGATCCTCAAACTCAGAAATACTCTAACACAACTTATGATCTGCGTGCCTCTCACCTGCTGCCAAGCCTGTCTCTCTGCCCTTCACACTGCTCTCTCTCCTTTCTCTCACTACTAATCGCTTTCTGAGCTGGCCACGAACCCACTAGAAGTCATTCTTGATTCTTCCCCTCCCTCTTCCATCCAGTCAAATCTTGTCAATTCCACCATTTCTTAGCTTTCTCTCCATTCCATGCTACCTAGTCTCAGCCACAGTCCTTCAGGGGGCTTGCACAGCAATGACGCACTGCCCCTCCATGTTCACTCTGTGCCCTCTCCAATCCATTTTCCATTCTGTCACCAGAGCAGTCTTTTGAAAATGCCTGTATGAGCAACATTACCCTTTTTTGCCCTCAGGATAAACCCCTAACTCCCCATCAGATGCTCTGAGGCCATGACCACTCCTCCAGTTCAATTTCTCTGTGGTCCCTCTGGCTCTTTGTGTCCCAGCCATGTGGGACACCATTCCATCCCCCATGCACCCTGCCCTTCCCATGCCTTAGTTTCCTTCTTGCCCCTCCCACCACATGGATCACCTTTCTGCCCTCTCCAATTTACATACTGTCTCATACTTGTCCTCTAGCTCTCAGATACAGCAACCTTTGTTCAAGAAGTCTTTTCTGTTACACATCTTCATTTCACCTCAAACTTTCCCTCTATATGGCTCATCACTATTATGATGATGTTAGTTGACCAATTAATGAGCATAAATCTGTTTAATATTTGTCTTCCCATCTAGCACACAAGGTCCTCGGGGGCAGGAATCATGTCTGTCTTGGTCGTTTTGTATCCTCATCATGGTGTAAGACACATACTTGAACCATCATCTCCCATAGGGCTTGAAGATTTGCTTTTATACCATTCCCTGTTGATAAGAATGCCTCTCTTTGAAGTCTACTGCCAGAGTCCTCATCTAAAAGAAAAATCAGTCCTTAGCTAGATCCTAAACCTTGCCCTTAGAAGCCAGTTAGGGTTCATCAGACTTGTAAATAACAGAATAACATGAACTCATGAGAGTAATCAGCCAACCTTTGTAACAGCAGTACTCTTGATCATTTTCTCTTATTTGGTTGTTAACAACATTTTGTAAGTTTTCTTCTCATCTAAGTAGTATTTCTGGTTTTTAGTCTCACATAACTTCAAAGCGTAGTACAAAGAAGACCTTGTTTTGGAAAACAACTGCCTTGTCCTGAAGATGCTGTGTGACTTCTCAGCTCCACATTCTTCAGTCAGGTCAGGACCTCCCCAAACCACCAGAAATGGTTTAGCCTTGGAATCTCCTGGAGAGTCCAGACCAGCGCCAGAAAGAAGTGTTGGACCAGGTCTATGTCCTCACCCTTCAGGTAGAAGGGTCTGGTAAAATCCCAAGTGCCTTGTGAATTCCACGTTCTTAGATGGGAGATCCCCATTTCTCCAAAAATGCTACCTAATGAAGCACCTATAGAAGGGCTATTTACAGGAGCAGACAACGCCCAGCCCGTCTACCAGCAGATGGCACTAATGATCATCAGAGAGCATAACTTTGGACTTTTCTAAACTGGAAGATTCAAGATTGGCCTCTAAAAATCTCAGCTGCTTGATAACAGAGAAGCTTTCACATCTTGGATAGTCAAGGGTCAAGCTGATAAAGACAATCTCACATAGCCTGAGAAGAGTACAATGGAGGTACAAACAGCCGAAGGACAAGCAGTCTAGCTCCCAGAGACCCCAGGAAGTCTGTGTGTGTTTTTATGCAGAATAAGTACATTATTAGGCAAGTAGTATTTTTCAAAGAATGAAATTGACATTGAGAATTGAATAGGAAAGGGGTGATTTCTCCTGGATTTTGGTGGCATGTTCTCGAATTCGTTATTACTTGCCTTAGTAAGACACACATTCCCACAGCCAAAGAAAGTAGAATTGGGCCAAGGGGAAGGATGTGGGTAACATTTACACAATGTCTTCCAGATCTAGTTGGTTGTTTGTAATAACCCAGTTACCCCCAAATTGATCGATTGAATGGACATATTTGCTAATATTTAGATGTTTGTTATAGGTTACCTGGTTTTCTGCAAAGAACAGCAAACCTCTATCCACAGTGGTCTGAATCGTCTGTCCAAAGGTTGGAAAGTGGGCGTTTGGTAGAGTTGGAACTCGAGCATAGCCTGTACCTTCAAAATAATTTCTGTCTGATTCTTCCTTTCTCCTGTCAATATCAATCATTGTAAGTTAGAACACAGCAACAAAGGACTACCACACAATTGTGTTTACTGACACAAGATGCTGCTATCTGAAAAATGGAGCAAAACATATGCGACCTACTTGTCATTTCTTAAAAAGAAAACATCTTTAAAAGGTTAAAACAGCCAGCCATTTCTCCTGAATGTGCTCTTATGCTCTTATGATACTTAAACCCTAGTTCAATAACAATATTTGAGTCCCTTTTGGAAATATCTACTTAGAAAGATGTAGCCCAGCATCTGAAGAGCTTAAAATGTAAAAAAAAAGAAAAGATAAGAAATTATTAATTTGAAATGTAATAATTTTATTCTGAGTAATAAATGCACAGTCTGTTTCATATTAGAATATTCTAAATTCTAAATCTTTTAACTAGAGGGAAACTGAGGAGTTGGAGTCAGCAATTTTCATTAGATCAGATGTCAGAGTACCCAAAAAGTCATGGTGTACTTTGTGGAGCATTATTTTTTAAAAATTTACAGCAAATATATACTTTTGTACCTAAATCAGGTACCATCCACACAGAGCATTTTGTGGTGGGGGATACCGAAAATTTAAGTCAGATTAGCTTTTTCTTTAAATTGAGAAAACTCTACCAATCTAACATACAAATTAAGAAAAGGTTACCATTCTTCGATTTTAAGGCTAGACCAGCACTGGTGCAGATAAGCAAAATTTAAGAACTACTAGCTCAAATCAACCAGCGACACTGACAGCATGTCAATGGCCATCTTTTATTATGTATTATACCTGCAAGTTATAAAAATCACTTTATAGAGACAGTTTCCAGGCTTCATTTACCTTCTACAAGGCTCCACTTCAGTTGTATTGAGATTGAAAGTTTTTCTGAAGTTGTACAAGCTCAGAACATTTTCATTGAGGTCATCTAATTCAATACAACCTCTGTACAGAGGGAATCTAATGCTTGCAGGAGGCTGAAAAAAATGAAACAAAAAATCTACTAAATGAACAAAGGATAATGATCAGGTTGACCAAGAAACAGTATGAATCTGTCACTTTTAACCATGAAGATACCAATAGATGGCTAAGAATGTGGATCTTGGAACCAAATGCCCTGGCTTTACTATTTGTTAGCTATAAGACCTTGGGCAAGTTATTTAACCTCTTTGTCTCAGTTTCCTCATCTGTGAAGTGGGGATGATAATTAATGATGCTTTTTAAATAAATATACTTAGCATATATCACTGAGCAAGGTAGTACTCAGTGTGAGCTATTATCTCTAAATAAGTTTTAAGAATATATAGTCAGGTTTCTAGTCAAGATGGTGGTGTAGGCAGACATAGTCCACCTCTTTGCACAATCACACTGAAATTACAACTACAATATAGAACAACCATCACTAAGAACCACTGGAAATCAAGTTAAATAGAAGTCTGACAACTACGGATTATAGGACCACATCCATTCAGAGTGGTAGGAGGGCACAGACACAGCATGGGCTGGTCCCACATCCATGTGTGGTGGATAAAAATTGGGGAGGAATATCTTGGGGGTAAGGAGTCCTAGCCCCACACCAGGCCTCCCAGTTCAGGGTTCCAGTGCCAGGAAGATAAGTCCCCACAACTTCTGGCTGCAAAAAAAAAAAAAAAAAGTGGGGATTGAGTCGGTGGAAGAAACTGCTGGAGCCCAAAGCAGCTCTTCTTAAAGAACCTACACATAGACTCACCTACTCAGACTCCCTTCCTCTGAGCTCCCGCACATGAGTAGTAGCTTGTAAGGCACAAGTGGCATATTGGGAGAAACTGAAGTGTCTGCATCAAGGCCAGCAGAGGCCATTGTCTCTTTTCTAAACCCTCCCCCAACAGATCCAGCAAGCTGGTGCCATATCTGGGACTCCATCAATCTGGCTAACATTGTTTGACATACATTGGAGATCCCCAGAGACTCTGCCCCACCCAACTTACAGGCCCACCCAAGCTGCTTTTCCATATGAATGGTGTGTCTTGGCTCATGCTTCATAACTTCCTAAATCATATCAAACAAGCAAAGCTGGCCTCAGTGAGCCCCAGGCCTGATGCTAGCAGCAGCCAGCCTAGATTCACACCTTTATTTTGCCTGGAAATCTCCAAGCCCAGCAGCCATCCTGATTGCTTTATAGCTCAGGCAGGGTGACCCTGGCAAAACACAGGTAGGGGCTGACCTTGGCCTGTACCTCCCAGGAAACCCCAGGGCCAGCACACACAGTGGACAGCTGTAGACCATGTAGGAGAACCACAGGATGCAAAGCTGATCCTCCACGGGTACAGCTGATCCTCCACGGAAGGTGGAAGTTGGTGGTAAGTGGTCATAGCCAATACTTGCAGCTGACTGGCCTGGGTAAATCCTTCCCATGATCTGCAAACAGCAACAAGGCTCAACTACAAGAGGAGGGTGTTCTCAGTCCACATGAAGGGTGTATCTCAAGTACCCAGCTTGGGTGAAATGGAAGACTGTGCCACTGGACCCTACAGGACACCTACTACATTAAGCCACAGTAGCAAGACATGGAGTCAAAGCAGCTCTACCTGATACATAGAAACAAACACAGAGAGACTGCCAAAATGAGGAGACAAAGAAACATGGCTCAAATGAAAGAACAGTTCAAAACTTCAGAAAAAGAGCTAAATGAAATGGAGGTGAGCAATCTGTCAGATGCAGAGTCCAAAACACTGGTTATAAGGATGCTCAAGGAACATAGTGCGGATTTCAATAGCATAAAAAAGATCCAGTCAGAAATGAAGGTTACACTAATTGAAATAAAGAACAATTTACAGGGAAACAACAGTATAGTTGATGAGGCTGAGAGTCAAATCAATGATATGGAACATAAGGAAGCAAAAAACAGCAACAACCAATCAGAACAACAAAAAGAAAAAAGAATCCAAAAAAATGAGGATAGTATAAGCAGCCTCTGGGACAACTTCAAGTGTACCAACATTCACATCATAGGGGTGCCAGAAGGAGAAGAGAAAGAGCAAGAAATTGGAAATCTATTTGAAAAAATAATGAAAGAAAACTTCCCCAATTTGGTAAAGGAAATAGATAAAATAGATGTACCAAAGGTTAAAGATAAAGAGAGAATCCTAAAAGCAGCAAGAGAAATGAAGTTAGTTACCTACACAGGAGTTCCTGTAAGACTGTCAACTGATTTCTCAAAAGAATATTTGCAGGCTAGAAGGGATTGACAAGAAATATTCAAAGTCATGAAAAGCAGGAACCTATAGTCAAGATTGCTCTACCCAGCAAAAATATCATTTAGAATTAAAGGGCAGATAAAGAGCTTCTAGACAAGACAAAAGTAAAGGAGTTCATCATCACCAAACCATTATTACATGAAATGTTAAAGGGACTTAAGAAAAAGATTAAAAGTATGAACAATAAATGGCAAAAAATACAAATCTATCAACAATTGAATCTAAAAAACAAACTAAGCAAACAAGAACAGAGACAGAATCACAGACACAGAGAGCATTTTGATGGTTGCTAGATGGGAGGGGGATGTGGGGGAATGGGTGAAGAGGTAAGGAAATTAAGAAGCACAAATAGGTAGTTACAGAATAGCCATGGGGATGTAAAGTACAGTATAGGAAATGGAGTAGCTTAAGAACTTATACACATGAACCATGGACATGAACAATGGTGGAGAGACTTGCCTGAGAGAGTGGGGGGTGCTGGGTAGAGGAGGAGCAAAGGGGGAAAAATTAGGACAACTGTAATAGCCTCATCAATAAAATACAGTTTAAAAAATATAAAATAAAATTACATGTAAAAGTGAAAAAGAAAGAATATATAGTCAAACCCATCTTTTATATGTGATAGGTAGACAAAAGAGGTCATCACACCATGTTAAAACTTACTTTCACTCAGTGAAATAACATTTGCACTTACTGTAAAGTCAGGTGGGTAACCTCCAACATAAAATACAACATTTTCAGGATCCAAATTGAGGAGTGTGTTGCTACTTCCACTTTCCATGTCATGGAATCGAGGTTTAGCTGGTTTATTGGACGTGGCTTGGGAGGTGTAATTAAGTGTTGCAAACTGATAAATTCTGTTTCAAAACAGATAATAAAGTTATATAAAAATTTATGCAAAAATGAAAAAATCAAAGCCAACATTCTAAAAATGGGGTCCAGCAACATGTCCAACTGAAGTTTGGTGAGTGTGAGTCAGATTAACAAAGAGCAGCAGTCTATCAGGCTTGTACCTCTGAAATTTCACCCGGTCCATAATTGCCTCCTGAGTTTCACTCTTGGTCAAGATCTGGTCCACCTGTAGTTCAGCTTCACGTTCTCCCAGGTTGTAGATACACCTGAGCTGGCCATTTTCGACTGCCATGCCGATGTAGTCCCTAGAGGCCTGCAGGCATAAAGTCTACCTCAGAACACTGACACACACATTCTCTCGACTTCCCATCTGAAGGGAGTGCATTTCAAATAGCTAACGGGTTTTACACAAGAAGCCTTGGGGAGGAAGGATAAATGAGGTGTGTCCTTATACAGAATAATACAGACAGAACACTTAACATTAAATAAAGTCTAGATGTTGTTGCTCATGGTATAGTGCACTCATTTATTCTACAAATGTTTGCCAAGTGCCTCCCGCAAAGAGGAACCAGATATGGACTCCGGCCTCCATTAGGTTTTAGTCTGGTAAGAGAGATAAGCCATTTTTGTTTTCCCCGTACCATACAACATTCTCTGAACACTGAGTGCATGCCTCTGTTACAACACCTACCACCCTGTCTCATCACAGCTACATATGTATCTTTCTCCCATTAGAATACAAGCACTTTAAGGTGGATACAATTTTTTTAATTATAGTAAAATATCCCATTTTAACTAGTTTTAAGTGTACACTAAGTACACTTAAGAAACAGATTTTTGTTTATTATAAATACAGGGTGTGGCACCTAGTAGGTATATGGTACAAATTTGTTGAAGGAATAAGTAATGTGCATTTTGTCATAGTACAAAGCAAAAGGTCATACCATAAGAAAGCTACAAATACAGCATCAACACTTTGAAGCAGAAAGAATGATTAATAATTGCATTGATTTTAGGAATCTTTAAATATGGCACCCACTAGTGACAGCCAACCATTTCTTAATTGACAGAATTTTCAAGAAGTGTGTTTCAGATATTTCTTCTCCAAAAATTGTATCCTAACCCAATCTGTGATTAGCTTTTCCTCAGACAATTAGGATGAAGACGTGTATTTTGAGTGGAGGGATTAATGCTAAAATGAACTCTTTGAAAATGCCTGTGAGAGCAGTGGTTTGTGTAGCATTTAGAATTATTGAGATGCGGCAACTGGATTTCTGATTAATTAGGTAGGAGAGGCTTCCTCTGCTCTGGTCCTCATCCACAGACAGCCACCGCCCCACAGGCTTGAGGAAGGGCTGGGGCTGGACATTCTAAGCAAGAGAAGAGGGTCACAGTTCTGTGAGGAAGAACTGTCAGTGTCTATGAACCCTGATACGGCTGCCCTTTGCGTGGGGAGAGAGGCCGATCTGTAACCCCAGGCATGTGTGTGCTCATGGATACGCACATGGTGCCCATGGGTCAGGCCCATCTGGTGAGGCCTCTAGAGCTGCCAGCAGATACCAGCCTGTGATTGACAGAAGTCTCCTTGTGGCTCCATCAGAGGTGGGGACGTTTGTTGATGTGTAGGTGGGATTTCTTCCTGCTATGCCAATGGCAGTGACACAGTGTTCTCACGCATCTCAAAAACTATATTCTGTTTTAAAATAAGAGAAATGTCCAAGCAATACTCACATCTTTATTTCCAAGGTACATCACAAACATATTTTCAGTCCTTCCATTTTCTCCTGACTGAGGTCTTTGGAGAAACAAAGAAAGAGATGTGTAGCCTTTCAAATCTTCCAAGTCATTGGGCAGCCGGACTTCGACACCAGATTTACCATTGAATCTCATGGGGACAGCGACCTGTGAGCGACAAGAGCTATGGTGTTAGGCCCTGGCTGGCGTAGCTCAGTGGATTGAGCGTGGGCTGTGAACCAAAGTGTTGCAGGTTTGATTCCCAGTCAGGGCACATGCCTGGGTTGCAGGCCATGATCCCCAGCAACCGCACATTGACGTTTCCATCTCTCTATCTCCCTCCCTTCCCTCTCTAAAAATAAATAAATAAAATCTTAAAAAAAAAAAGAGTTGTGGTGTTAACCATTCTACCTCGGGGAAAGTGGGTGTGTTCACAGTGGTAGCTTGCGACTTTGCAGCTACTCCTTTTCAGTGTATACCAGCCTTTCCCAAGCTGTCGTGATCAGAAACAAAGGAGTGTGGACGTCTCCCAGGCCTGGACTAAAAACTCACGAAACTGTTTCAGGAGCTGATAGTCAAGCATTCATTTTCTTCCTGTTTATCAGCCAGGGGTCTTTGAGAAGTTATTTAGTTCTCAGTGCCAGAGATATTACCATTATTATACTCATAATTCCAACCCTGGAAGTTTTTGCGCAGCTGAGTTAACACATATGGAAGCACTTAGTGTGAAGTCTGGCATATAGTAAATATATAATACCTCAAGAAAAACATTTGTAATCTTCACCTGAGAATATGTCTATTGATTCTAGGGGGAGAGAGAGAGGAAGAGAGAGAGAAACATCAATGTGAGAGAGAAATATTGATTGGTTGCCTCCCATATACAGCCCAACCAAGGGTCAAACCCTCAAGCTTTTGGAGCACAGGACAGTACTCCAACCGAGACACCCGGCCAGGACAAGAAAAAAATTAACGGAACTTGTAAAGGAACTGTTTTCTATGAACATATTACATGTGATGGTTGCAGTTATTACAGGCATTCAGCCCTACAAATGAGTGTATCAAGGCCTCTAAAATAGTGCTTCCTAAACTCTTTAGTGAGGACCCTTATTTTTGTCTAATCCACCCTGGACCAAGTCTTTTTAAAAGATATATTGAAAATTAAATTAATATAAAAGTGAAATAAAGAAGGCATTTATTCCTCTGATTCCATGTTTGGATGTTGACGCAATTCAAAATTATTAAAAGCTTTGACACATCCCAATTTTATACTTGTGTGTAAAAGCCTGGTAACAAAAGCTCTCTGACTAGAGCTGGTTTGTGGACCGGCTTTGGTAGCTCTGCATTAAAACACAGAAAAAAAATATTCTCAAACAATCTAAAGAATGACACTCCTGGAATGATACCTACACCAACTGTAGATTTGACCTATGAAGCAATTAAGTATTTATGGAGGACCATGTGTATGCAAGGCACCGTGCAGTGGTGGTGGGTGTGCTTAGTGATGGGTGCGCCAGACTCTCTAAAGTGTTCGTGACTGAGCTCCCCTCACCCACGTGTCTGGCTCATTTCATGCTTGTCTCTTCTTCTCACTCCCGAGCATACGCAGCCACATCCTGAGTACTGCCTGGCATGACCTTGTGCTTTTTTTGTCACCTGGAAAACTCCTACTTGTTAAAAATTAGTTTTAATTAAGCAAATATTTCAAGAATATAAGAAAGGATGGAGAGTACACCTGTATATGCAATACCATCCTAAGAAACTGAACACTGCTGATATAATTGAAGCCCCTGGTACCCCACCTTGTCCCTGTTCCCCTCTCCCTTCTCAGAGGTCACCGCTACCCTAAATTTGGATTCCCAGCCAGAGTCCCATGCATGTTTGAATGTTGTTACTAAATATGCATTTGTCTATCAACTGTAACTAGTTTTATTTTTCATGTTTTAAATATTTTTATAAAAAATGGTATGATCAAACCGTGCACGTATTTTTACAACCAGTTTTCCTTGCCTCACTCTGTTTTTAGATTTATCCGTGTTGATACACCAAGCTCTAGCGTACTCACATGTATTGTTGTATGGGCTTTCATTGTATAAATTTATCATAATTTCACCCATCTCCTGTTGATGGGCATTTGAATTTTTCCAATTATCTTTTTGTTATTTAAGGTGTTTTGCATTGAGTATTCTTGTATGTGTCCTTTTGTACTATCCTGAGCATCTCCAGGTAGAAATGGTTATTTCTAAAACCTGCACAACACACCTATATCCACCCGCTTAGAGTAGTCTGTCACCAGCTGTCACTCAAGGCAGCTGGGGAGCAACCTGAGTCCAGGACTCCAGCTTAATAATAATCTCTGTGTCCTCGGCACCCAGGAGAGTGCTGTGTAAGCCAGGAGTTCAAAAGCACTTGCTGATTATTTTTTGTTCCCTACTTACATGATACTTTTAGCCAGGAACTGTTTTACATTAACTTATTTAATCCTAACACTCTCATGAGGTCTGTACTATCATTTACTCTGCTTACAGATTAAGCAACTGAGTCACAGCAAGAGGAAAGGGCTGGCCCAAGGTCTTGTAGCTCGTATGTGACAGAACTAAGATCAAATCGAAGGTGGCCTGGCTTGGTCTGACCAAAGCACCTAACAACGGAGAAAACAGATGATCCTTCCTGGCGTGGCTCACTAGCTCTTGACCACTGTGCTACTACACACTTCAGATTTTGCTGAATGGATTAGTGAATGAACATAGAAGAGCAAAAGCTAGAAACACATTCTTTTTCATTTGGTTTTCATAAAGCATGCACGGGTACGAAGAGGGTACTGTCTTCCTAACTGTGCCTTGAATTCCTTGTTTTCCTGCTAAAGGTTTCATATTGACAGCACTTCTCTTTCCTACAGAAAATGGGCAGAATTTCAGGCTCACAAGAAGTAACACGGAGCCTAGAGTCAATGACAGTGCCTCCCGGGCAGAGATATTCTGACTTGGATCTCCAACCCTCTATCTCCAAATATCTCACAGCAGGGCTGGCTAAAAACACAGGATATTTTATTAATTTTATATTAGGACAAAATAAATTATGGGAGAGAAGTATCAGAAATTCAAGTAAATTATGTCAGATTAAAATGAGAAAGACTGATGGATCAGAGCTAGAATGATGGAAAATTGCTGTAATTCTATGTTCAGAACACTGCCCTTCCTGGTAGGAACTATTTCTCCATCCTCGATAAAGGTGGACTCTACAACTGCCAAGTTACAGTGAGAAAGTCGGTCCTGAGCAGTGTCACATCGGCACACTCTGATCACAGAACCCTTACTTAAACTTGCAGTTTTCCAGCTGGGGCCTGGAGGAAAACCCTTCTTCCTGTCTGCATACACTCAGTGGGAAGGAAACTGTTTCAGGCCCCTGGCATACCAGATCATTTAGGGGATGAAGGGGAAGTGCACTTTTGAAGAACAGGAGGAGGTCAACTTTCACATTTTGAGCAACCAAAGAATTAGGGCAAGAAAGGCAGCAGATTCTTGAGTAAATAAATGCCTTTCTTTTCTTGATGAATGTGGTGACTTATCAGAGAAGGAGCTTGGCTGCCTGGCAATGCGGGCACACCTACCTTGTTCGCGGCATCTCTGGCCTGCTGAATGAGCTCTCGGATGCGGTCCACGTTATCGGAGATGTTGCCCAGTGGCAACAGCTGTTGGTTGATACTTTCAATCTTGCTCAAAAGATCAGGCAGCTTGTTGGTTAATCTCTTTACTAATGGTGAGATTACAAAACATAAATTTATAATTACAAGCTGAGAAAGGTTACATACAAATGTTCTCATTTACAGTACTTGTTAAGTAGGATGTTTGGGTCCCAAATGTTGAACAGAATGACTTGGAATCAGGTAATAGCTTTTCTAAACATGTCAGAGATTTTACTCAGCAATGTAGAAATCAAATCATCTTTTTTGAACACTATAGGAAAAATATCTTTGTTTTCTAATCCTTAATTATCAATCATAATTTAATACCTCATGATCCAAGGACCTATACCTCCAATTTCTAAAGTGGAAAATCAACAGCAATGTTCATGGATCTTACCTGGTCCTTCTAACTAATAGAATATCCATACTCCTTGAATGTGTTATATGACACTGTTTTCTAATGTTTTAATTTCTAAGATCACACTTTATCATGGAAGAATTTAAACTGGCCAAAGCACATAACAATGGAGAAAGTGGACCATCTTTCCTGGCCAAGAACACGTGCTACCTGAGTTATCCGCATCCGTGAGAGCCTTGTTGAAGTCTTCGCTCTGTGTTCTCCCATAGGTCTCCTTAATTCTTTCCACATCTGTCTGAATGGGGTTGAGCCCATCCAGAACCTCATCTGTGATGTCATTGGCATTTCTGACCATGTTCCTTGCATTATCGATCATACCACTGATATCATCTAATGCACACACAAATAGGGAGGTGTTAAGTATCTAAACTAATCAACGGAAGACGCCAAGTACGGGTTCAGGAAATGCTGACCTCTCTCTATCCCACGAAGATCATCACGGATGGTAGTAATATTGGTGTCTATCACCCCTTTCTGAATGGTCATAATTTTCAGAGTTTGCTGTAGCTTGTTCAGAGCTGGACTGATTTCTAAAACAAAAAATAAAGCATTAGGAGGCAATTACTCTATGAATTTTGATCCTGTGTTGATATTAGTGGCCCTTAAGTAGCTAGTGACTGCATGGCATTGAGCAGACCTACATTTAAGGGAACCTCCCACAGATGCCCACTGCTTGTGTCTACACCCACAGCTCCAGGGATCTCTGGTTACAGAGGTCAGGAGCACAACCTCCTAGGAATACACATGAAGAAAGGGAAAAGGTTAAAATAACAAAGGAGAGGGCTTAACTTCCACTCTGTTTAGGACAGAGGTCTCAGCTTAGTGAAGGAAAGGGATGTGTTTGTCTTGTTCAATGCTGTGTCCTCAGACAAAGTGCTGTGTCTGGCACTAGTCAGGGCTTGATATAAGTCCCTATTTATTGAATGAGTGAGTGAATGACTGTATGAATAAATGAACCACTGTATGAATGAGTGAACTCATGAATGAATAATACAGAAAGGATGCTTCTTCAGTCTCAGAGCATAAGAAAGGAGTGTTGCTATCAGAGCCTTACCTAAGCAAACACACACACAAGTAGGCATTGCTCATTTCCAAACATTTAAGGAAATTCAGTGAAAGGAGCAGAACACACAGACATTCCCAGTTGATAATATTGGCACTTTGGGATCATGAAATATGATTGGTGAATACTTTAAGATGAAATTGATAATAGAAGGCTTAAATTATGATTCCAGGACTGGTTTAAATAACAATATAGACAAAAACCATATGATCTCTCTTGTACATAAAATCTAAAAACAACAAAAACTCACAGATACAGAGAATAGATTGGTGGTTGTCAGAGGTGGGGGTAGAAGGAATGGGTGGGGGAGTCAAAAGGTAAAAAAAGATAGAGCTGGCAGAAAATAAAAGAAAAAAGTAACAATGTAGTTAGCATCCTAAACCTATTTAAAACACTGATCCTCACTTCTTAGCTCAAATTTTATAGACACTAGATGTCATACAAGAAAATTTTCATTGTTGAAATTTGTTAGGTAGATGATATATGCTAATATGTATTTTTTATATTTTATTTAAATTTTATAGAGAAAAGAAAGGAAGGAAGGGAGAGAGGGAGGGAGGAAGAAAGGAAGTTATTTAGTTATTAGTAGAAGGCATCTAATCACTCTGGAAGGACTAAGAAGCTGAGGGAGGACTGCCCTGCTGTGAATAACCATGAGGAACCAGAGAAAATCAAGAGACAACATTTTCAGAACACAGGAATTTGGTGAGATTGAGACAGCTTCTTTTTTTAAAAAATTAAATATGTGAAAAATTTTCAATGATAAAATTGATGGTTAAAAAAATTCTCACACTTCTCAGTGATGATGGTTTTTGGCACTTTTAAGTTGCTAAGATTTCAGGACTTCAGAAATAGTGAATCAGTTACTCTGACGGCTGGAAACTAATGATCTTGACCTTAAATAAGAAATCAGAACTTCACAGACCTCTATGCTATGTGGTTTCCCAATGCCATGGTCACAAGTAGATTAAATTAAACAGCCCCTTGAAGACCAGGCCAAAACAGACTTTTTGCCCTCAAGATTTATTTATATTCATGTGGTTCCAGTTAATTCAGTATATGTTAGAATATTGGGTAGAAACATCAAATCTATAAAATAAACCATGCATAGATTTACAAATCTGCATCAATGCTGAGATTTGGGAAGAGTGGGTTTTTTAGGGCTGCCTTCCCTGGTCCTATAGGTTGTTTTCAAGACCCTGGGTATAATCTGATTACCAGCGGGGCAGTGGGTGGGGGGGGGTGCCCTGCATACCTTGTTGTAGCTTCTTCTGTGTTATCTTGGCTTCATTTAAAAGTTTATCACTGTCAGAACTCAGGGTTTTAGCTTTTCTTAGAAGATTTTCCTTTATCACTGTCTGAAAGCAAAGCATTTATCAGCCTTAAGTATGTGGTACAGCTTAGGAAACACAAAGTAAGATTGTATATCCTACTCTAAAGCCCCTTATCTATAATCTTTAAAGAATGAGGTTTGAAGGTGAGGAAGAGCTTTAAAGAGACTGTTCCTTAAAAGACAGAGTTAGGGACCTAGGTGGGCAGCTGTGGCTTGGGGAAGTAGAGCCATCTCTAGTGACAGACTGATGAATCATATGACACTTGTCTCATTTTCTCACCGTCACCTGTGCAGCACCCTTTGCAATAACTGAAGACAGAACTAAGTTGCTCTTAGGTTTTTAGTCTTTGGAGGATAAAAGTCTTCAACCTTCCAATAAGGCCTTTCCCCTAATTCTTTGATATTTGATATTTTGTTCTTTACTTTTAAATACAGGAATATTATACGGTACATATAACATCCCACAGGACTCCACCAACATGCCTAAGTGTGGGACAAAGAACAGGAAAGAACTGGTTATCAAATTGCGCACAGACTTCTTGCTCTCCTTTGTAAATGTTAATACTTAATCACAGCCTGAACGCATCTCAATAAGAAGCAGGTTATAATATTTGTCTTGGTTCAAAATTGATAATTAATGTAATTTCTACCTGGTTGTACAAAATTTAAAAAATTATGCTACATCAGTCATATAACTATAGAAATGGGCCTAATTTGGAGCAAGTTCAAGTCTATTCTATATAACAAGTTCTGATTTAAAGTAATGCTTTTTGTTTTATTATTAACTTTTGTCCCTCAACACGCAAAGAAAGAAAATAAAAAAGCGAGTCATCTCCAGAGCACAGCTTGAGAAGGCGCCTGTGTGGGTGCCCACCTGGTAGGCAGACTCAGATGCACTGCTGGCCTTGTCAGCAGCATCCTCGGCCGCTTTGATGGCGTTGAGGATGTTGTCATAGGCCATGGCTGCATCCACAGCGCGGCGCACCAGCTCATCAGCACTGACGTTCCTCTTGATCCTGAAAGACATACAGAGGTTAAGTGCTCCAGCAGCCCACCCCTGCCTGCCACTGAGGCTGCGGATTCATTTGGCAAGAGAGACCGGAGGCTGTAGGCCCTGCAGCTTTGCTCCAAGGATGCAACTGGGAATCAGTACCCTGTTGCAGGTGGGGTTTCAGACCTGGGTCCTGGGCCAGCCCTTTACCCCGTTCTGGAGACCTAGCCCGCCTGCCCACGCTGGAGGCTTTCACAAGAGACCCCAGCAAGGTGTGGTTAGGCCTCCAGGGCCCACACTCACTCCTCCAGCTGCTTTGCCAGCTCCTGTAAGGACTGCGCATGCTCCTCTGCCTCTGCCACCAGCGACACTTTGTTGGTGGATTTGGAGAGTTCTGTCACTTTGTCATTTAGTTCGCGTCTTACTTCATGTACAGTGGCAGCTAATTTCTTATATTCCTATTTTTCCAAGTAAACAGAGACAGTGTCAGTTTAAGCAAAGTATGTACGTGCCATTTTCTTGAACTGTCCTTAATGACATGTTTCCAAGAAGCATCAAGAAGAAATTTGTTTTCTAAGCCCCTTTACTGCACCAATTAATCTTTGATTACTTCAGACAGTGGTGCCGATAGCATTCTCCCAAGTTTAAGCAGCATTTGAACATTTTCCTTATGGTGAGAGCTCCCTTCAATACATTTTATAATGGCACACTGTTATCGTTAGTGTAAAGTTGTACTAAATCAAAACACTTGTTTCTTATTTAGAACTAGCGATCATAAAAGATATTTTCAAAATGCCCATTGGGTTAAGAAATATTGTCAATCTTTTATCAGTCCTAAATATTTTCTGCTAATAAAGGTATGCTTGATATTTTAAAAATGGCACTTAAATTTCTTAAATTATGAAAGTACGGTTTGCTCATTGTACACAAACCAGACAATACAAACAGGCACAAAGAAGATATGTCACTCAAACCCTCATCCAAGGGAGCCCACTATGGGCACTTTGGTATATTTTCTTCCAACTAAAAGACATACACTGGAATACAAAAATAGGTCAGCCTGTCTCAGGTTCCTTGCAATATGTTTTTCAGTTTTCTAGAGAACAAGGTTTGTCTCTACCTCCTGGCTTTTCTCCATCAGCTGCAGCAAAACATTGGTTTGCTGTAAGGAAGAGTCTGCAGTGGCTAGAGACTTGGTGAAATCACTCTGCAGGGAATTCATGTCTTTAACTTGTCTCTGGAGAGAATAAAAAGAACATCCGCTTGAGCTACAGAACACGTTATCAGCAGGCACAGGCATATTTATTGGACAATAGCATATAAGTAATTTCAGAGTCAGAACGTTTTATTGAACTTAAAGATCCTCCAGGCAACTACAGAGTGAGGGGAAATCATTTCCTTCTGCAGTGCGGGTGTGGGGTCATAGTAGTGACCTCAGACTATGTGCCAATGAAGCGATAGTCACCATAGTTGAAGGTTTCTACACTGGGGTCATCCTGGACATTGAGGAGGCTATATAATTAAGCTCTGATTTGTGGAGAAGGATGATGGATTTGTAACTACATAAACCAGCACCAACCAGCAGCACATCCATATGCCACTCCCCATTAGGATGTAAGTGAACTTCAACAACAGAGCACATAGGACCTAGAAATGCCAGGCTAGGAGGTGGTCAAAGTTCAGAGACCCAGAAAATTGGATCCTGCTCCCTTGCCTTGGCAAAATCAGGACTTCAACAGAGGTGTTACTATCTAAAGAGACTTTGGGAATAAAGTGTACTGCCATCTGCTAAGATATTATTTATTCTCTTTTACCAAGTTCTTTTGGGGAGTCAGTCCTATGTTATTCCACTTAGATCTTACTGTCATTTCATAACCTCTCACACTTTTGTTATTGGTTTAGCATACTATGTTCCTCATTCAAAAATATGTACTATAGAATTTTGAGCTCTAAATTCTGTCATTGCAGCTTTTGCATGAGCAAGCAATGGCTTAAAATGCCCTTTGCTGGTGATTATGATAATGATGTTTACACATCTGGCACAAGAAGGTATTTAAAACACTATATACTTTGAATTCATAACAATATTAATTTAATTTCTCATCTACTTGGTAACATTATTCCATTAATATTCTATCTGCCAGGGAAAGGGACCAATTTGCTTTGTTTTCTCTGTGGTTTAAGCTCAGAATCTTTTCTGGCAACTAAACAGTAGGAATAACTTTGGTTTTGCATCGATGCCTCATTCCTATTTGATTAAAGGGTTCACCAGACAAGGAGGTGCATACAGACTAGATGTACAGACAGGTCCCTATGCCATTTAATCAACAATAGAGGTCCATCTCTCTCATCCTTGTCATTAATGAAAGTGTACAGATCCTAAATGTGAATTCACCTTGAGGGATTCCAAAGTCCTTTCATTGTCTTGGTTGAGGTCAGTGGCCTTCTTTGCCTGGGCAGTTGCGTCCTGCAGTGCAGTACGAAGGTCAGTGAGTTTGGCTTCATAGTCATTTAAAGAATCCTGTATGCTCTTCACAAGTCCATTGCTCTCCATCTGGTGGGTTTCCAGCCAGCTCCTGATCCGATTCAGCACTGTAACACATCACTTTATGTTTTCCACTTAAGAGTTGAGTATGTTGCAGCTAAGTTATAAAAACTACAGAAGGAGAATTGAGTTTCTAATCATTTCATGGTTTTCCTTGCATTTGCAAGGGGATAAGATAGGAAACTAACATTTATGTGTACCTGCTCTGTGCACTATACTTATTGCCTTGTTTAACTTTTATGACAACCACATGAAAACAGCAATCATTCTCATGTTTCACATAAGGAAATAGAGATTCTGAGAAATTAGTTGACAACCTAAGACTGCATGACTAGTCAGCCTAGAGATTTGCACATGCTTTCCTACTGTTATTTCTATCTTGTTGCAGTTAAACACTAAGGCTAATTTTAAATTTAAACAATACAAAGGCTAAAAGAAAACTGCTATTATCTGTAGCAATTATCAACAATTGATAACATTATTTTACTAGAAAATAATGAATAATATTTGAACAACATGCACCAAACTCATATTTCTCAGTTTTGAGCTGATTTGGCATTTTCCTTAATTAAAACTTTAGCCATATGCAATTAATTTCTACTTCATAATTTTTTTGTAATAATAATGCTAGAATCCATTTGTAATTTAAACCCCAATGGTGGTGAGATGACCATTCAAAAATGATATCATGAGAAAGTTGGAACTGAAAGAAGAATAAGATGCAAAATGCAGTAAAAATGCAAAAAGAGATACCAGTACCTAATATTTTAGGAGAAGAATCTTTCTTGCTTTCTTTTCTTCCCCTCCCCCCACCCCTTTTTTTTTTGCATGATGTTAAGATGTTACATTCTACACCTTCTTAGTAACTTGGTTGGCTACCTGTTGTCACCACATGGTGCTCTCACAGTAATATACCCTGAAATGAGGACAACCTCCACCCCTAACTGGGGACTCAATATTATACTTTCAAACCAATTAGAATGGACTGAATGCAAGAGTTTGGGAGCATCCTTACAGAGCTGAGCTTCTCTTTTTTCAGCTTCTGCTTCTCTCAGGTGCTTTCCGAAGTCGCGGTTCCGCAGTTCCCTGATCATGCGCTCTGCTTCAGCCAACTTCCTGGGAAGATCACCAGAAGGCAAGTTGTTCCCTCCTCCATCTGTCCCAGAGATCTGCCTCAAGAGAACTAGAAACATGGAGTAGTTTATTAGCCTGGGGGTTCTGGACTCTAGCAGACTACTTAAGAAAAACGCACATATTTTTATGCGAGGGTTCACATTAGTTTTTTAGTATCATTGCAGGATCTTCAAAATGTTGAACCCTTAAAGGAAAATTCTTTTGGTGTGTAGATAAAGGCTGTGCAATATAAAAAAATTAATTGGGTTGAGTAACTCTTCTTACTGTGAACGTTTCGCATGACATTTTTAATCTTTGTGTCCAGCTCTTTTGCGCTCTGCGTTGTCAAATCAACGTTGTCATACAATGTTTGTACTTTTCTGGAATTCATTTGAACCTATATAAAAAAATAAACAGATTAGCAACAAACTAAGTTAATGGCAGGAGGGAAATTAACAATATTTTGAAAGCAAAAAAAAAGTTAATGTTATTGACCTAACACATTACCTTTTCTTGCAAAGTGTCAAATTCACGATTCAAATTACTCAGTTCTTTTTCTAGGCCAACCATTTTTGAGCCCTGATTTGAAATGGCAGAACGGTAGCTGAGCAGCTGATTCTGAAAGGCAAATACAAAGTTAATATCACTTTAGAGTAGAAATCTGGGGTAAATTCTATCAATTTGGTAAACCTGGTGATGATATGAAAAGATTCACTTAGCAAGACCAATGCAGGTTCCACAGGGAAAAAAACATGGTTCTTTGAAATAGGCTACAGGAAGAGTCTACTTTCTGATTGAAATTGTGATATGGCTCTACAATAAAAATAGCAAAACTAAAAACTGTGAAAAGACAAGAGATACTTTACTTGAATGAATGACCTGACCTTATAGAAATGAGAGTGATATCCCTTACCTGATGTATTAATTTCCAGATTCTATAATAAATTCAGTTGTTTTAAGTTGTTATATTTAACCTTATAATGCTAAAAACAGTGCGTATGGCTATTTTATTGAAGGAACAATTAAATTCAAAAAATGTTAGAGCAGTAGGGGAACTCAGAGCTCATTTAACTGAATATCCTCAGATTACAAACGGCAAAGCAGAAGCCTGCAGAGGCTGGGTGACTTGTGCATGCCATGGCTGTGTAGCCGATCACTATTGCTTCAGGCCAGCCCCTGTCCTTTCTGGGGTACTAAGCTGCCTCATTTGAGAAGGTGACATTGCTGTACATAATATCTAGAATAGTCATTATTTTCAATTTTTTGGAAAAAAATTGAAAAAAAATTGTTAATACCTTAAAACTTTTTATAGGAAAAACCATATCATTACCTCTCTTTGCCAGTGTTGGGTAAAAGAACACAGGTTTTGCAGCTCAGGTACAAACCCTAGGTTCACCCACTGAGCCTGACCTCCTTCATCAGGATATTGGAGATTATAATATGAAGCTGCTGCGTTGTTTATGGTAATAAGTGAGCTGATGTATTATAAAACATCATGCATACACAAGCGATAAAAGTGTTAGTTCTCCTCTCACACTTAGCTTTTACTGAATTTTCACAGTGTTTTTATGATATAGCAAGGAAATAGTCCTATTTTAATTTTACTCTAGAAGAACAGAGACACATCGTTTTGTCTAATAATAGTGGAACACCTGCTTAAAAGGTACAGTGGTTAAAGCGTGGTCTCCAGAGTTTGATCTTGGATGGAATTCTAGAACAACCACATATTAGCTGTATAATTTTAGGTAAGTTATGTAGCTTTTCCATGCCTGTTAAAAAAACATCACCATTTCCCTACAGGATGTTGTAAGAGGTAAGTAAAGCTTTCAGCACAGAGCCTGGCACAAGGGTGGGTACCGAAACTGCAGTGGCTTCATTTCTTCTCAGAGCCTGAGGGCCTTTTCCCCTTTCCCTCTATACTAAGCATGTGAACCATGGATTAAAATGGTGCTGAAGGGAGCATTATTTTTTTGCTATGTATACTCAGCTATAGTCACTAATGAATTTAGAATATGCTCTTACTTCAAAAGCACTTATTAAACTTTCCCCAACACCTCTTTCCCTATGTCTAGTTCACAAAATTATTTTACTTCAATGAGTATATTTTTTCATTTCCATGGTTTTTTATTGGATCTTTTTATGTCTGCCTCTTCTTGTTTGGCTTCTGGTTTTAAATTTCTTGTGCCTTCTATAGGTTGTTGTTCTTCAAAGTCATTTCAGATTGTCCCATGATTTGCATTTTCTCTAAAGGGAACTCATTGCTTGACTGCTGCTTCTGTTAGATGTCCCTCTCAGTGATATTTGTCTGTTTCAACTATTTGTAACTCACTGGCATTGTTTGCAAGCTCATTCTGAGTGGGAGCACTCCTCCCCTGCACTCTCTGTGTCCTGTCAAGCGGTCTTGTGGTTACCGCCACTCCAAGCCCAGACCTCCCAGTCTAGGACCAGATCTCATTTTGTCAGCTTAGGACTTGCACAGTGTGGTGTTGAGGATGTCACATTCCAATACGGACCCTAGTCTGAGAATCTAGTCTAGGTCTCAGATGTCAATTGGTAGCTTTTCTAGGTTCTCCTATAGCCATTGGCCAACCATGAGCATTGGAAAGTTTCAGGGTTTTTTTTTCTTTTCAGACTTAATTCATGTGAGGGGATCCTGACTCTTGCCCTGTGGGGCACTTTAGACCATATTACTTCTCAGGACACCCTCTTTGCCACCTTCTTTACAAGAGAATATATGACATTCTCCCAGGTGGAACACATTCTGAGCTATGAAATAAATCTCAACACACTGCAAAGAACCAGAATCAAATAAAATATGTTTTCTGATGACAACAGTATTAAGTTAGTAATCAGTAACAGAAAGTTATCTGGAAAATACTCAATTTGGAAGTTAAACAACACACTTCTAAGTAACTCAGGGATCAAAGACATCACAAAAAAACTAGAAAATCTTTTGAATTGACTGAAAATAAAAACACAACACTTTAAAATGTGTGGGATGCTTCTAAAGTGGTGTTTGGGGGAAATATTTAGCATTAAATGCTTATAAATAAAAACAAGAAAGGCTTTGAATCTATAAAATGAGCTTTCCTCTTAAGGAACTAGAAAATACATACCAATTTAAGCCCAAAGTAAGCAGAAGGCAGAAAAAAATACAGATGAAAACAGAAGTCAGTAAAATTGAAAATAGAAAACAACAGAGAAAATCAATGAAATAAAAAAATATGAACAAACCTCTAGCCAGAATAATAAAGGAAAAAAAGGGGCAAACACAAATTATCAATATCTGTAATGAATGGTAGGGCATCACTACAAATGTTTCAGATATTAAATGGATAATGAGGGAAAATTATGGACAATTTTATGTCCATGCATTTGGTAACTCAGATGAAATGAAAAATTATTTGAAAGACATGAATTACTAAATATCACTCAAGAAGAAGTTGATAATGCAAATAGTCCCATATTTATTTTTAAAAACTGAATTTACAGTTAAAAAAATAACTTCCAACAAAGAAAACCCTAGGCCCACATGGCTTCATTGGAAATTCATCAAACATTTAGACAAAGCTGTTCTTGAGTCTTCTGAATGCAAGACACTGAGCTAACGGCTCTGTGAGAAAATTTACCCCAGGAACATTCAGTAAGGTGTGTTCACATAGAAGAGTTATTCTTGTGTGTTTACTAATACTTCCCATCAGTAAAAATGTATTCTTCTCAGTGAAATAAGTCAAAAAGAGAAAGACAAATACTGTAGGATTTCACTTAAATGTGGAATCTAAAAAGCAAAACAAATGAACAAATTCAACAAGACAGAAAACAGACTTGTGGATACAGAGAACAAACTGGGGCTTGCCAGAGGGTGTGTAGGGGGTGGGCAGAAAAGGTGATGGGGATTAAAGGGTACGAACTTTCAGTTATAAAACAGGGAAGTCACATGGAAGTCATAAACAACACAGAGAAAGTAATAATACTGTAATAAGTTTGTATGGTGACTGACAGAAAGTAACTAGACTTATCATGGATCACTTCAAAATGTATGTGAATATTGAATTACTTTCAGATGTTATACACCTGAAACTATTACAATATTGTAGGTCAAGTACACCTCAATTTAAAAGAATCTAACCTTCATTTAGATCAGAGGAAGGAGGAAAGCCAACCCTCCCAATAGCCTTAAATGGAGTCAACCTCTCCTTTCCGGCTGGAGGAATATTCATTCACACAGCATCTATTCAACACTTATCTAACCTGGGCCAGCTCCATCTGGACCCAAAGACTACTTACTCTCAGGTCCTTGGTCTGGGTCTCCAAGTGCCCCATCTGTTCTAGAGTGTCCGCACTGACACTCAGGCCCTGCAGCTGAGACTTGATTTGGCGGAGCTCGTTGCCCATGGTGGCCAGGTCATTCAAGAGTGTCATAACACAGCTGTCACAATCTGTAGGGGCCACAATCAAAGGCAAGTGTTCTGCAGGCTGGAGCCACAGGAATGCAAACGGAGCACAAGCGCTATGCAGCCCAGTGAATTTGCACATGGACCACCACAGGCAAACATCACAACCCTAGACTTCTCAGGGAGGGGTGCACACTTTGAAAAAGGGAGATCTCCAAACAGGATGCATTTTAAAAAGAAGCGGTGGAGTGGGGGAAATGAGTGAAGGTGGTCAAAGGTACAAATGTCCAGTTGTAAGCTAAATAAGTCCTGGAGATGTAATGGTCAGCATAGTGACTACAGTTAACAATACTGTACTATATATTTGAAAATTGCTAAGAGATTAGATCTTAAAAGTTCTTACAACAAGAAAATAAATTTCCAACTATGTGAGATGATGGATGTTAACTAAACTTATTGTGATAATGAATTATTTTATAATATATATTATACATCAAATAATTTTCTTGTATACCTTAAACTAATACAATATTATGTGTTAATTATATCTCATTAAAACTGGAATAAAAGAAGAAATGGTGAGTCTAGACAATTAGTTGCTTATTTTATATGTGAGAAAGCTAATACTAGTTTTTAGTTATTTATTGCTATTTACCAGGCATTGTAACAAGAGATTTACAAGAACTTCCCCAACAACCCTGATGAAGTTGATACAGTTATTATGTCCATTTTGCAAACAATGAAACTCAGGCTGAAGGAGTAAGGTCACTTGCCTAAGGTCATACAACTCTTAGGTGATAGAGGCTAGGTTTGACCTTAAATACTGGTCCTCCTACCTCCTCTCCAGCTGCTTTCCCAGGCTGGACACTGTGTATTCCAGCATGGGGCTCACGTACCTCAAATAAAACCATACAACTTGGAAAGGACAGGTGTTCTCTTTACTCACCATCACATTCTTCTCCAGGGCCGCTATCTTTGGGTTCCTGGTTTATGCAGTCTGACATGAGGGATAACCGGAGAAGACAGTGTAACTGAGCATATTCGTCATCTGCTTTTTGACTTGGCTTTCAGAAGAGCCAATTTTGCAAGATTTGAGTCACCAAACTATCCATCAGCAGCAGCTCTTTCCTTTCCCATCTCCCAGCAGTCTTGCTGCAAAAACTTTTCTTGTGACCTCTCTGATTATATACTCAGTTTCTTCTCTATAAAGGGCTATGCTGTTCTTATAAAATCAAAACTCCTAATCATTAGGGTTGAGACTTTCTTCATTTGACAGTCTCCTATACAACTCTTGACATCTCTTCCAATACCATTCAAGAACATTCAATAAACATCATTGACACCTCTGAACAACCCCTGTGCACCATAGTCCTGTGGTAGGTGCAGGAAATCTAAAGATACCACCACAAAAATCCCTGCTGTGCTGTGGTTTAATGGTCCCATGGGGAAGGCAGACAAGCTACACAATGGTGGAACAGATGCTGTGAGAGAGATATGCACACAATATTAGTGGACCCACACTGCCAACTCTTATAAATATAAGCCAAAATTTGAGGTTTTCCACTATATCCAGGAAAGCCTACTGGTCATCCTTGCATACTGTTTACCCCCTTCCACTTCTCTACACCCAGACAGTGCATTCTTACACTGACATATCCCCTCATTTCACTCTGTAAAATCATTGAACTTCACCATAAGAAAATGCTAAGGTTGAAAAGTTCCTAGACATGCTACAAGGAGGCTTTTGTGTTTGTTCTTCTCACCAGCAGGCAATATTCCACACTTTGTGTGTGTGTATTTTATTACACATTCACTTTTAATTGTAAAAAATAATACAAATTTACTATGGAAAACTTGGCAAAGTCAGAAAAATTAGATAAAAACATCACCCTCGATCCTACCACTAAAACACAATGTCTCCTTTATATATATTTGTACACATTTTCATATAGTATATATAGTCATAACTTTCTCTTACTCATTTTTTAAAAAACCATTTACTCATTCTTTCCTGGATATATGGTTATGTCACTTTTATTTCCCCAATTAGATCATAAATGCCTTATAGCCAGGAAGGAAGTTTGGTTTCCTTTACAATCTCCCATAGCACCTGGAACAGTCTGGGGGTGGGGGCGACTTAAGTGCACGATTGACTTATCAGTGCAATTTTCTCAACAAGTCTGAGTTTTGACCACCAAGAAATCTATACACTATTAATTTTAAAAAAAAGAAATAATGAAAAAGAAAAGGAAAAATCTCACAGGAACAACTGAGTCTCACATGTGAGCATTTTCTTCCATCTTTAGAATAATATTTACTGTCATAACTTCACAGTGCTTGTTTTTGTTACTAGAGGAGGGAAAAGAGGGTTGCAAAGACATTGACCTCATGAGTAAGCCATGGTTTAGTGTTGAAGCATCTCCTTGAGTCCCTCCAAACACAGTAGAACTCAGTTCCTTTTAAAACAGTGCTTTTATCTTTAAGCATTTGGCACTTCTCGATCATTTAAAATAGATCTCCCTTTAGCTTCCACTCTTTGGTATCTGTTCTATCCCTGATGCCACATAGAATTCAACCAACCCTTCTTCCTCCCACCAGCCTTTCAAATAGGTACTTTCCAAGACTTCTCTTCATTGTCCTGGTTTATCAACCCTCCTCCACATGACGTGGTTCTAAGTTCCTTCATAGTCTCACCCTGTTTCTGAACAAACCGTAAGTTGTCTATCACTTTCTAAAGATAAAAGCCTCACATGAGGACTCACAGGAGCAGCCTGCCAGAGACTGGAAGACACCTACCTGGTTTAAACACTAGAATTCAGTGAAGATAGTATGAGGTATCCTAGGAGCCACATTACTCTCCTGAGCCATATTGAACTTATTGCTAAATAAAAGCTTAGTCTTTTTATATCTCCTACTATTAAGTCACATCTCACTCATGACATACTTAAAGGCTGATTTTTTTCCCATTCAACAATAGAACCTTATGCTTATCCCTAACATAACGTTGTCTGGTTAGAATCAGCCCATTATTCTAGGCTGTTGAGGCCCTTTTGAATACTAAACATGTCATAGGAGGCATTTGCTCTCTCTGGGTTTCATGTCATCTGATACTGTATTTCCACTCACATCAACAGTCTTGAGTTGATATTGAAGATGGAGCCAGGCTGAAGCCCTGAGGCATGAAACTAGACACCTCATTCTAGACTGAGAATCCATCCATTTACTCTGCGTTCCTTCAGGAACAGTCACTTGACCAAATCTAATTCATACATCCAGGGTTTTGTTTACAACTATAAGATGAAAGACTTTAAGGGTTCGGCATTGCACTATATCAATGGCATTTTGCTGAGAAATCACATTAATATTCAAGGAAGAGGTAGTCTTCCTTTCTCTTCCAAGTTGTTCCTAATGAATCCATACTATTCCCAGTAATTACCTTTTCCTTGATATGTAAAATCCACCTCAATTATACCTCCCACATCCTGGACATTTATTGCTATCAGAAAAGAGTACTTTGACTTCAGATATGCACACAACACTGCTGTGACAATAACCTTATGAAACAGAGATCTTAGCAACACCGTCAAAATAGGGTATGAAGTTGTTTTGGCTATAATTAGTTGAGTTATACAAATAATTTACTTGAAGTAAGTTATAAAAACAACTTACTTGAAGTAAGCTATTCACCAGAGCTGAAAATACCACCTAAGCATTCCACAGTTTATCAAAATAAGGGGACATTTTGTTAGCTAGAATTGGGTATTATGCTTTTTGAAAATGTTTACTTGGGTTCTTCACTTGCTACTTTATACTAGTCTGATAAATGCAGATTAACAGAGGTATGAGTTGATCTTACCTCCAGTCAGGGGGTCACAACTTCCCAAATGACCATTGTTATTACAATTGCATGGCTGGCAGCTACCTCCAAATTTCTGGGGATTCCCGAAATATCCTGGTGCACACCTACACAAAAGACAGAAAAGAACTGAAATAACAAAGTATATAGAAGAAAACATAGGTACTAAATTTATGGACCTTGGTACTAGAGAATGTTTTATGAATTTGGCCCCCAAAAGCAAAGGAAGTAAAGGCAAAATAAATGAATGGACTATTAAACAAAAAAAAAACTTATGCACAGCAAAAGAAACAGACAACAAAATAAAAAGGCAAGCAACTGAATGGGAGTTGATATTTGCAAGCAGCAGTTCTAACAAGAGATGACTATCCAAAATATATAAAGACCTCCTACAACTCAACACCAAACAAACAATCCAATTAAAAATTGGCAGATCACTTCTCAGCCTTTTAGCTAAGGTCAAGTGTAGTATCTGTTCTTATCAGTTTAAAAAATGGGTAGAAAACTTGAATAGACACTTCTACCAAGAACACATACAAATGGCCAACAAATATAGGAAAAGATGTTCAGCCTCACTAGCTATTAGGCAAATTAAAGGTACAATGAGATACCACCTCACACCTGTTAGAATGGCTATTATCAACAAGACAGGTGCGAACAACTGTTGGAGAGGTTGCGGAGAAGAAGGGACCCTCATTCACTGCCGTGGGAATGTAGACTGGTACAGCTGCTATGGAGAAGAGCAGGGCAGTTCTTTAAAAAATTAAGAATAGAGTTACCTTATGACCCAGAAATCCCTCTTCTGTGTATCTATCCTAAAAACTCGAAAACATTTATTTGCAAAGATACATGCACTCTTACGTTCACTGCAGCTTTATTCACAGTGGCCAAGAGATGGAGACAACCAAAGTGTCCTTTGATAGAGGACTGAACAGAGAAGATATGGTACCTGTATATAAGGGAATACTACTCAGCATAAGAAAAGATGAAATACTGCCATTGCAACAACATGCATGATTCTTGAGAATATTATGCTACACGAAATAAGTCAGAAAAAGCCAAATACCATATGATTTCACAAATATGCGGATATAAAACTGAAACTCATAGACAACAGATAGACAACCTCATGGTTCTTCCTTCCAGAGGGATGGGGGTGGGAGGGCAGTAGAAGGTAAAGGGGGCCGAATATACGGTGGTGGGAAATGATTTGACTTTGAGTGGTGGGCACACAGTGCAACGTGCAGATCATGTGTCACAGAAGAGTACACTTACAACCTCTCTCACCTTACACACCAGTGTCACCCCAGTACAGTTAATAACATAAAATTTAAAAAGTAAAGTGATTATAGGTAGGTAAAAATGCCAGTTTAATTTTTAAATGTCCCTGCTGAATGAGTATAAATAACTGATTCCATCACATCTCGCCCCTGAGAACATGTCATTTTAACACTCTACACGACAAGTGGGAAGCATATCGAAAGCCTCCCTGCTACAGGCAGGAGTGCCACGCTGTCTCAAGGAAAAGCATTTGTATAAACATTTGAGTTATGATATGAAATAGCCGCTCTTTCCATGGAGCGCCACTTTGACATGGAACAACTGGGAGGTAATCCTGCAGTTATTCAGACTTGGCAGATGTTTTCTCTAAGGCGAACAAGGAAAAGTAATCATAACAATTGTTTCCAAGGATAACAGTTGAGCTTTCAGGCAAAAGTTCGATTTTTAGAAAACTGGAATTTGCTGGCTGAGTTTGATACTTTCTAATTCTTATTTTTTTCCTGATAAAATGAGTAGTGATATGGATGAATATGACTTTTTATATCATATAATAAAATATGTAGGTATTTGGAAGATCTATATGACTCATTGAATCAATGTTTTCAAATCATCAGTACATGATATTACATGCATGTGTAAAAGATCCATTCAAAGTGCAAGACAGGCAATGGGTTTTAATGTAATAGATTCCACATGGCAAATAACCTTTAAGAAAACACAGCTCGTCAGGTTTGGGTGTAGTATCAAAGGAAAATATCCACAATCATCTGAAAAAGCTCTAAACATTACTTCTCTCATTTTCAACTACATATCAGTGTGATGCCAGATTTTCTTCATTTATTTTGACCAAAACATGTAGCCTCAACAGAATGAATGCAGTCCTTGTGCCCTGTTGAGTCCAGCCTCAACAGCTGGCCAGACTCCGCAGCTCCCAGCTCACCCAGTCCTCTGCCAGGACCCCTCACTCCTGCTTGTTGGAAAGGCTATGTCCCTTACACAGCACTTTTCATTGACTACTTGATTGTCCAGTAACATTGGCTCTAAGTATTGTTATTATTGTCACTAACCTGGGGCACAGGTAACTCCCATTAACCTGGCTGGTAAGTGGCACTCCAGAGACTCAAACCAAGGTAGGTCAGCTCTGGAATCCAGCCTCCCACCTATTATATTTTACTACTTCTGTGCTGGAACATTCTCCAGTTGAGGGAAATGCTGTATCTTCAATCCAGAGCTGGTTCTTTGGTTTGAGGTTAAACCATTTTCTCCAAACCAGCTAAAAAGACCTCTTGCCTCTCTATTAATTCCTTTAAACTAAAATTTATCCTTTTAATCTTTCCACTAAACCAAACTATGGGCTGAATATGTTCCCTCCCTACCCCCCCAAAAAAAAATACTGAAAAGAGGAGAAACACTCAAAGAACTCATTGTTTATTCCACCTAATTTTCTCAACCTTTAGCTCCCTTTTGGGGATATTATAACCCTATCAGAGGAAGATAGAGTAGCTTTTCAAGAATGAATGTGTCTCAGTACAGAAATACTTATGGCTTGTGTGAGAGCATGATTGTGGGACGCAGGCGAGCTTGCTTCCTTCCTCCTTGACCCCGAGGAGGACAGACTCTTCAGCTAGCCCTACAGCCAAATGGCAAATCAACAAAATGCACACAGGAACCAGTGGTTGGATCAACATGGAAATCAGTGGTGGCTGAGGCAGCCATGTGCCCCAGAGCAGGCTGTGAGCTGGGAAGCCTTTCCTACCCTTTTGCCCAGACTGGCTGCTCCCTCCCCTGCCCAGCTACTGTATATATTCCTGCTTTTTCTTCATGCAGCCCATGTCATCATCAATGCACAGTTAATGGTTATGCTGGGACTGATGCCTGGTGCACAGTGGTTACTCAGTAAGTGTTCAACAAATGAAAGATTTTGACATTAAAATGGCATTTACTTGTGAAAATATTTTTTAACATTTCAAAGAAACAATAGCTTGCTTTCTTGAGACATCAAATGTAACAAACATAAGCCAAGATAAGACTTATTAATTAAGAATTTCCCTTTTCAAATCAGCTGTCTGCCAGATGGGTGTCTCATCCAGCCTATTGTTGATTTCTGCTTTATTGATGTGAAGGACCATAAGGAAGACTGAATTAGGATGTCTCTCCCAAGTCCCACAGCTTTTAAATCACAAAGCCTGGAAGATCTTCCCAAGTCCCATTGTCAACCCCACCCACCCTTTAAAAAATTTATTGGGGTGACGTTGGTTAATACAATTATATAGGTTTTAAGTATACAATTCTATGCTACATCATTTGTGTATTGCATTGTGTGCCTGCCACCAAAGTCAAATCTTCAGTCATCATCAAAAGAAATTGCCAACCAAACAACAAGGCAACCAACCAAATAAAAGATATTTGCAAACAACAGCTCGGACAAGGGGTTAATATCCAAAATATATAAAGAACTCATACAACTCAATACCAAAAAAAATCCAATTAAAAAAATGGGCAGAGGACTTGAACAGACACTTCTCCCAAGAAGACAAGTGACTAACAGATATGTGAAAAGATGCTCAAGTTCAGTAGCTGTTAGGGAAATGCGAATCAAACCTACAATAAGACACTACTTTACCCCTGTTAGAATGGCTGTTATCAACAAGACAGGTAGTAACAAGTATTGGACAGGTTGCAGAGAAAAAGAAACCCTTATTCACCCACTGTTTGCTGTCCAGTATACCTGTCTGTCCATCCCTCAACCTTCAAGGATGGTCGGATGTCTCTCCTACTGCAGCCTGACTCTGCCCAGTTATGTTCTCTCTCACTATCTTATTGGCCCGTTTGTGTGTTGTTCTACCACTAGACTATAAAAACCCTTGAGGGCAGAGTGTCTCTAGTGCTTAGCACAGCACTGAGCATATACTGAGATCTCCATATACTTTTCATCAAAGAAAAGAATGAATAATAGATTTGAGGCAAGTGTGGGCAATGTTTGCTGAAATGGAAAGCAGAAGAACCTTGAATTACTGCTTTTTATTATAATAGGAGAGTTCCAGACACTTGGCAGACAGTTCCAATAAAGCACCTCCCTTCCCCCTTGATGTGTATCTTCCTCCAGGCCCTTTCTTGCATTACTTCCCTGACCTGAGCTGCCTTCTACCTCCCCCTTGCAGCTTCACTGGCCCCAGTCACCCCTTTAACCTACTTAAGGCCCACCTAGTCCATACAATGTTCTAGATAACCCCAGTCTAGAGAGGCCCCGTCTCATTATAAAATTCAGTTAAATTAAATTTCTGTTTTTTTTTAATTTGGTAAAACTCTTCTAAAGTTTATCCAGAAAAATAACATGTCAGAATGAACAAAAAAAATAGCTTAAATAAGGGTTACAGGGGGACTCTTGATCAATCAAATATTCACTCAAAGGCATTTTGTATTTCAGAAATGATACAGAAGTGATAATGGCACAAGAGCCAGATAAAATGTACAGAAACAAACTCAAGTTTATATGGACATTTTATACACAGACATTGAGCTTTAGTGAATTTAACTAAAGGTACTTGGCAGAAGGAGCGAGTATGAGAGAGTAAGAGGGAACCCAGATGCGGTGTCTGTCCCCACTCACTCCGCGAGCACGCAGCCCGCAGTGAGCATGGCATGAGGGATGGGGATCTGCTCCTTCCCCAGCTGGTCTAGTTTCCTTGTGCTTCTCCCACAGTGAACAGCTCCCCATACTGAGTGGTCTGGTATGTAACCAAGTACTATGTGTATCTTAGGTAATGTGGTGCCTGGATTATTCAGAGATGGGATATTGGGATAGTTAAGGTTATTTGCCTTACATGTTGATCCTAAATCTACCTACCGTGTGAGATGCAATACCACCAAAAACTAGGTTCCAAATTTTCACCAACATAAAGATTTAAAGGTGAGAAATAAAACCATAAAAGTACCAAAAGAGAATATGCATAAACATTATATCACCTCTCTGTGCAACACCAGTAACTGAAATCTGAAAGGATAATAGAATAGATAGAAATCTAGTAAAATATAACTGCTGCATGTCTAGAATTGACAAAAACAAAATAAAAAATATACAAACTGAGAAGAGTATTTGCAACTTAAAGTAGTAAGGATTAATTTCTTCTAAAAGATGTACAGGCCAATAAAAACAAACATTCCACTGGAAAAAATGGATAAAAGACCTGGATAGCAGTTCAAAAAGTAAGATTTATGAATGGTTAATAAGCACAGGAAAAAAAACACAATTTAATTATTAAACAAAGAAATAGAAATTAAAATGATAATAAATGTTTTCCTATTAAATTGGCAAGTATTTGAAAAATCGATCACTTTTAGCATCTGCTGGGGGCAGGCAGTCATTCTTTCACTGCCGGCAGGGATGTAACAGATGCAACTTTTCTGGAGGGCAATTTTGCAAAATATGTCAAAAGCCTGAAAAACTTACCATCTTTTGACCCAAGGGGTCCACTTCTATAATTATGTCTTGAGGATTTATATACACAAAAATTTAGCTAAAAGGATCCACTCTTGGTTTTGCTTTGAACAGAAAACAGTAAAACTATCTCAAAAGCAATAGTAAGGGGGATGGACCACTTCAGTGGAACTCTTGGTACTGACACAATATTATCAATGAATACTTACTGATATGGAAAGATATTACCAACATATTATTAGGTGAGAAAACAAGTCAAACAGAAAGTAAAATAGAAATCTACTTTCATTTTTGAGGAGAAGTCTGTGCATATAGAAATGATCTGTAAAACCTACAACAGGCTTTCAACAGAGGTTTCCTGCAGGTGACGGGATTGTGACCGCAAGCGAGCAGGCCTGCAGTGGGCGGTGCAGGGGTGTGGCGAACCTTGTGGGTTCTTTGCTCACCTGTGTTACATCATTTTTATAATAAGTATGTATTGATTTCATGATAAACTTATTTTAAATTTAAAAACATGTTGCCTGTATGATTCATTTGTGATACTGTTACTTTTCCAAATATGTGTGTGCTATCTTCCCCGCTAGCTTGTAAGTACCTTCTACAGCCTTCACAGTACTTGGCAGTATCCTATGCATGGTAGCTAATCATGAAGTATTGTGTGGGGATATCGAGGTGTGTGTGTATAAGAGTGTCTACGGCTGTGGATGTGTATATGTACATAGGACTGTGTAGAGTTTGTGTGTGTGTACAGACAAGTAGGAATATGTGTGGGGTAGGGGTATGTATATGTAGGGGCAGGAGTATGCAGGGATAAATTTATATGGAGGTAGGGGTATGTAGGGCCATGGATGAGGAGGAAAATGCTGAAATATGGAGGGAAAGGGGCATATAGGAATATGAAGAGAAAGGAGTACGTAGGGGTGTATGAGGATAGGGGTATATGTTGGAGAGTATATAGGGCTATGACATTATGACATATTGGACCTTATTCTCAAACTTCTGAAATGAACAGAACAGGAAAGAGAAGGAAGTTAATGATTTATTAAGTGAGCAGTCTTGGGTTTTTCCCAAGAGAACTTTTTTCAGCCTCAGTGAAACTAACAGCCCCACCCTCAGCTCTGAGCCACCACAGGGCAGAGCCCCACCCACAGCCCAGGTGCCTGCAGCCACCTGCAGAGCCCATCTCCACCTGTAAGATGGGGGTGGGGAGGAGGGAGGAGCAGCACCCACCTTTCACACTGGGCTCCTGTGTATCCAGGTTTACAGGAACACTGCACACTTCTCCCAGTCACAACACAGCCGGTGGCAAAACTTGAAGGAAGACAGAACAAAGCCCTCGTGAAAATATGAATTGATAGGCATTGTGCTTTTTTTTTCCCCCACAAAGAACTGACTTGCGTTAAGTGAAAACAAAAACCAAGGATCTGGCTACTTTCCTTGTGAAGAAAATTTTGCCCATTGAGACTTGTAGAGGTAATGATGAATTATTTCAGCTAGCATTGGGCAAATTTTGTTGAATAAGGACTGAAGGCATTTATTTTTGTTTTATTTTTGGCCTGAAGAAATACATTCCTTCCCATAAGATGGAACAGAGCAACCCACTCTGGAAGAGATGATTACAACAGGGTTTTTCCAGGAATCACAAGGAATAAAACAAGCCTGGGCAGAACAAAAGAACAGAGAGTTCTGATTCTTTAAGAAAATTTTCTGCTTGTTTATTCGAGTTCTTTTAAACTGGGCACATTGCCTTCTGGGAAGAAAAGGCTGTGGAGAGGCCAGGCCCTCAGAGCCGGAGGGACTGAGGCCCAGAGCACAGCTGCCACCCATGTCCTGCTGTGGGCACAGGCATGGTGATTTCCACATTTTTAAAATCAAGTTGTGGAGCTTCGATTCCTTTTCCTTTAGTTCTAAACTGGTATACATTGGAGAATCTTTTTAAAAAACATTCAATTAAGAGATCATGGAAAAGCCCTGTTGTCTTGTGAAATGTCTCTGTCTGCAGTGTAAACATTTCACTGACATAAATCTGAGAAGAAATAATTCCATTTATCATTTGCTAGTAAAAAAAAATTTATTTGGGGAAGCTTCTCTTGGCCTGTGAGGTGGATACAGAGTTACAGCTCTAAAGGATAGCTAGAAATTCGTCAGCAGGTAGTAATATTGCTAGAAGGAGAATTAGATAAAGATAGGGCTTTACTGATAAATCTGAGGAACTGCGTGTCACTTCAACTGCGTGGAACCTGGATGCTGACCCTGATTATAACCATACACTTTGCCACCAAAGATGAAAAGCTTTTCTCAAGCATCTGGTGAAAACCTCACTGCTTTCTGCTCTGCCTCACTTCTGTTCAAACAAGCCTGGGCTGGTGTCAAGGGATGGATCTCTTTACAAATAAAGCTGCAAGACTGGGCAGGTTTAAGGACTATCAAGTCCATAGATAGCAATGCAGGGTGAACGTTTCAAATATGCATCTCCAGAAAAGCCACATTTGGGCAAGTGACTTCTGGTAATTTTAAGATGTGGCCAACTTCTCTGCTACTTGGCTGATATCAATCAGCCTTGTGGTCCACACTTGTTCCAGAGCCTGTGTATTCCTGACACTTTATCAGGATCTTCCTGATTTTCTTGCTTCTCGTAGTTACTTATTCTATTTTGCTTGGACCCAAGTGAACACGCCATGATGAGCAAGAATATAACAAGGTACCAAGCACAAACAGAATATGGGTTACTATGGGGGGAAATGGCGGCTTGCTATCTGTATAACCTGTCTGCTATATTGGAGGAATCTGAGCGACAACTCAGATCGCACAGCTCTGTGGCTCAGGACTGCCCCGTGGCTTCTCTCACACTACGGGGAAAATCCAGATGCCTTACTCCCGCATGTGAGGTCCTACAGGATCCGAACCCTGCCCGGCCAGCGCCATCTCCTGGCCCTCTCTCCCACATCGCACTCCAGCCACTCCTGCCTCTTCACTGTCCACAAACACAACACCACAGGGGCTCTGTCTTTTCCTTGCCTGCGACCCACATTGCTAGGACACTGCCATGGTTTACTCCATCTCATCATTCATTGGTCCCGGCCCAACAATGTCAGAAGACCCTCCTACCACCCTCTCTAAGGAATCTACTCACTCACTATCAATTACATAACCCTTTAATCAATTGTATAACTTATCTCTTTCTAAAAGCATACTTCTTATTTATTCGTGCACAAATTTATTGAGTGTGACGACTCCCCCCTTCCATATTCTCCAGAGTTCCGTGAGTTGTGAGTCTTTGCCGTTCTTCTCTACTGCGGTTGCCCCAGCATCTAGAGAGGGCTAAGTCCCAGCCCTGCAATGGATGCTCAGTAAACACTTGTTTAGTCATTGAATGAATAGCAAAGGGAAGAGAAAAAGGAAAAACCCAGAAGCATACAACTTGGAAGACTACTTTTGTCTTGCACTTTTTGTTTGTTCTCTTTTTATATTGCTGCTTTATTGAGATAGAATTCCCATAGCACACAATTTACCAATTGAAAGTGTACAAGTCAATGGCTTTTAGTATAGCCACAGAATTATGCAACCATTACCACAGTCAATTTTAGAACATTTTCATCTTCCCCTAAAGAAATCCGTATCCCATACCTTTTAGCATTCATTTCCCATTTTCCCTACACCCCCATCCCAGTCCTAGGCAACCACCAACCTACTTCCTGTCTCTATAGATTATTTTCAAGCTTCCACAGTACCTGTTTGAATGAGGACATGGGCAGACGCTGCAGGACCCCTGGATGGCATTCCCATAGTAACCTTCTTTGCAGCGCTCACAGTGTTCCCCCGCAGTGTTATGCTGGCAATTCTTGGGACAGATAAACAGTATAATTAATAGCAGCCAACTGAACATTTATTATAATTGAGATCATTGTCATTTTAATTACTCACACACTTATAACTCAAGTCCTCTGACTTGTATGGTGATAGCAGTTTTGCTAACCATATATTTCCCTGTATATCTAGTTATTGTTGGTGTAAAAAAGGACGTAAACGTCCTTCCACCAGCTATTTGGGGTTTAATGTTGGGAGGAGGCATGATGAAGTGGAGAGAGACCAGCTGGGTTCAAATCCCACTCTGTTATTTCATAGCTCCGGGGCCTTGAGCAACTTCCCTCACCTCTCTGAGCCTCAGTATCTTTTATAAGTCAACTTTGTTGGTGTATGATTCACATACAATTCCAATTTTCTAAAAAGGTATGCTAAGAATAATACCCACTTTCCAAGGTTGCTAGGAGAATTTTATCAAGTATAGTAGGACCTCAACAAATGTAAACCCTTTCCCATTTCTATTCCTTAGAATGGTTTCTATGAAAATTAACTTGATTTGACTTTGTAATTCACAATGATATACCAAAAAGCAATAAAACTGAAATAAGTTTTTAACACAATGCATTTGTTAAAACAACAAAAAGTTGCACTGTATCTGAAAAAAGCACTCGATTGAATTTTAATGTGTCAAACAAGAAAGACATTAATTTTATCTAACCTTGTGTTTATGTGAATCTAATTATTTTCATGTACAAATCAATGTCTGATGAAAGTTGTTCTTCAGTCCGGCATTGGGATGATACAACTTTGCAACTAGCCAGAATACTGAGACAAAGCTGAGTGGATTGTGTCAAATTTATTTAGTTTGTGGAATTTTTAGCTCAGTATAATCTTTCTTGGCTTTATTCTAGTAATAAAGATTTTAATGCACAAAAATAACCTGGCAAACACTGCTTACCAGAGGCATTTGATAATTCAGAGATACCTTGTGTTTAATTACACAGCCTGAAATAAGCACACTTTTAAAAATGTGCTTATATATGTCACGTCTGTATGCAGAGACAGTGCTTGAGTAGGGTGTGAGTTTTAAGCAATATCTGAAGTCGGGCTGGGAAAAACAGTATGTGTGTACATCCTAGGTGGGAGCGGCCCTGCTCCGAATAGCAAAGACTGTCCTTCAGTCATCAAGGTCCTCAGTTTGTTGAGCTTCAACAGGTCTGTCTTCCACAAACCTTTGAGAAACTGAGAATTACAGAATCCACTCAGATGTTGAAAGATCTTTTCTGGACATAAAGTTTTGCTATATGCACAAGGGATTAGTAATTATATCAGAAAATAGGCGAGCCTCTAAAGGAGGATACTGGTTACCCGTAAACATTTGATCATCACCAGAAAGCTCACCCCCGTCCTGAACCCGCTCCTCCTTCCCCAACTGTCACCACCGAGTGGGGTTTTCCCACTGGCACGCACACTGGAAACAGGTCCACACTGCAGTGTGTCCGATCCACAGCGGAGCCTCTCAGGGGTGTCAGGTGAGGTGCAGAAGGCTTCCTCCACCTTTTCTTTGCCTGGTGGTCCCAACTCTCTCAGATAGCATCCATCTTTTGAATTAATTAGTTTCTTCCCACGTTAGTTTCCTTTCTTTTATAACTCCAAATGACAATTTTAAAGAAGACATGCTTGAATAGGTATATCTTAGTCCTGTGACTATTTAGTTCTTAGCTGAAAATGCTAGAGAGGCAAGAACAGAGAGAAACAAGAAGTGCAGTGAGGTCATCTGTATTCTACTAAAAACACTGGATGCTGGGAGAGGGTCGTGCAAGGGAATCCGCACCTGTGTTGCTTGATAAAGTCCCATGAGCATGTCTGAAACAACCCCTCATCCTCAGGTGAGTGCATCTACCCTAGAATTTGTCTGTGTCAGTCCTGCAAATCTGAGGCAGCTGCCTATCAGAAACCCTGTGTTTCATTGTGAAAATGGATGTGTGGGTGAATGAATGAATCCACACCCACCTCCATAACTTATGCTGTCCTAGCTGCATTTGATACCAAACATCTACTGGGTGTTTATTCTATGTTCAACTATGCTAGATACAGGGATGCAAAAATGGATTGGTACCTGACTCAGGTAGCTAGAACCCTGTGAATAGACGTATTCAATGCAGTGTGAAAAGTATGATGACAAAGGTGTGCCAGCAGCCCGTAAGTGCAAGAGGAGCCTTATCAAAGGGCTTCTGGAGGTGATGATGCCTTCTGCATGGAGAATAGGAGGAGAGGAGTTAGCTGAGTGGAAAAGTGAGGGAAGGGCCTTCCAGGTCCAAGGATCCTCAGTGCTGCAGGAGCACAGCAGCGTGTGCCGGCAACACGAAGCAACTGGTGCTCTGAAGGGTGGAGTGCAAGGGGGGCGCATGCACCTGGAGAGGCAGCATCAGCTGTGAGTCTCATGTAAATCAGTCTGCGGGAAGGAGAGAAGATGGGTTTAAATGGCGGGGAATAAAAAGAAGAAAAATAGAAGATGAGAAGAGAAAGGGGAAGAGATATGGGAACAGACAGGAAGATGAGGGGTGACTGAGGAGTAGACGACAAGGGGAGTGGGAGATAGGAGAAATGGTGGGGGGAGAGAAAGTGGGCAAGGAGAAGAAGGAGCGGCAGGGCCCCAGTGGGGGGAGGGCATTACTAGTGGAGTGGGGGGGGGGCGCATCACCATCTTCACAGATCCCTTTGGCACCGAAAGACCACATCACCTCCTACTTCTGCCTCTCAACTGGACAAATAGTGCTTTCCAGCAAGGCGTTGATCTTTCTTTTCAAACTTCAAATTTTATTCTTGAATAAAGACATGGAGATTTGCAAATGTGTGAAGGTCCCAGATTTTGGAAATTGATTTTGGATCTTGAGAGGCAAAGGTCACCATGCGGAGGAATCAGCCCTTTTGATAGCGTCCCCATCGCTGTTCTGTGAGAATGAGGGGGCGTCCTCGGCGCCCATGCAACCGCCACATTTGAGAGCAGCATCCACAGCCAGTGCCGCCGCCCAGCAGTTCAGTGAGTGTAGACAGGATTCTGTGCCTCCATGAGTGTACATGTGTGTGAGCATCTGTGTGCGTGTGCTTGTGTGCACACACACAGTCTCCTCTAGACAGCAAGCCTCGTGAGAGTGGGGATTATCTCTGCTGGTTTTAACTTTGGCACTTAGCACAGCCCCTCCCACAAGAGCAAGTGCGCAGTAAGGGTTTCTTGAATGAATAGTTTTTAGAGGTCACGTGGGCAGTAGGGACAAGTAAAGACAGAGCTAGAGAGAAAGGGAATGGGAGAGAAAGTCTTGTTTGGTTATACAGCCTGTGAACTATGACTCTCACTAGTGATCCTTCCACTGGGTGAAGGGACTACAGAGTAAACTCCCTTTGTTCTTCGGCAGCTTTTATAAAGTAGATTCAACATCTAGCAATGGTTCAGTGAAAAGATAAATATCTATATCTCATTAAAGCATTTACCTGTGTTCCACACAATACACACGATCAAACATAAAGTATTATAAAAGAATAGATATGAGGTGAAAAACATTATTTTTCAATGTCTTTAGTTCTTTTTGAACTCATAAGGTCAAAATCCTACCAAATATTCTATCCAGCTCTTCACAGTTTCCTGTCTTGGCCTGTCCCGTCTTGCAGAGGAAGCAGTTCCCTGGGACATGTTGACTTGGTTTAAGACAGTCTAGGAACCAAACTATTGAAACACTCTAGTTGCATTACACAATGCAAAGGAAATCCATGCCAGAAGAAGGTATTTCAAACAGCACAACCTAAGTGGGGGGCTCTGAGTCTTGTGGGTACCCACACTGTTTCCCTTCCTTGGAACTGTCCATCCTCTAACTGGGGAGACGCTGGCTTCAGGGAGAGGGATTCTGATAAAAAAGAAGTCGGCAGAATAAAAAAAAATATGTTCTGCTTTGGGATACAAAAGAAAAGTTTCCTGAGAATCTAATTTTCTATGGGAGAATTTTCCAAAATTTTCCAGAAGAAGATTGTTTTCCAGCAGATAAGCCACAGACAGCAGGGACTCTGCTCGCCTGTTTTCCTACATCAGCCCACTGTGTCTCGTCAGCCGTGAGGGCATGCGCTTGACGGAGTGTGCGCATTACGCCTTTCTTAGCTTCTCCTTCTCCCCTGGTTGCCTTCTTGAGCGACTGCTCATCTGACAGCCACAAAACTCCCCTCCAATAACCTCCTGCCACCCCACCAGAACTGGAGCCCATAGTAATGATGCTTATTTATTATATCCTGGCAAGAGTTAAGTCCCAGGATCCACCCATTGATATCATTGAATGAAGCAGAGATTTAGAAGCTAAGGTATAAATGAATTGTTCAGACAGGTGTTCTCCTCTGGCGACTCATGTTAAAATGGAGGAAAAGTGAAGTGTAAAATCATTCAGTCTGATAACACTTTGCCTCCTGCATTTATTGGGTTGGCCAAAAAGTTCATTTAGTGTTTTCCGTAAAATGGCTCTAGTAAGGGTTCAGTTGTCTTTAACTTCATTTGAAACAATTTTGCTAGATTGTATTTTGACAGCTGTCATATTAGTGTTCATTTTTAAAAAACATCAAAATTGGTGAATTTTTATGTAGCCATTTTAATATTGAAGATGGAAGAAAACATGTATTTTGACATATTATGCTTTATTATTTGAAGAAAGGTAGAAGTGCAACTGAAACGCAAAAAAAAGTTAGTGCAGTGTATGGAGAAGGTGCTGTGGCTGATCGAATTTGTCAAAAGTGGTTTGTGAAGTTTCATTCTGGAGATTTCTTGCCGGATGGTGTTCCACAGTTGGGTAGACGAGTTCAAGTTGATAATGATCAAATTGAGTCATTAGTTGAAAACAATCAATGTTATACCATGTGGGAAATAGCCAAAATACTCAAAATATCCAACTCAATAAAGTTTGTGAAAATGAAAAATGTGCCTTTTACTTTATGGGAAACACTAAACGAACTTTTTGGTCAACCCAGTACATAGCAACCTCTACTTAGGGTTTGGTAGGAGATGTGACATTTGATGTTTCAGGGCCTAGCAGCACGGGAAACAAGAAGACAGAGACTGCCTGCAGGTAGCATTACAGTATCAATTTACTCACAATACATATTCCAGAGCCATCCTGGCATCGATTGGAATGTCCGTTGCAATTGCAGGGAACACACCGTCCAGTATACACGCCTTTGTTATCCCGATAGTATCCAGGGCTACAACCCTATTTTTCAAACAAAGTGTTTAGTCAAAACAAAGAAAGAAAAAGATTATCTAAAGCATGTGACAATTCTGATTGTCAAGGATTCGCTTCTTAAATCTTCTCTCCTTCAGTCTATGTGTGAATTTCTACTTTCTAACACTATCCAGGTCTCCTTGATTTTTTCTTTTTTTTTGTCAGGTTCTGGTGTGTGTGTGTGGGCACGCGTGTGCCTGAGTGGGAGATGTGAAGTGGGGAAACCAGAGGAAGGGGGAGTTTGGAGGGTGGGTGTGGGCATGGCTCTCACACCACCTGTTTCCAGGGTGAGTAGACGGGGGCACTGGTGAAAGAGCAAAGGGGATCAGGACCTCAGCCTTAGTGGGAAGGACCTGAAAGCAAATCCCTTCATGTTCAAGTTCTCTTTGGTAGCCATTCCTTCTCCAAGTTAGGGTTTGTGCTGGTGAGTGCGGCAGTATGAGGGGAGGGTGGCGCAAGGGGTCTTCCCTGGATCTACACAATCATGGCAGGCGTGTGGAGTCCTTTCTCCTCCACTCAGCAGCCCAGGGGTACAACAGGGAAGCCCAGGGAGAGGAACGTGCCTGCCTTCACATACAGGACTTTTCGGGGGTATCTGGTCTGACTGAGCCCACAGACACCCAGCTCCAGGAAATCCCCCTGTGCCCTTCTCTTGTTCAATGTCGCTTTGATCATTTCTATCTCCAGTACATTGTCTGCTTCCAATGTAACATGAGTTATCATTTTTTATATGGATGAAAATAATTATACCCTTTTGATGAACTGATGTGCTTTTAAAAAGCATTCTAGTAAAGAATGTCCCCAATAGAACAAAAGCAATTATTCTTACACTAGCCACTAAAAATTATTTACATTTATGTTTTTAAACAGAATTACAGACATTTTCATTATTTCAGTAGAGTGAAGCAGTGTGCTGGTTAAAATCAAATGTTGCCCCTAGTTTCTTTCACTCATCTCCTATTTGCTCTATCTTTAAAGCATCGGGAGAAATTAATATTTCAAGATAAAGGATCTTTTCTCCAATCCTCTTTAAATAGCACGTATGCCTGTAAGACTCTGAAACTCCAGCCCGGGGAAATTTTGAAATGAACTGTTTGTCCTGATTCATCTACAGTCACCAAGGTCTCTTGCAGTCAAGCTGGGAGAGGAAGAAACTGACGGGAAGGGCGGGGTGGGGGGGGGGGAGAAAGCCTCCTGCACTCCCCAGAGTGGAGCATTCCCATTGCTGCGCTTCTTCCGAAGTCACCAGTGACTACAAATTGTGCACAATAACAAGACTATAATTTCCAATATACTTTTCCTTCTGCTATTAGAACTATGCTTAGGCAAAAGAATACATTGCAAAAAGTGAGATTACTTTATGTGTTATATGAATAGGCTTGTCTAAAGGAGAATCAAAGTATGAAAGGAATGCTCTTTAGCTTTGAAAGCTAAACTGAGAGATACGTTTTAAATAAATTAAGCCAATGATGGTATGATCATATCTGCAAACAAACAATCTCTGCTAATAAGGGGCAAGTACCGTATAATTATCACATATATCACATTACATACTTACACAATAATCGTATTTGGTAGAGAACAAATTATCCAAATAAGTAAGTATATCAGGTTCATTTGTGACAACACACCCAAGTATGTAAAAGCCTTAATTAAACATGCTTTGGGGGGAAGGGTAGTCTAACCTGAAAGTAAAATCAAAAATTGCTTTTGATTTGAATCAGAAAAAGTAGTCTGCAGGCGTTATGTGTCATGTTACTCTCAGATAAAACATTTGTCAATTGCTGAAATATAATCACGTTCTCACCTCTCTAAAGCACACAAACTCACCATTTTACATGAAATTCAGTTCAAGTATTCAGACTGCATTAAAAACTCACTGTGTTAAATAACAGTGAATGTATCCTAATATATTATTTCAGTAGATGGGTTTTGCAGCTAATCATTTTTTCAGGATAACTTGTCCAATAAATTTTTATAGTACAAATGATAAAACTGTGTCTCTGTCAGGTTTCCAAGGCTATTCCAGCAGCCAGACATACGACCTGTGTCTCTGTGAGCATACATGTAAGATCCAGGAAGTTTAAAGAGAACTTTAAAGTTTGAAGTTCTAACAGAATGTGCAAGTGTTTAATGTCTGGTAAATTGAAGCACATCTGGTAGGTCTTTTACAAACTCGATCTCATCAGTTTTTAACACATGGATTTCACTGATGTTAATGTCTTACTTTATGGATAATTTTTCTTCCAGGCAGAATTTGAAAGCCTCTAGACATTGTACTTTTTGTCTTGAGGCTTGGGTTACTCTCCAAAGGGCACAAAGTTTCATAGCATATTAACATCCCACAAGAATTCAAACTCTGCGCCGTCTCGGCATTTCCAGGTGGGCTGATGTTTATAGGGTTGTGGTTAACAACTCAGGAGAGCAATCTAATCTGCTGGGCGCTGCAATAAACACTGCCAGTCAGGGGGAGGGGGAGACCATCGGCCCCTCCCCCGGCCCACGCCTGACTCCATTCATTACCCTAGCTTAAAATGTCACAAAGCTGGGAACCCCTCCCCATCATCCCACACCAAAATTAAAAGCGACATTACCTGGCTGGGTTTAAACTCCACATAACTTGATTGTAGGTTACTTTGACCAGGAGGCTGAAGAAAGGCTACCCTTTGCTGCTGTGAATCGTATCCCAGACACTGCCCCAGGGCTGCCCCAAAGATCCACAGCCATCCCGCGTTCAGGGCTGACCACCTCACTGCTGTGGGCATCCTGGTCTCTGGGTGTCCTGCCGGCTGCACACAAACCTCTGCCTCTTCCTCTTATACCAGCCCTTCCTGCTCAGAGCCCAGGCCCGCCTGACTCAGGTAAGGCAGGCTGTCTGCGGCAGAGGCCCCACCTGTAAACTTCACCCATGAGTCAGCCGGTGAGAGAGCACACATAACAGTTCCACAGGGAAGCGCACCGCTCTGTAATCCCTGCGAGGTGGGGCGGGCAGCCCCTTCCTCCCACCTCGCCCCACAGAGAGCGGCACTGGCCGATTAGAGAAGCTGTAAATCACAGGCTGAGTCATGGGCAAAGAACATGCCCTGGGCAGCAGGGTGGTAATCCAGAGGTTCCACTCTTTCCCTGGGGCTATGTGTTTTATTTAATCAGGTTAGAAAAGACATAGAAGGCAGGCAGAATATTGGTGGCACCTATGGGCGAAATGTTGCAAGATATTTCTGTGGTCTCCAGAAAACCACTGCAGGTAAGATATTTGTAGATTTAAAAAAAAAAAAACAACTTATGTGGAGATCACCTTGGGATTTTCTGCTATTGGGGGGTCAGGAGAGAGGATGAAGGATGTCTATGGAATACACAGAATGATAGTTATTTCCTAATTATTATACTAATCATTGTGATTTTCTCATCTCTTTAGGAAGAGAACAGATTTACAGCCTGAGATACGAGACTATTTCATTCCATGACACATTTAAATCACTTGAGGACAAGTCAGTTCGACTGGATTTCAAGTGAGCACCTTTTGTGAGCTAGAAAACTGGACTTCGATTTCTCATCAAAGAATTAGGTTATACCATGAACTATACCTGTATTTGGGGGAGGGGGGCCACGGGAGGGAGGCCCTGGGTTAGAGAAAGGCATGAAAACCCCGGGTCAGCTACTGGGAAAGCAGCAGCTCAGATACTGGGGTGCCAACTGACAGGCTCCTTTCAACTTCTGGGAGAGTCCTGAATTTTACAACCCCCGGGGATCTGTCAGCGTCCTGTGCCTTTCTTTGGATTCTGAGACATCGTGATTTCTTTTCATGTTTAATGCCTGAAGGTGGCCCAGGTAGAGAAAAGCTAGAGCCCCGCAGAAAGTTGAGCGATGGATCCAGTGCCCCGCCCCACCCAGGATGCCGGACAGCAGGCAGGAGTCCTTGGGCAAAGTTTGTGGAGCAGGAGAACTTCCTACCTGACATGAGTCACCAGTGTAGTCGGGGGGGCAGGCACACGTCTCTACACGATGTGCTCTGCGTCCACTCCCCATGTCTGAGGCCTCCTCCAGCCCCACCCCACTCAGGGTGAGCCGCTGCGTCTCTGTGAAGTAGAGGCCCCGCAGGCGCATGTCCTCCAGTCTAGACAGCACCGTCATCAGCTCCTCCCGAGCCACCGGGGCACCACTGCTGGCGTGTCTGAAGTTCCCCTGCACAGGAAAACAGAGAGCAAGGTCTCCCTTGGGCCGGCTCACTTCCAGAGGTTTCAAAGAGGCAGACACCCAGGATGAGTCCAGGAAAAGACATGTAAAATACATGACAGAAAATAAAATAACATAAGGTAAGTATAAGCTAGTGGGTTTACATTCAGAAATTCAGATGACCTGGGTTATTCCCAAGAGGAGGGAGTACCATGTGAAAGGGGGGAAAATGAAGGTAGGAAGTAAGAAACAATAAAATGAAATAAAATCTTTCAGTGCTGAGCTTGTTCTAAAATGCACTGTGCAAGCACGCAGTGAGTGAGAAAGAAATGGGAACAAAAGGTATATGGAAACTAACTGAGTCATGCAGCTGACATCATTAAATGTACATAATTGTATCAGAAGGTACAACCTTTAATTGAACACACATTTGCATTATTTTCCTTTTCATTCTGGTAAAAACGTAACATAAAAATGATCACTGTAACCATTTTTCATTGTATACTACACTACTGTTAACTATATGTACATTGTTTTAACAGAGACCCCTAGAACTTCATCATCTTGCAAGACTGCAACTCTATACCTATTAAAAAAAACTGCCACTACGTTCCTCCCCCACCTCTGCCACCCCACACCCTGGCCACTACCACGGTGCTTTCTGTTTCTGCAAGTCCAAGTGCTTTAAATACCTCTTACGAGTGAAATCACGCAGCATTTTGTTTTTGTGACTGGCTTATGTCACTCGGCACAATGTCCTCAAATTTCACTCATGTTCTAGCCTGTGACAAGCGTTTCTTTCTGCTAAAGGTGTGATAATATTCCAGTGTGTGTGCCACCTGTTCTTTATCCATTGATCTGTCAATAGACATTTCAGTTTTTGCCTCTTGGCTAATATGAGTAAGTGTTGTAATAAACATGAGTATGCAAATGACTTCAAAATCCTGTTTTCAATTCTTTTGGATATATACCCGGAAAAGAGAATGCTAGGTCAAATGGTAATTCTATTTTTTAAATTTTTTGAGGAAACTCAAAATTGTTTTCCCCAGAAACTGCAGTGTTATAGGTTCACCAACAGTGTACACATTCCAATTTCTCCCCGTCCTTGTTAATTCTTACTATTTTATGCTTTTTTAATTAAAAACTTTTATAGTGGCCATATTCATGAGTGTGAGGTAGTGTCTTGTAGATTTGATTTGCATTTCTCCAATGATTTAGTGAGGCCAAGCATCTTTTCACATAAAAGCTAGTACTTTTAAACTTCAGATTCTGTTGCCTCCTTTGAAGAGTTCCCACATCTCTTTAATGGGCATAATAATAATACCTCATCTCTTAGGACTATCATGAGGATTAAAGTCAATTAATGATATAATATGTACAAAGTATTCAGCATAGTGCCTAGCATATAGTTGATATTTGATAAATGGTAATTATTAACACATACATATAATATTTATATAATTTCAATTTATATTTTAACACCTTAAGGTGTATTTTATATACAATAATATTGCCTCATTTTAAGTGTACAACTTTTGGTAAACTTATAGAAGCATGAAATCATTACAATGTAATTTTAGAACACTTTCATGCCCCCAAGAGAATCCCGTGGCCATTTGTAGTTACGACCCTTTCCCACCTCCAGCCTGAGGCAATTGCTAAGCTACATTCTGTCCCTACAGACTTGCCTGTGCTGAACAATTCACATAAATGCAACTTCATTCCAGCAGTTGGCTTCCATTTGCTTCATTTCTTCCCCTCTCCTTTGTGCTACTATCATACAACTCACATTTTTATACACTGTATGATCACCAATACAGATTTATAATTATTTCTTTATACAGTTGTCTTTTAAATCCGATAGGAGAAAAAAAAGTATGAACAACAGATATATTTATATTGCCTTTTATATATACCTACGTAGCTACCTTTACCAGTGCTCTGTTTCGTATGTGGATTTAAGTTATTGTCTAGTGTCCTTTCACTTCAGTCTGAAGGATTCTCGTTAGTATTTCTGGTAAGGGTGGTTGGCTATTTGATGAATTCTCTCAGTTTTGTCTATAACAGGATGTCTTTATTTCTTCTTTATTGTTGAAGGACATTTTGCTGGACATATAGTTCTCTGTTGACAGTGTAGTTCTTTCTGCACTTTGGAAATGTCATCCCACTGTCTTCTGACTTCTGTGGTTTCTGGCAAATAGTCAGTTGTTACTTCTACTGAGGATCCTTGCATGTGATACAGTGCTTCTTTCATGCTGCTTTCAAGATTCTCTGTCTTTGTCTTTCAGCATCTTTACTACAATGTTTCTGTATGTGGATTTCTTGCATTTATCATACTTGGAGTTTGCTGGGGTTGGATGTGTAGATTAATGATTTTCATCAAATTTGGAAGTTTTCAACCATTATTTCTTCAAACATTTTTTTCCCCTTTCTCTCCCTCCTCTCCTCTGGCACTCCCATTATGCACAGGTGGGTACATTTGTTCTGAATATCTCTGAGAGTCTGTTTGTTTTACCTCATCCTTTTTCCTTTCTGTTACTCAGATGGATGATCTCAACTGACCTTCTTCAAGTTTTCTGATTCTCTCTTTTTTGTGATCAAACCTGTTGCTGAGCCCTTGTCTTAGTCAGCTCTGGCTGCCAAAATAGAATACTATAGACGAGGTAGCTTAATAAACAGATATTTATTTTCTCAGAGTTCTGAAGGCTAGAAATTCCACATGAAGGCACCAGCCAATTTGGTTCCTGGTAAGAACTCCCTCCTTGGCTTAGAGATGGTCACCTTCTCACTGTGTCCTTACATGGCAGAGAGACAAAGTGAGATTCTTGATGCATCCTCTTATAAGGACATACTACAGGACATATATAATCCTACTGGACCAGGGCTCCACCCTTGTGAGTTCATTTAACTTTAATTATTTCCTTACTCCAAATACAGCCACACTGGGGCATCAAGCATTCAACATTTGAATTGATTCGGCAGGTGTGTGTGTGGGGGGGTGTACAATTAAGTCCATAGCAGCCCTTATAATGAATTCTTCATTTCAGTTATTATACTTTTCAACTCCATAATTTCTATTTGATTTTTTAATATAATTTCTATTTTGTAAATTGATATTCTCTATTTGGTAAGACATTGCTCTCATATATTCCTTAGTTCTTTAGACATGGTATCCTTTATTTTGGGGGGCTTGCTTAGAGATAGTGTTGATTTGTTGCTCCCCCCCCACCTTTCCAGTATATAAACCACATTTTCTTACTTCTTTACATGTTTCATAGATTTTTTGTTGAAAATTGGATATTTAAAATTATAAAATTTGGCAGCTCTGGAAATCATGCCCCACCTTTGCAGGATTTGTTGCTCTTGCTGTTTGTGTGTTTATTTAATGACTTTCCTAAACTAATTCCATGAAGTGTGTAATCTTTGTCCTGTGTGGCCGTGAGAGTTAGCTTAGTAATCAGCTAATGATTGAACAGAAATTTTTGCAAATGCCTAGAAATAAAAAGCCTCCTAAACTTTGCAAAAGGATTCTGTGGGCCTGTTGGGGGGACCCTGCACAATACTCAACCAGGCAGCTGACGACTCTGCTTTAGCCGTCATTTCCTGTTTGCATGTAGCCTCAAGGTCAGCCTCAGGCGAGGGTGTAGGCCTTCTCAGGTCTTTCCTGAGAATGCATACAGCCCTGAGTATGTGAATCCTTCTATGTTTCCAGGATTCTGTGGATCTTTTCAAAACCTATGGATATCATATTCCCCAAGCTTTTATTTAAGCTTTGATCATATTCCCCAAGTTTTTATTTTAAGCTTTGTGATTTGCCTATTGTTCACTCCAACTATTATCCACCATCCCAGGCAGCCAGGAAGTGAAACAATTGCCTCTAAATGTTTCCAACACTCCCCGGAAGAGGATTTTCATGTTAGGAGAGTTCTGAGTCAGGTCAGATAAAGACAGGCTTAGAAGTGGGATCATCCAGAAACCCCCCAGACAGGTCCAGTCATGACAATTCTCTGGAAATGAGGCTTTGCAGAGCTCTAATACCAGGCTACTGGCTTTTACCTTGATGCTGGACTATTGATTTTCAAGATTATTGTGAAGTTGTGGAGGGTGAGGAGATGGAAATAGAGCAGGTTGAATACCAGCCACAAAGCTTGTTGTTCTTTCCAAGATTCATCCTTTTTTTTTTTCTTGCATAAATGCTCTCCAGATTGTTGCAAGCCTTTGGTTAATTTCCAGAGTTCTGAAATAGTTGACTTTGACCATTTAGGCCAGTTTCCCTCTCACTTTTATGGAGGAGAGAATTTTAGGAGGTTCTTACTCCACCATTTTGCTGGCATCACCTCTTTCATATAAATGAATCACGTGGTATGTGGTCTTTTGTGCCTTACTTCTTTCACTCAGTATCATGTTTTTGAGCTTCATTATGTTGTGGTAGGTATCAATACTTTGTTTCATTTATTGCCAAGTAGTTTTCCATTGTATGATGGATCTGTACAGTAATGTTAAATTATGTCTGCAAGCCCTGACTGGTGTGGCTTAGTGGGTTGGTTGTTGTCCTGTAGACCAAAAGGTCGCTGGTTTGATTCCAGCCAGGGCACATGCCTGGGTTTTGGGCCAAGTCCCCAGCTGGGTCTGTGCAAGAGGCAACTGATTGATATTTCTCTTGCACATCGATTTTTTTCTACTCTTATTTCTCTCTCCCTTCTCCTCTCTCCAAAAATAAATAAAATCTTTTTAAAAATGTCTGAAAGTTCAAGATACTTGAAAAAGTAATACCTTGAAGTCTGCAAGTTCAAGGAATTTGAAAAAATATCACCTTGAAGTATTGAAAGTATTTAGAAATACACATGGAACATTATTTTAAAGGAATAGTTGTTACCAAGTAGGTGTAATATAATATTTTGTGATTCAATGAGCTCTCCTTTGCTTATCCATACTACTCATTTCTTTGATGTTAGATGTATTTGTGGCTTTCCATCCATTCATGCTGAGCAGTTGTTGGACACTCGTCAGGCCCCAGGCACTGAGGGGGCACTTAGGACGAGAGGGAGCGACAAACGTTGCACTTAGACGCTCACGGGGTATATCAGATAAGGATACTTAACTATAAGACAGGAGAGGCAGTCCCCAGTGCCACGAAAATAGTACAAACAAAGCCCTGTGAGTTTGAAGTGCTATATATTTTATATAATTTATATTTTAAATTTATATATAGAAATTATATTTATATTAATGTGATTAATATAATTAGTACTTTAAATTCATAAAATAAGTTAAAAACTCCTCTCGATTGTTTGAGAGGAGTAAGGTGTAGAACAAAGAGGCCCCTCAGGGACCCTTCCTTACGTCCCTCCTTTTGGTACGCACCTCCACCACCTGCACCCGGCCGTGATGCAGCCGGTCTGGCCGGGGGCCACTCGGCTCCTCATGGATGATGGACATGCGCTGACCCTGTTTAAAGAAATCCACAAATGCTTTAATGCTGTGGCTGGGGTATTTTGAAGTTCACAGTTGAGCTAAGAACAAATTTGTATGACTCTGCATTACACAAAGTGCCTGATTCTAAACAATTCTTTTGGGAAATAAACTGACTGGCAAGAGGATTAGTGACATGGAAGCAGAGTAATACTACCTGATACGGTGTATTTCACAAGTAGGGAACCCCCAAATTCTCCTGACTGAAAGTGGCTAAAGAGATAGAAAAAATTTTCTAAACAATGCCTGTAGTCAACACATGAGGAGCTGTCTCCATTACCACTGACAGGAGCCGACAGTGGTAGCAAGAAAGTGCTTTAGTGGGTGGGATAGACAGGAAGGTTAGCAGGGCCCCCACCTCACCCCGTGCAGCCTGCAGGGCCAGGGAGCTGCAGGGCTAGCCCCTGGAGGGGGATTTGGCCCCATAGCCCTCACCTTCTGGGACCCAGCCTCGCTCACTCAGCCTCTGCACCTCCCTCCCTATTACAGAGGCTCTTGAGTGTCTCCTAACAGGGCACAATGGGGAAGTCAGCACCCACCATCAGCACCCCCACTCCAAACACACACACACACACGCCCCAGCATTGCTGGTGTAGTACCAAACCCGAAAGGAATTCATTAGAGCCAGTGGTGCAGAAAAAAGAGCATTATCTGTGATCACAAATCATTTAAAACCTTAACTTAAGAAACATGATCCAATAGGCTCTTAATTATAGCAGTTTGGAATGAAGCAGCAGAGTAATGTTTCATGAGTCTAAATTTTTTTTCTGTGTTTGAAGGTAAAATTAAGGGGAAATTTTGATCATCACTTCTCCATGAATTCTAACAGTTGGCATAATAAGCCCTTTGGCAGTAAAATATAGGTATACCAATGGCCTGAAGTTGAAATACTCTGCAAAAAAAAAGAAAAAAGAAACTGAAATATAGCACTACCATGATGGTATTTTTCTTGTTGGGCTATTTTTCCCTTGACCGTGACTCTAAAAAGGTTGGTGCTTCATTTCCAAGGTGTTTTATAAAGATTCCTTTGAGCTTTTAAAACAATAGCTCAGTAAATTTTGTTGCTAGTATACACAGCTCATACCTGGCAGTGTCTGAACGTGAAAGTCCCACCAAAATGTGGGGCCCTCGCCTGTGCTGAGATTGTGAGACTCACTAGCCCCTACTGCACAGGGAATGACACAGAAACACTTCAGGACGCTGGAATTGTGTCTCATTGATCACAACACACAAACCAAAAGCACAGTCAAGTTTAGGCTAAGGCATCTCAAGTACATTGGAGGCAACTCAGTACAGGACATGACATTGCCCCTTCCCTCAGGAATTTCCTAGATTGCAGTTCTGGATTATGTGTTGGTACATAGTGTGCGATGTCACTTTTCTTCTCAGAAAAAACAAAGTGGCTTCTCACTATCTACATCAGGCCAAATTGCTTATCATAGCATTAAACACCCTTCTTCCTACCCTGCCAGGCTTGTCTTTGGTGACCCAGCACACGATGCTAATACAGCCAGGTTGGACTGCTTACCCGGTAAGCACTGCCCCTCTGCCTCAGTTTACCTCATTCTTGGCCACTGGAAGGGTGTTTCTGCTCTCATGCCAATGCTTAAAGGCCCGGCTCAAAGCTAACCTTTTCCATGAAGCCTTCTGAGGGTCTCTCAACTACGTAAGTCTCCACTTGGACCCCAGATCCCACACAGCCCTGTTTGGACTTCGCCCCACATGCTTACTGTTCTGTGGATTGTAGCTTTTTGCATATTTCTCTTCTTATCTCCCCTTTTGATGACACCCGTTTTGAGGACAGGGGATACCTGTCCTTTATGAACCTAGAAACGTGGTCTTATAAACAGGAAGGGCTCAAAAACATTTCTGAAACTAAATCGAAAGATAGAAACATTAAAAAAAGTTCATTTAACATGAGAAGCAAGGGTGAGATACTAAGTACATTGGGAGGGGACAAAAGAGAAACCATTTGGGCCCGGGACAGTCAGGGGCAGAGGGCCCTGAGGAGGTATTACATGTTCTAAACTTCTATTTTAGTTTCTGCAAACTATTAGAAATGGCTTAACCTAAACGTTTCATAGGCCCCTTATCAAACCATCCTAAAATCAAATCAGCACCAACTGCAACTGTTGCTTCCTGTTACTCGGGTCATGTTCTGATGATACCTACGCTGAGCCGCACATCCGGCTGCTTTTCCAGAAGAACCATATCACCAGGTAGGCCGAAGGACTTGATTTGGTAGGTGAGGTAGCCACCATATGAGGAAACCTAAAATTGAAATGATATCATCAATAGCACAAACATTCAAAGAGACTACAGCAGCATTAGCCCACATAGGAAGTTCACAGGTACCTAGACCTGGAAAGATACGCCATCCACCTGTTAACAGAGGTCATCCTTAGAGAGTGGATTGAAGATGGCATCTTAATGTTCTACGTTATGCTATTTTATATCCATTAAAATGTTTAACATGAACATGATTGAGTTTTACAAGCAAAAAATAATTCTATTATAAAGAAAAATAATAGCCACACAGAAACAAATAAGACCATTTTATTCCAGACAACTACTAAACCAAAGCATTTATTTAGTCCACAGCTATTCTAAGAAATCTAGACCATTGGTTTCTTATTTAACTGAGAGAATTGCTTAATATCTATCAGTTGCAAAATGAACTTCTAAAAATACATTTTCCAAAGAAACTTCCCCTGAGAGCAGACAGTAAGTATTTCCTAAGTGAGTATGCATTCTCCTGAGCACAAGGCCTGTCTCACTACTCTGTCAAGGACACAGACCTTCTCTCAGGGCACATGAGCAACACGATGGTGATGGAGACATGGAGGTGAATGGTCATGGTTTTCTGGCAGCACCTTCACCTCTGGTCCTGCCGCCTCCCACCTTTAAAGGAAAAACCAGCCAGGAAGGAAGGACTGACTAAGGGATGGAAATCAGAGGCAACAGTGACAGCAGAGCATGCAGGACAAAATGCCCCTACAGGAGAATGCAAACAACTTGCAGTAGGGAATGAGCAGCATTTCTGGGCTCCCAATCCACCGAGGTTTTTCCCTAGAATCTAGAGCTCGACAAAGCTTTACAGAGTTATGATCTTAGAGTCTGGAAGAATTCTAAGGTAACATGGTGAATCTTCTTACTCAGTAGAGTTGACCCTCAAACAGCGTGGGGATTAGGGGTGCCGACAGCCCTTCCTGCATAGTTGAAAATCTGTGTATGACTTCTGTCTCTCCAAAACCAGAACTACTGATAGCCTACTGTTCACCAGAAGCCTTACTGACATAGATTTTGGACTGATAACACATATTTTGTATGTTATGTGTATTATATACTATATTCTTATAATAATGTAAGCCAGAGAAAAAGAAATTAGGAAAAAAGCTATTAAGAAAATCATAAGGAAGAGAACATACATTTATAGTATGGTATGTATTTATTGATAATATAAGTTTATGTCATCTGTTTACCAGATGAAAAAAATCCACATATAAGTGGACACCCACAGTTCAAATCCATGTTGTTCAAGGGTCAACTATATTGCCTTCTTGATAGCTAAGGTAATTTTAAAAAATATGTCCCCATATTCTCTGATATCTTTTTTTTTATGAGGTGGAACTTAATTCTCTCCTCTTGAGTGTGGGCTGGACTTAGTGACTGGCTTCTATGAACAGGATATGGCAGAAGTGAGAATATTGTCATTTCTGAAATTAGGTTATAAAAAGACTATGGCTTGTGTTTTGAATCTATCTATCTATCTATCTATCTATCTATCATCTATCTCTATCAGCTGTTTTAGAGGGAACCAACTGTTGGGTCATGGGGACCCTCAGGTAACCTATGGAGAGAGAGCTTAGTGTGAAGAAGAACAGAGAGTTCCAATTTACAGCTGACAAGGAACAGAGACCCGCTGACAACCATGTGAGTGAGCTTGCCAGTGGATCCTCCCATCCCAGATGACCACAGCCCTGGCTGACGTTTTGACTGCACCCTCATGAGAGACTTTGAGCTATCCGCTCCTGGGTTCCTGATCTGTAGAAACTACGCAAGACCATAATTGTGTGTTGTGTTAAGATTCAAAGTTGTGGGGTAATTTAGTACACAGCAATAGCTAACCAGTACACGGGCCCACCATGTAGAGGTGAAGAGGAATATTATGTCAGACAGAAGTGGGGTTATGTGAGAGAAGCAACGGTCCTCATACTCAAAGGTCAAAACCCATAGTCCGGCAACCAGAAGTCAGAATTAGAGACCTCAGGCCGACAGGGCCCTAGTGTTTAGTCATTCTTAAGGTGAGGTATGACATTACTTGAGCTGGCCATATGAAACCCATCCCTTCTTGACAGGTCTGCCCTATGCCGCCAGGTGTGTATGTCACCCGATGCTGTTTCTACAGGCAGACCACACTTCTGTCCTCATGAATGAGAGCAGCTGGCCAGACTCTGGAACAACAATTTATGCAGCAAAGGAAGAACAACTAGTGCGTGAGCTCCCCAAGGAGTGCCTAACTAACTGCACGTGATTCTGCTAATGAAAGCCGAACTGGCACAGAATCTTGCGCTTCTTTAAATAAGCTTATGAGTCACCTTTCAGCTTTTGTTTTCCTGACAAGAAGTCTTTCTTCCTCTTTAAAACAAAGAATTCTCAGCATGGACATTTAAAAGTATACATGTCCCATTTTCAACAGATATTATTTAAATGGTTATTTCCTTTGGCATTAAGTAAAAAAAAACAAACAAGCAAGAATAACATAGTGCATGACTTCCTTTGCTAATGAGCTAGTACGTGTGGGGTCCATGCGTTTCTTCTGGTCTCAGCCCCTCCCAGTGAGGGGCAGTGTCTCTGCTGCATTTGCAGTTAACCTAATTTCTTCAGTTTTAGTAACCTGAACTTCCTGTGCTTTCTTCCAGACACCCGGTGAATGGTGCTCTTACCCATGCAGTGCGGGAGGAGGCCTGCAAGGTTGTAGAAGAACAAAAGGATGTCGTTACCTTGTCCCCCAGGTAGGAAGGAGGGGCTACCCAGGTTGCACTGTGAACGGTTGAGGGCAGCTCCTGGAGGTCAGCAACCACGCTGCTGCTGCCAGGGTTGAAGGACACAGGGATGTCTGTTCCATCTGCCGTCTCCAGGCGCCAGCCCATCATATCCACAAACTGGAACACAAAAGCAAGGGATGGAAACATGTGCCGGTGACTTCTTTGATGATGACTGGATTATACAGAATAGAAGGAGCCATAGGGCAGCCACCTTGCTTCAAAGGCTTCCTCCTGGCTTGACCTCAGTATTCTTGGAGGGCAGAGACCCTGTGGATTTATCTTTGTATCCCAGCACACACCCTGGTTCTTGACTTCTAGCAACTGTCCAATAAATGCTCTAATAAAACATAATTAAGTATATGAATAACAGCTAGTCCAGTGAGCACATTTTAATGGTGAGCTCCTTAAATATAAAGTATGATATGGGATACGGTGGTCTGCTTTCATTATTTTGCTGTAAGCAGAGCATCATAATTAAGTATTTCACTGATCACAAAGGAAGCCAGGAGTTAAATTATGAGAGGAAGAAAAAGAAGGAACTGACAAGGCACAGATTAGGAATAATGCTTCCGGTTTCCCCCAGGGGTAAATAGAGGAGACTTCAGAGTAGATTTACAAACTAATTTTTTTTCCAATTACAAGCCTACGCTAGTCTTAGGAGGCAGGCAATGAAATATGTAAAATCATCTTTGTTTGAATAGTTGTTGGATATAAGCCATTGCTCACACAAAGAAAGCTAGACTGCTGGTTCATTGAATAATGAAAGAAACAACAGTTTTGGTTTCATGGAATTAGTTTAAAAAGCAGCCAGAGAAAAGATATGGTAAAATACATGAGAGGGAAAGTAAAACAGGAACAGGAAGAAGATAAGCAGATGAGAAGAAGCAAGGTGGACGAACAATAAAGTCCATTTATTTAACAAGTGTTTATTGAGCATCTACTGTGTTCCAGATGCTGCTGTAGACCCTGGGAATGAATCAGGAGCTCACATTCTAGTGGTGGAGGAAGGCGGATAATAAACAAAATTTAGAACTAAATGTATGATACAGCAGGGAGTGCTAAATGTTGTTGAGTACACTACGCAAGAAGGGCAAGTGCACAGAGAACGACCAGAGCAAGCTGTTTTGTTGGGAGAGGTGAAGGAAGGCCCCTGTGAGCATCAGACACTCGAGCAGAGACCTGACAACCTGAGGGACAGAGCATGAGGACATCTGTGGGAAGAATGCTGAAGGCTGAGGAATAGCAAGGACCATGCTTAAACTTTTAACAAAGTAATATACAAAAGCTTCCATGACCTTTATGTTTCATGCCAATTCATTCCTTCCTCATTTGGAGGTACTAAATAAAAACAAAGACTCTCACTCCTTGCATACCTTAGCTCTTCTTTTATGTGTACTGTGACAGTGATTATTTATTCCAAAACAAAAGCAGCTGGTACAGCCCTTGGGATTTGCTGGGTCCAGGTAGAATGAGCCTTCTCGACACACATTACATTCTGCACCTGCCACATTCTCCTATTGAAAAACATGAAGCAAAAGATCATTCCTTCTAAAGCTTCCCTGATTGCAATTAGCAACTTGCACAAATGTAACACCAATACAAGATGTTAGGACATGGATGCTAACAAACATTAAGACACATAATTGTCAAGCTTTTTAAAAAAATATTCTATTTATTTATTTTTAGAGACAGGGGAAGGGATGGAGCAAGAGAAACATTAACCGGTTGTCTCTCACACACTCCTAGCAGGGGAGCTGGCCTGCCTCCCAGGCATGTGCCCTGACCGGGAATCAAACCATCGACCTTTCAGTTCACAGGCCACTGCTAAGTCCACTGACCCACACCAGCCATGGCATAATTATTAAGCTTTTATACCATATTAATTGTTTAAACTTTCATACCACACACAAACAGACAACTTCTTAAGATTCCCCTTGGTATCTTGAAGGTAGGGAATCAACACCAGAAGGATTCACAATATGACAGGATCCATGCATCCCACTTACTTCCCCCTCAAAATATCTGCTAGGACCCGGGAGCTCTCCTACCACCTGACAAAACCCCAGGTAGCAGAGATGGGCCAGGAATAGGCCTCTAGAGAACCTTTGAAGCTCTTGAAAGTGTAGACAGAGGTTTGTGTTATTTTTCCTGGAGAGGGTCTGTACTTGTCATCAGATTTTTAAGGAGAGCTACAGCCTCTCTAAAGGATGAGAGGGTTGAGAGGAGCCTTCCCTTCTAACTTTTTCCATCAAATGAGAAAGACTATAAGATGCTGCACACATTGTGAAAATCTGTTATGAGTAGTCACATTTCCCATATATTCTTCTATGTTGATTCCATATGAAGAACTTCCACACTGATCAGTGGCTGATGTCCTTGGCATTGGATGTTCATTCTTACCTTGCAGAGGCAAGCCCCGGTCTCTGGGTCACAGACTCCTGGCTTTGTCCCATCTCTGTTGCAGTGGCAGGGCATGCACTCAGGGAAGTGGTAAAACCCGGACATACATCGGTCACACTGCCGCCCTGTGATTCTGGGCTTGCACCTACACCCAAAGCAAAGAAAGCAAAAGTTCCTGTCACCTTCAAAAGTTCTCAAGTCCACTTCCTCTGCAGCAGACCAGTTGCTGTACAAAACCAGCTGAACAGACAGTGTCTGCCCACAGGGCGCTTACAGTCAGAGGCAGAATGGAAGAAGCAGATAAAAGACTTAAACAAAGCAGGTCAAGATGACTATGTTCTTGAGGATGAAGGGGGTCAAAAAGCATAAACCTCCAGTTACAAAATAAGTAAGTCAAGGGGACTTAATATATAGGATGGTGATCATAGCTAATAATACCGTATATTTGCAGGGAGAAAGTCTTAAAAATTCTCATCATAAAAAAATCTGTTACTGTGTGTGGTGACGAGGGTTTGCTAGACTTACTGTGGTGACCATTTTACAATAGGTACAAGTATCAAATCATCATGTTGTGCTCCTGAAAGTAATACAATGTTTTATGTTAGCCACACCTCAGTTGAAAAAAAAGATGACCATCATGGGCAGGGCACTCAGAGAGTCAGGCTTCGAGCTAGGCTCTGGGCGTGTAGGACAGACATGGCCTGTGAGCCTCAGCAGTGAGGTGGAAGTGTGAACAATATCACACGGGGTCAAACAGGGGGTCAGAAGAACAGCACTGACCCAGCCTCCCTGGGGAAGGTGATACCTGAGCTGCACCTAAAAGTTCAAGGGTCATGGGGTTGGATGTAGGGTGGGCATTCAGGACAGAAGGAACAGAGCAGGATGCTGCTTGGAGTATGCAGGGAACACAAGTGCGGTATTGCCGGGGCAGAAGTACCAGCATGGATACTGAACCATGAGCCTGACGAGGTGGGTGGGAACCAGTGGGCAATCACTGGCGTGGACCTAAGCTCTGAGGAAGGCCCTGGCAGTGAGCTCCAAGCCACCAGCAGGTACATGCACCCGAAGCATGAAGCTGGGTGAGAAAACAAAGGCCTGATGGAGTGAGAGGAACAGTGGGCTGTGAGGAGAACTGAGAAGCCCAGCACTGGAGGGGTGGGGAGACCGAGAGGGGGTGGGCCCCATCCTTCGGTAGCTTGGGCGCTGAGCTCCACAGCTGAAGTCGGGTGGGATCTACTCACTGACCCTTTCTGGTGGGTCTAAGAAAGCATCAGCAAGTGTGCTTTTTGATGACACATAGTGAATACAATTTAATATGAAATATTTCATTAACTTACCACCAAGTGTAAGTGATCACCCATCTCTTAATTCCCATTAAAACATCTTGCCACAGTGCCCATGCCAAAAAAGATAAATATAACTTAATATGACTGAGTAACCTTGCCTTTGGCAAACAGTTGTTTATAATCAGATAAAGGATTTTGTATTGGATTAAGAGCACAGACTCGGGACCAGGTGGCCTGGGTTTGAATCCCACCTTGGCTACTTACTGGATGTAGAACTCTGAGCAAATTAATTTCTTTACAACTGAGTTTCTTCCCCAGTGAAAATGGACATCACAATACCTACTCCACAGGATTCTTGTGAGAATACAATAAAATAAAATATATAAAACCTTTAGAATAATCCCATGTGCACATGTAAGTATTTGATTCTATTATTCCTGTTATGACATTGGCCAAGGGGAGCAGACAGGTGTCCCTGTATCCTACTCATCACACCTAAAAAGGCAAAGTCAAGGTCTCCTGACAGGTCCAACATCATGTCTCTTCTTCCCAGACCCATCTCCATCACCTTCTTGTGGGGGAAGAAAGTGCCTATGGGGATTGCTTTCACAAAGAAACATGTAGTCTCCGGAGAACATCTATAGCAATGTAGGTAGGAGGTGTAAATGTTCTGCTCAGAGTGACGAGCCTAGTGCAGTGGATGATAAACATTGGAACAGGGTAAGGGACCTTTCTGGAAGCTGGATAAACTATGGGCTATCTTCTCAAAAAAGAACTTATCACCCACTCACAGATTATACAGTCTCTCTGTCTCTCTCTCTGTCTCTGTCTCTCTCTCTCTCTCTCTCTCTCACTCACTCTTGTTAACACACACAATTTTTGCATTCACTCTCAGAGGGTTTCTGGACCTGGGGTAATAACATCTGCTCTCTTGGGAATCACAGAATAAATGCAATCAGACAGTCCAGCAAAGAAAAAATGGACTATTCCTAGATGATTCCTTATTTTTGGAGGAAGCAGCGAGTGTATAGCATGAGAACTCTGGCACCTAGAGATGGGACACCAGAGAGACAATCAGGGTTGGAGAAGGGTTTTCATGTGAAGAGAGATGCATTGAGGTGGTGCTGTGCCTGCACACAGGGTGGCACTCGCCACACCGCATTGTCACTGTTGGTTAATACAGACTCTCTCACCAGGCTGTGATCCGGGACAAGCACTATTAGTAGGTGTGTGCCCCTTCTGCAAAGGGCACAGCATCTGAACTCAAGTAGTTACTAGATACAGTCTGAGCAATAAAACACTTATATCTATAGAATTTAAGGCAAAAATAATAATAATTCACAAGGAACTGAAGGAGCTGTTTCATCATGGCTTAAGACACATGCCAGAAGATAAAAATCATAAACATATATACATTTACCAGCATTGTCTTAAGTTTTGTAGGCTACTAATAGTTCTATATATTCATGACAAAATTATAAGGAAAATCCAGTATGATTTTGTATTAATACATTCCTCTTTGACTAAAGGGATGGAGAGAGGGAGACTACAAACTATAAAGCAGGAAAAGGTAGGTATTAGGTGACCATCGGTATCGCTCAAACATGAAGTGGGAAAAGAACTTAGTGGGTGGCAGCGGTAGCAGAGAGCCATGGAAAGGAAGGCAGATAATATATATCTTGCCAGAGGTTGATGTCTGACTGACTTTATGAACAAGGGGTTGGTTCTAAGATATACTGGAAGTTCAGGCTTTGAGGACTGGGAGGAGGCTGTCAACATTAAGCAGAAATTTTTTAAATATCCAAAGAGACAAATGACTTAAAAGGCAAGACAATGGCATGGGTTTCAAATGCAGAGTAAGAGTTGTAGGATTTTGGAGTTGTAGAGCCCTTAAAGATCATCTCATCTAACATTTCATTATACATATGGGGGACAGGAGCTCAAAGCCTCAGAGGACTTGCCCAAGGCCACCCGAGTAAAGCCAGTAAGAGAGCCCAGGTGGAACTGATTCGCAGTGGAGGTGGGATATGACAGGCCTCAAGGATCAGGACTGGAGCTCTGCCTGTGGGAACCAGCCGGAGTGGGGGTGGCTGATGCCTGGAGAATAAGGGGCTGGGGCGTTCAAGGGGACAAAGTGTAGAGGGAGAAAGGCAGACTATCAGCTAATACTTACTGGTGCTCGTGTGTGTCACATACTGCTTAAGGTTTTCTGCAGGGGATATTTAATCCTGCAAAGAACTTCAAGAAGGAGGTGCCTCCACTCTCTATTTCACAGATGAAGAAATAAGGCACAGAGGGCAGTAACAGGATGCCATCACCCAGACAGTGAGTGGCGGTGGCAGGTGCAACCTTGTGCAAACACACCACACACGTCCGCTGTATCTGGGGCAGGAGGGGGTTGAACCAGTGAAACAGCCAGAGAAGAATCATTCAGAGAGATAAGAGAAAGATACTGTTATTACCGAAGAGGAAAGGTGACAAAGGGAATGAGGTGAAAGCTTGACGCTGCGTTGTGGGGCAGCATCCCCATCCACCACCCTGCTCTCCACGGTGTCCCAGCACCTGCATGCTGCCCGGAGTTTACCATTCCTCTTATTCCACAGGGTGAATCCAAGGATTTGCTTCTCTAAGTTGTTAGAGCTCATAAATTTACATCTAGCTGGAAGCACTTCTGTTCACGAACACCAAGTCTACAACCTTTTCTGGTATTTTGTTTCTCCACCTAACACAAACATTTAGTAAATCTGTGTGGACTGGCTGCAATAGAGGTCACACAAACAGGCTTTTCTATTATCACTGCTCTTCTGAAAAGGCACATTTGTGCACGTGACTGCACTGAATATCCAGGTGAGCTGCATCTCCTTTAATCAGTCTTACAATAACCTGAAAGTGGTTGACATCATGATAGTTTTTAAAGGCAGTGATTACTAGTTTCCCTGTATCTGCTACTGATTGGCAAAATCTGAGAACACTCTAGTTCTTTTGTTTGTTCAAAATATCTGATGGCTTACTTCCTCTTCCATTATTATTTTTTAGTTGATTTTAGAGAGAGAAGAAGACAGAGAGAAAGAGAGAGAGGGAGAGAGAGTCATTGATATATTGTTCTACTTATTGATGTGTTATTGGTTGATTCTTGTATGTGTCCTGGCCAGGGGTTGAACCTGCAACCTTGGCGTATCAGGGTGATGCTCTAACTAACTGAGCTACCTGACCAGGGCCCCTTCTCTTCCATTATTAAAAGCCTATGTATATGTACTTTTTTTCTTTGCAATTATATCTGATTAAATTATTGTGTTGCTATAAAACATGAAATTTTTATTATTATAAGCATCTTTAAGACTTCAAACTAGAGTTGGCCAAAATAATAGACTTTTTTGCATTTAATAGAATACAATTTTGCAATATTTTCTGTGATACAATCAGAGATTGAAGAAGAAATATAATCAGAATTTTAAATTTAGGTGGGATATTATAGATAATTTTACCAAACTTCACTTTATAGATTAGGAAACTGAGGCCCAGGAAGGTAAAGTGACTTGCCCAGGGTCTCCTGACTAATTCATGATAAGGGTGAACTGAGAACTCAGTTTTATGGCTCCAACTTTACTTATTCCCAATTATCTCTAAAATTGCAATACCAGTTTTCATTAAGATGGAGTACTGTAGATTGCTGCAATTATTTTTGTAATTCATTTTAAAGTAGTTAACCTTTATAACAGATTGATTTTCTTTTAGTATATTTAACACCTATTGTCAAATAAAATTTGAAAATTCTAATTATTAAGCTTTGCAATTTCTGATAATTTGTACAACTGCAAGACAGTCTGTTGTATAACTGAAAAGCAAGTGTTTTGTTGTTTTTGTGAACTCCAGGCATCTTTGATTATTTCTGTTATATAAATTTTAGGTTCTTCTCTTCTAGACACATTTTTCATTTTCCTTAGGAATTTTTCTGTGTGCAAAAAGTATTCTTTCCTCTAATATTGTCTAAAGAAATAGTGCTTTTAGGCAATCAGAAGCTTTTTCACGATGAACACTGGAATTATCACGAGCCACTTCTGGTCATAGTCATGCAGCTAACTGGAAGTTTTTCTTGCATTATCTGCCAAGGGTCCATTTCAAAACAAATCCACTTTGATTGTGAATGAATATGTCATTCCATTAGGGTATTAAGCAACCACATCTTGGTTTAAGTGTGATGCAGGGTGATGAGGTTCCATTCCTGGGATGCTCTCTTGGGTTTGGGCAAAACTACATGATAGGTCTTGGTCCTGAGTTAGGAATTTTTCAGACTACTAACTGTCATTGGTTAGTGAAGTTTTGTTAAACACTTCTTACAATTTCTACCTAAAATACTATGATAAATCTCTCTATCATAGATGGGTCCTTAACTGATTTTACAATTTGTAATGCATTCTTGGTTGTTTTTTACTGTGGCAGCAGCATTGAGACGCTATGTATGAGGCTCTGTTCCCAGCGATGTATTCTACTGCACCACTACTTCTTTTAAAATTCTCCCACTTGTCCTCACACAGTGAATTCTATTGCATCTCTTCCTGCTGAAAAACTGCTTCACCATCTCCTTGGTTCCTGTGTCAACTAGGATTAAACACCGGTACTTCCTCTAGGACTCACACCTAGCTTTTCCTCCTGTGTGTCTGCACCTTCTCCTTGGGGTCATCATTCACTTTAACCTATGCACTTGGTTTCTAACCCTCCCTCCCAGCCCCACACTCTTCACTTGGGTGTTCAACTTTCAAAAGAAAAACTCAAGGAGTCATTCTGGAAAAGCAAAACTTGGTTGTAACTCCTTACATTTATTTTGAGGCTTAGTAAGTTTTTATTCTTCATTATATATGGGAGCACTGCAGTGTTTTTAGTATTTAGGGCTCTAAGTATCTTAATGCAGCTGTGATTGGGGTCGCTGCAGAATCCTGGGCTCTCCACTTGGCCGGGACTTCCATTTCCCAATAACCCTTCCATGCACTCCTGTTTATCTTGTTCTCCTGCTCTTCCATCTTCTTCTTCTTCTTCTTTTTTTTGCAAGGTTATGCATTGCTTAGTCTGCTGTTCAAATGGAATCTTGTCCTTTCAGCCTTCCTTACACCCAGATTCCTGCTATAACACCCTTGAGTAAGTAAAGGACTTTAACATCCTCCCTCCCCCACTTACCCTGCTTATTTGTCAGACTTTTCTTTCTTTTGAAGGATTTGTACAAATCTATTTTGCATAAAGACATTGAATTATTTTCTTTGATTTGTTCTTCAAATATACTAATGTGAAAACCATTGTTCCTAATTCAATCTGCCTCCTTTTTATAACACCTGGATTTCCTTTTCTGAAGGCATTTTTAACTACAGTTTCCTCCAGTCTGATAGGTGTGCTAGGGAGCTTTGAGGGGCGTGTGTGTGTGTCTGTGTGTGTGTGTGTTGGACAGAGAAACTGCAGAAGCATGTCAATAGCAACAAACTGGCTTGGTTGACTGTCTTCTGGCTGTTGTCTAACCCTTTCTCCCCTGAGCCCCTTTTCAAGCCCAAGACGGCAGGTCATGTCAATGCTACTCTCTTAGCTTCATGGAGAGGAACATTCAATTCTTCTTTTTCTTGTGGATGTTTCCATGGAGAGCCACACATTTTATTCACAAATACTCTGGAGCTCTGGTGTCAAATGTTTATGGCTGATTATTACTTTCCTGCCAATAAAAGGGTTTTGTTTTTCAAGAAAGGGACATGGAAAGAATGAGAACATAAAAAGAGAGGTCAATGGTAAGGGAGTGATGGAAAATAATTGTGAAATATTTGCTTTTTGAGGGGAGAAGGCTCTTGTATTTGTAGAAAAGATGAAGAGCATAGTGATGGTGTTGGCTGGGAGAGAAAAAATGATACCCTTCGGTGAAAGAGTGGAAGAAAAAAAGAGGTAATAGGAGCACAGACAGCTTTGTGACATGAAGAGTAGGGAGATACTGAGGGAAACACCGAATAGCCCAGCTGAAATGGGGCAGCGTGGCCACATGATGGACCAAAACTACAAGGTTCTGCCACTTTTTCAGCTATATTTTGGACCAAGGGTTGAAACAGAGGAGTGGAGGCAATTTTCCCTGGAGAAGCAAATCTAGATCAATAATGAAGTCAGAGGACCACACACAACTTCTCTCTGCTTTCTATGAAGTTAGTCAACTCATGACTGGCACATATCAGTCCTTTGAGCTTCCCACAGGATCACAAGATGCTTCTCCAGTCACAAGATGCAAGCAACCCCAGGGCGCAGGGCATCCTTTTGTTCTGCAGTATTCCCCAGGTCCTGGGAAGCCTGTACTTCCACACCAGGGGCCATTCTCCTCAATCATCAGTGGCTTACTGGAAATAAGTTACACATCTTCACTGGCCCATAGGTGCGTTCAGGTACACAGTGCAGAGTGTTGAGTAATGAACTAAGTGCCTATCTTCCTTCCAGAGAACAGCTTAAGCACTGAAAGGAACAAAACCTAATATATGTTAATAAATTGTGATGAAAACTAGATATCACCTCAAAATTCTTTGTGCAAGTCACATTCAGCTTGTGCTCATAGTTTGAGAAGAATAAGCAAGTGAGTTGACTCAGGAAGGATTCACACTTGTGGGTTTAAAGACTTGGAATGTTTCATGACTCAAGTTTTCACTCAGTTTCCTTCCTGGTGGTAAAAGGAGTCGTTAGGCACTGGGCAGCATTTAAGGTATGGTTAAGGGACCTTTCGTATCCTATGAAAGGTCCCTCAGAGACCTTTCTGTAGAGAGTTGAATTTTGTCCCCCAAAAGATATGTTCCTGTTTCAATCCCTACTACCTGAGAATGTGGCTTTATTGGAATTGGAAATAGTTTCTTTTCAGATGTAGTCAAGTTAAGAGGAGGTTATACTAGAATAAGGTGGACCCTAATCCTGTGCGACTGGTGGCCTTATAAGAAGAGAGAATAATGCCATGTGGCGACAAAGGCAGAGATTGGAGGGATGCATCTACAGGACAAGGAAAGCCAAGGACTGCTGAGAGCAAGGCATGGGACAGGCTTTCCCCTACAGCCTTTAGAAAAAGCATGACACAGACAAGACCTTGATTTTGGACTTTTAGCATTTAGAACTGTGAGAGAATAAATTTCTGTTGTTTTGAGTCACCCAGTTGGCAGTAATTTTTTACAGAAGCCACAGAAAACACTACAGCTGCCCTCAAGTGCCAGCAGCAGAAGCCCCTCCTGGCTCTCACACCTCAACCACAGGGACACTGACCTGGAAACATCCATGTGCCTCAGTGTGCGGGCAGGGAGAGGGAGTAAGCATAGGGTGGGTGGTGAACCATACACTTTCTCCTGCCTGCTGCCATACTGGCCCAGATTTTAGAAGCTCAGGCTATGTAGCCCACTATGTAATTATTTCCAGCCTCTTCCTCTAGGACACTGGATCCTGTTCTTCGTTCCTATCGCTACTCTCTAGTCCTGCTATCAGGCTGATCACCTAGAATCATGTGATGCTGGCTTCTAGTGTTCAGTGCAGAGCCTGACCTGCACCTGTCTGAGCCAGTGTTTGCCATTAGTCTCGTAGCAATTGTGCATTGGACTTATCGGTGTTCCTGGGGGCAGCCCCATCCTCAGGCAGGCTCTCCAGCGTGTACCTGCCCACCCTGTCTCCCTCCCAACTCCCAAACAATGCCCACTGAACCCCCACACTGGCTCAAACAGGTATAGGTCAGGCTCTGCACTGAAAACAAGAAGCCACCGTCACATAATTCCAGGTGATCAGCCTGACCTCAGTAGCACTGGAGAGTACTGATAGAGGGTAAAGAATAGGATCAGGTCTCCTAGAAGAAGCCGGAGAGAATTACATGGTGGATTATGTAGGAGAGAAACTGAGCCAGTAAGGCAGTAGGCAGGAGAAGTAATACGGTTCACCACCCCTTCCAGCTGGCCTGTCTGAGTTAGGGAAGTTAGGGAGGCGGGCCTGAGGGTGTCAGACTTTATCATGCACTGTCCTCCACGAAGACTGGCAGCTAACCCCAGAATGAAGGTTTGGAGCCCGTCCCTGAGTACGAATGGACAGGGGCCCACCACAAGGTGACACAGTAGAAGAAACCGATAACTTCAAGCAGACATTTTGACACATACGATAAGAATGATACTGGGGTATACAGGCAAGGCAGTTTGTGGCCTCAGGCGACTGGCCATCTGCCCACCCAGCCTCCGCTGGGTTAGCTGAGGGGACAAGTTACTCCACACATGTAACCCATTCTGACTGGGCTGAACATGGACAGCCCTCGAACCCATGAGAAGTGGGAAGTAATGACCAGTGTATGGGCAGATGACACGTCCCTTCCCATAACAGGAACAACAGGTCCATCCACTTGAGCTCACCTGCACTGCCCATGGTCCCGGGTGCACTCTGGGGAGCCAACCCCAGCAGCAGTGCCCCTCCTGGAGCAGTTGCAGCCTTCGCAGCCAGCCAGGGGGTGGAAGCTGAAGGAGTGTGCATCACACACCTCACACTGGGGCCTGACCGTGCGGGGCGGGCACAGGCACTTCCCTGTCATCTCCTCACAAAGGCGCCGGCCACAGTTGCATGCTGCCCGGGGGATAAAGAGATGCAATGTAAGAGTTAGATGCTGTATGGCGACCGATAGCAGGACTGTACCTACTGCCAGGGCTTCCAGAAGCTCCAAAGGGTCTAGGAGAATGTCTTACTTTCCCTTTGTTAGGGCCAACTACTGATCATAGTTGACATAAAAGGCCTTTTTTTAGGGCCAAGAGCAACCACATCCAATGTTGCTGGTGGGTACAGGGTATGATGCAGTATGTGAACACCATACTGGCTCCATGGCTGCTACTCAAAGGAACCCACCGAGCTGCCTGTATGTGCCACTCTAACGTGAGGCCTCTTGTCCATCAGAGGTTCTGCTCCTCACAGGCTCCCTGACGTGTCTCCACATCACCCCAGTGCACTGAGCCTGGGGTCAGGGCTCGACTCAGCAGTAGGGTCCCCTTAGGGAAGGGCTGGTCTCCATGTGGGGATTCTGTCTACACCACACCTGCCCCCCTCATGGCTGCCATGGAGCCTGAGCTGACCCTACATCTCAGGCAGCAGGACGGTTCTTAGATAAAGGTCCACAGGCTTCTTCTTCAGTGAGTAGTATGCACTCTGACCCTGCCTTTCCTCCCATCACAACTTTGGTGGTATTGCAAAATCTGAAAAGGCTTCCTCTAGGAAGGAGATTGAGCTGTCCATTATTTTGATGCTTAAAGCTACTTACACTCACCAGCTTTGCCAAGTGCATGGGTCACATCCCCCGAGAAAACAAATATTTACCTTGCTACTCAGAGTGTGGTCCATAGACCAGCAGCTTGGACACAATGAGTAGTGATTAGACATGCAGACCCTCAGGCCACAGTCCAGGCCTCCTGAATCAGAAATTGCATTTCTACAGGATCCCCAGGTGAGTCTCTAGCCCATTGAAATTGGAGAAGCCCTGTCCCAGATGGGCATCCTTCGCCTGGGATGGCCCGAGGGTGCACTTACGCTTGCAGTGCGGGAATCCGTAGTAGCCGGTTTGACAGCGGGTACACTGCTGACCAATGACGCCGGGCCGGCATGGGCACTGCCCACCCTCTGGGCTGCAGTGATGGCCAAGGGCCCCTGTGGGGTGGCACTCACAGGGCATGGCACCCTTGTGGTAAAGGGCCACCAGGGACCTGGCAGAGTCCTTACAGAATCCAGAGGCTGTCTGGGGGCTGTGGAGGCAAAGACAACCCATGGTTCTATCCCAGGAGGTGGGCCCAGAAACAGTCCCCACCTTCCCCTTCCCACCTACTCCACCAAGCAGGTCCTTAGGGAGGGACTGTGACTCTAGAGTCCGGGGAAACTGATAGAACACCCCAACCTGGCACTCATAGCCAGTGGCACCCCTTTCCCCCCCCCCCCCGACTGGTCCACTCCAGAACACCTCACAAGACATGGTGGGGACTTTGGTGACTGGAATAAAAGGGTAAAAATTTACCTGTAGAATGAATTGTATGATATGAGAATTATATATCAGTAAAGCAGTTACAAAAAAATTATACCTCCATGTGTAAAGATACACCAATAACAATGAGGAAGAGCCAGTGAATTGCCAACATTTATTGAGTGTTGCATGCTAGAAGCTTTTCCTACATCTCACTGTACCTCACAACCACCAGTTAGGCCTAAGACCCATTTCACAAACAAGGCAACTGAGGCTACCAGAAGTCAAGCAACATTCCCAAGGCCACAGAATTATAGAGTGGCCGAGCAGGCATTCAAATCCATAGCTATTTGACTTCAGGGCCTTTGCTCCTAATATTTCCTATACAGGTGGCTTCTGCCTATCAGGCTGTCTGGAGCACCCGGGTTCCTCAGTAAACCCACAGTGGGTCGGGTGGGTCTGCAGAAGAGAAGAGGAGCTGATTCAGGGCTACACTTGGCTCTTAGCACTCAAGGACTCAGGTGAGAAGATGGGGAGGCCCACCTTTCTGCGACACTCCTCGCTTAGCCAGATGACAAAGCAGAGCAGAACTCGGGGCTGGTTTGGCTCCCAGTGGAGGCACCCCGTGTGGTATCTTTAGGAATCTGAGATAGACAGCAGGAAGCAGCAAAGAGGAAGAGAAACCCCTGAGCAGCCCGAAAATCTCAGTTTGGAGAGTGAACCTCTGTTGAGACCAGAGTTGAGGGCTGGGATCTTGCCCAGTTGTGCATGACGAGGTCTGTTGTTGGACAACATGTGCAGAGAAGAGCACCCCCTTCCCCAGGCCTGGGACCCCCCGCCACTTTGTCAGGCACAGAGAAGAAGAAGACAGGCCCAAGATCCAACAGCTCCCTCAGCCTTGCTCTAGGCAGGAATGCGGGAGAACCTCATGTATTCCAGGGCTTTTCCACAAAGTAATACTTACTCAATATAAAAACTATTTCCTCCACAGTTGGTGATAAACTCAAATGACTTGTCCACTGAGTTTTTGTGAAGTATCTGGTAATCATAATTCTCTGCAGGCACCAGTAGAACACGGACCTACAGGGAACAGTGACCATGTCTTTGGATTTCCAACCACAGGGTGCACCTGCCATTATTCTTTATACTCTCTGTACTGAGATCAATGTTCTCTATTGATAGGCCCAAGACCAAATGAAACAGGATTCATGAAAAAAGAAACACAAGAACACTCCTACACTAGCATTAAAGGCTCAATCTGTGATCCTACGTAGGAAGTAATCGTGCGTGCAGGGCAAAGCCCTTGGAGCACCTGCTCAGCGAGCAGCAGCCCAGGATGCTAGACAGGGATGGGAGAGCTGGGGGTTGAGCAGGGGCCTGTCCAGATTCCCAGGATCCCATGGGGCCCATGCCTGGGATGCCCCTAGATCTACAGGGGTTGTGGTTTTGTATTTTTAAAGGTGAGCAAACCAAAATGGCAGAACCAATGGTGAAACTCATACCATAGTTTGCCCCTGAAGTATATATCATATCAGACACTGTATTGTGAATTATTATTGTAGCCCCATTTTTAAAAGTCCTTCCTGGTTCTCTGAGCCTATATAAATGAGACTGTGTTAATAACAAATGCTGTAGGAAATTTCAAATGTCTTTGTCAACTGTTCATTTATGAACCAACAGAGAGACTATTGGTTTCACGTTATTCATTCAATAGACATTTGCCAACAACCACGTGCCAGGTGGTGCTCTAGGCACAGGGGAGACAAAATAAATAAAGTCAGCCCCCTGTCCTTAGGAAGATGTCATTCTCAAAAAGAGACAGAGGCAAGAGGAAGGACTAGCAGGCCACAGAGCAGGGCCTGGGCAATGCTGCCTGGCTCTGTGGAAGGTTTTATGGGCATTAGATGACTGTGATTCCATCAACCAAAGTAATAAACAAGGTAGAGGCATCTGGGCCTGTGCAGGTAACACAGGGAAGGGGTACCTGGGCCTGTGCAGGTAGCAGGCTAGGCTTGATGCACTTGTGAGATCTCTGATGACAGAGATACGCAGTAGACAGTCCCATGTTGGGTCTGGAGGCCAGGAAAAATCAGAGATGAATTCACAGATGTGGGTGTCACTCTCACAGAGGACAGAATAGAATCAGCAGGCACAGACGATGTTACTCAAAGAGAAATGATAGAACAAGGAGCTCAGGATTCTACCCGAGACCGGCAACCTATGGGGGCAGTAGGAAAGAGAAATCACAGAAGAAGCACTCAAGAAAGTGGGGGAAAAGACAAGAGAATGCAGCTATGGAAGGCACAAAAAGATAGTTTTAAGAACAAAGGCATCAAATGCTTCAGACAGAGACCAGTCAGAGGGGAGTGCAGTGGGGCTGATAGAGCGTGAGGCACTCACTCACCAGGGCTTCTTGCAGGGGAGTATTTCTTCCTATTTACATCTCTGTTATTCCAGTTTTGCTTGATTTTAATTGTCACATACTTTTTTTTGGTAAATGATAATTGTCAAATTTAAACACTTTTCTGTAAATATGACTTCAATTTCTTGGAGGAATTATTTATTGTCTTGAGCCAAACAGACACACAGAATGGCTGATCAAGGCAGTCACGTGAAGAGCAAGCTGAGGGACAAGCAGAACTCACCAATACTAAGGACTTTCCTTCTGGAACCTTCACAGTCACAACCACCTCAGGCTCCGAGATGTCAAACTCAACCTGGTCTTCAGCAATCACTTGGTCCTGGCAGCCAAGCACATGGGGGCAAAAAGAGGCACGGAAGACACCTGGGCAGAAAGAAGAGGTCCTGTCAGACCACTGCGAAGCCTAAGATAGGCAGGCCGCCATGGCGCCACCTCCCTGCAGCTCACCTGGCCGCAGCTGTCCTCTGTCCACAGACACCTGTGCAGAAAACGTTGGGTGCACTGGTTGATAAAAATGGACTACGATGACATATCGGCCCCGACGTGGCATGAGTCCTCTCAGAGTCACTTGGTTCTAGGAGAAAAGGGAGGAAAAACAAATCCTCAAGTTGCAGAGCTATGAATAATTAGATTCACGGGATATTTTGAGGTTAAAAACCAAAACCTGAGGTATTACAAGTGAAGTAAAAACCTTCCCTGGAATGTTTACAACAGTTGTGTTTGTACAAACACAGGAAACAGCCTAAATGTTCCTCAGTCACAGAACAGATAAACCAACTGTGGTTCAACCATAATGGTTGGAGAGAGTGGAATTTGGTACAGTCACTTTGGGACACTGGCAGTTTTGCCAAGGTTGAATATATAACTGAGTAATTGCAGTTCTAAATACCTACCCAAGAGAAATGCATGTTTGTCAAAAGGCTGTTCAGGAATGTTCACAGTATTCAAGTACTACTTGTAACCATGTAATAAAGAGTCAGACTCCACTTCGCATGCTTGCCCACTGACGGTTTGCAAGATCATCATCAGCTTCTTGCCTTTTGCCCCACACCTGGATGAGCCAATCAGAAAGCCCAAGTGCTCATCCCTTGGCACAGGCAGGAAGTTCAAACCACACAAATTCTAGCCCACTGGAGAGGTATCCCTCCCCCTGAACTCCTCGCCCCTCCCCTCACACCCACCCAATCACACTGAAAACCCAAGTCACACCCCTCCAGTTGTTCAGGATTGGTGTGAGCTTTGCTCTCCCCAGAAGGTCTATGTGAGCAACAAGTCCTTTCAGATAGTCAAAACAAAACAAAACAAAACAAAAAAACCCTACAAAAATAACAACAGAAGTTTATCCTCATCTTTCAGAGGAGAACTGTGACTCATGGAGGGCAAGGAACTTACTGAAGGCCACATATTAACTAGGTAACAAAACCAAGACTAGAGCTCTGTTGTCTTGATTTCTATTCATTTTCCTCTACTATTTTCAGTTTCTTTTCCCATATGAGACCTTACTAAATTTTCTCTCTCAGATCTGTTAATTTCCTAATTGATTCAATGAAAATGGACACAAACTATCTCTAGTGTTATAAGGATATATCAAAACAAACGTCTTGTGACTTTGTTTACAGTGGAAAAAAATGCTCTAGATTTTTATGCTCTAGATCTTTATGTCTAGATGATTAATCAACAAATATTGATTGAGAATTTTCTTTCTGTAAGGCATTGTGCTTGTGCAGCTGGTGATATAAAAAAATTTGTTAGCCACAGCAGCTAATCTAAAAGCACTTACACTCCAACTTGGGAAGATAATAAACTCAACAATGTTAAATAGCAATAGCCCATGAAAATATGGCCTATCACAAGATGGGCCATGAGAAACCACCAATGCTTCAGACAGAGATGCAGGAGGGAAAGAGAGCATCAGGAAGGTGTGGTCGCAGACAGGATTAACCAGCTGCCTGCACATCTGGAATCCTCCATCTGAATTCACTGGGAGGATTGCTAAAACACAGGTCCCTAGGCCCCTCCTTCAGCTTCTGATTCAGTAGTTTTGAGGAGGGGCTAGCGAATTTGCATTTCTAACATATTCCCAGGTGATGCAGAAGCTGCTGGTTCAGGGCCACAATTTGAGAACCACTGGTTTAGAAACAACACATTTGGAGGAGTGTCCTACCTGAGGTGCCTTCAAGGTGACACCAGTAACAACACCAGCAGAAGGTGAAGGATCCTGGGGCAGGAGAGGGGGAAATCCATTGCGTGGGACATCCAAAATCAATGCTGCTGGAGGAGTTTTGGGGGACAGAGAGAGGCAAGCAGCCCTGAAAAATAGAATATTTTAAAACATTATTTTAAAAGTAACCTAAAAGGGAGAGCCGCCCATTGGTGAAGATATAGACGTTTAGCATAAGACTGTGAGGTTCAGAAGGGTCCAGTCTTGGGGGAGCTAGAGGCTGGGGCCATCTTTATACTGGCCAGTGTGTTCCAGAGCCTTCTCAATACCATGAGCTAAAACAGAAAGAAAAAACCTTAATTTTGAGGGAAGGTAAACTGTATAGAAACTTCCTGAAACTTTCCTTTCCAGAACCAAAATTCATTGTTAACTGAGATCAATGCAATGGAACATTATTATTCACACCCGTTAACATCACTGTTGACATAAAACTGTGTAAAAACAAAAGAGCAAATACACGCCATGGCTTTAGGCACGTCCCGATTCCATTGCCTTGGTAGTCCACAGTTCTAGCCATGGGCACATATTTTGACTGTGTTTATAAATTATTTTTGAGTCTACATCACAACAACTCTACCAAAACCTCAGTAAGTGTTGATTAACTAATTCTCATAACACAGTTTGAGGAGGGTCATTATTTTCATGGCTTTTTAAATGAAGAGCCTCAGACACAGGATTAAAGGATCAGGACAAAGTGAGCTCAGAATAGAACACACAGTAACTGCCCACAGGAGCGAGGCATAACTGTCTCCCCCAGGCGCTGCTGTGTCAGCTTCCTGACATTAGAGGATTCTGGAAAGACTTCTGGGGTAAATGATATGCCTGTTTGTTTTTTTAAATTCATCATTGGCCTTTAGCACCTTGACCTATGGTGACTTCTGAGGTCAAATATATACCTGAAGATTTACAAGCATTATAGTATCACTCAGAGCATAATAAATAAGGGACTGAGGAAGAAAATATATTACCTTTGATTAACAAATGGCCCATAACTGGCAATGCATTTTACTTGAGGTTTTAAATATTCAGTTGAGAATTCTTCAATGGGTATGATACAAATTTGATGCTGTCAAGCAAATACAATGCAAAAAGGTAAATTGCAGTTATCAGCAAAACCAAGGGTATGGTGAAACACATGCTTTAAAAAAAGCCATTAAGTAAAAACTTCATCTAGAGAAACTATACTTATTATTTTAAAGTAGTAAAAACTGCATGATGCTATTCCCTGCGGTACCCATACGTGCAACAAACCTTTCTTACTGTTATTCAAGGCCAGTGACTAAAGTACTCTTGGAATAATTACGTAAGTAAACAAAATCATATGAAAGTTCAAAAACAATTCTTTGTCAGTGACTTTTGGTACCTTTTTTTCTTTCCTGCCCTGAGCGCTGAGGCTGGCTTTCCAGACCCCTTGGTGGGCGGGGTTGGGGGGGGGATGCGGGGAGCTGGGGGCAGTCGGGGAGCCTGCTATTTGGAGTGAGGGCTGCTCCTGCTGCAAATTATCCTTCTTACCAGGAGATGACTCACATCTCAGGTACATTTGGGTTTCATTGAAGAAACTGTCTCCAGGGCTAGTTTTTGAGTCATATAAGAAACTCAGTTTTTAATTTACTAATATATTGCATTTTAAATCAAGACTAAATTACATAAATCTGTTCAGAGTAAGAACAAACATTTTTACTGAGCATCAACTATAAGTCAGGAACTGAGACTGGGGGGATCCTGCAAGACCAAGAAAGATAACATCCCTGCCTTCATGGAGCTTATAATTCTACCAGCCTTGACTCTCAATGATACTTGACTGTTTCAAAAAGGACGAACTTGTTCTTCAAAGATGAAGATTCAGCCCTGTTATAACTTCCAAAGATGAAAAAGTTAAGATTCAATTGGATGGTTATGTTTAAAAAGATATTTGTGATTTTAAAAATATAATCCTAAATTATTATATACCTTAGAGAGTAATTTAAAAATTTTGAATTCCAGGTACTTTTTAGAGAAACCTCAAAGGTTTTAATACTGTCAGGCATAAATGCTTAAAACACATTAGAACAGGCTGCCTGGCATTTCCCAGGGTGTGACGTGTGCTTGATATTAGCAGTAACGGGAAGTTCCTTCATACTTAGATAATCTTATGCTCCCTGAGATATTTGTTGTAAATCTGACCACCCCTCCCTAGCCCAGGTCTCACTGTCTCTGTTTATCATAATCCTCAACATTTAAGTTGTGCTACTAAAAGGGTGGCCATGAAACATACTTAATTTGCGAAACTTGGCATTTTTAATCTTAATAGTATATATCAAATTAACTGAAGAATGCTCTTTTTGAAATAGAGTAACAATAGTCTGGGAAAAATACCAGATGATTATAACCTTTAAAATGCTGAAGGAATTTGCCAGCAAGTTAATAGTTATAATAAATGGTAAAATGAGAAAGAATATAGAGTAACAAATGCATTTCTCTACACCAGCAATAATAATAAACTAGGTGATATAATGCCAAAAGTTATTTCATTCATAATAGTAACAAGGAATAAAAATTAATGAAGTAGGGTTTTGTGAGATGTGCTCAGATTTGATGATTAAACTTTATTGGCTGTTAGCAAGATGCCTCAAACAAAGAAGAGGCAAGATAGATTTCTAGGTGGGAAGAATAAACATCACAGAACTGGCAATTCTTCACAGGGTTAATTTTATAAGGATAATAAAAACTCAGTCAAAGTTTTATAAGCTTTTTAAAAACATCGATATCAACTGAATGCTTCTCAAATCCAATGGGCATACCAGAAAGAAGTGGGCCAGGCGTGCTTTGAGCCGAATGTCTGCATCTGCTAACAGCTCAAGAATGGCGATGCGGCTCCTGCCGTCAGTCACTGTGCTCCGGCAGAGGACGCTGCAAGAGGAAACAGTGTTCTTAGCCTGGCTCCACTTATCCCCCTCACTTTGTGTCTTCCTGTGGGGTGGCTGATTGCTCTTTGGTTTCTCCTGTTGTACTCCAGTGGACAATGTGAATTTTCCTGCATGATGAGTTTGACTGGGTGCAGCTCATGATCAGCATGGGAAAAGAACCTCCCACGGTGGTCCCAGCTGCACCTCTCAGGGCCAAACTCTTTGCCTACCTTTTCCACTGGCTTAATGCAATACGTATTCAATACTTTGCTTAGTCATTGGAAGAAAGGGCCTCGGGGTCAATTATATGTGGTTTTTAAGACGCAGCGTTCTTGAAAATTTACTAATATCCTTGGTACTGTTGGTAATTAAAGCTGCCCATTGGCCTAGCAACCACCATCTCATGCCACATCAGTGCGTGTGGCTTACCTTACATGACAAGGTGGATACCCAGAGTTTGCCTCTGGAAGCCTACTCTGTTCCTCCTCACCCTTCCTTCCTCATTTCTATGAGTGGTGCACCTTCCCTCCATCCCATTAGGTCACATACAGAGTTTAGGAACATTTAAAAGATCACAGTTTTGAGCCAAGAATATATTGTAATGGTAAAACCCATAAAGGAAGTATTTCTTGAACAATATTTCTGACTTCATACTCGATAGCAACTTTTCTGTCTATAAATATAATTTGGACTGAGTGACATACTAAAACAAAATGACCATCTCTAGGAAATGCAGGGTGTGGCAAAAGTAGGTTTACAGTTGTTTGTATGGAAAGTAATACAATAATTAATAATAATGCAAGAATAAACTCTGTGTTTCATGTACTCACAACTGTAAAGCTACTTTTGCCTACCCTATATTTGAAATAATTTATGCAATGACTTTTGGGGTGAGGATTAAAATAAGATAGCATATAAGGAGCTAAATACAGTTTGTGGCACAAATTAGAAACTCAACAAACAGTCATTTTCTTTTCCTTTTTGCTCATGTGTGTGGAGGTATGAATGTTATCAACTAAAATGCATTCCTTTTGGATTCAAGCATAATCCTAGGAGTTAAATGTGTTAAGTGATTCACTTAGATTTAGATTATCCTTATCCTCTGTTAAATTCTTACTAAGACTAGACTAACAGTAATAACTGAATTGATTTAATCATTAATTATCACCTCTCTTATGGAAGGCAGACTGGATTTGTCACAGGACTGTGTGGAAAGATGGTATTCCCACTGGAGCCACCACTTTTCTCACTTGAGACATGCTGGTGGTAAAGGTTCAGATCTCAGTAGGAGATGCTGTAATGTTGAAAGGGCCTGTCATTTGAAATAGGTTGTTATGGGTCAAATATTTTCCAGTTTCATATTTTAGGACTCCAGCATATGTAGCCTGTTCAGTTTTACTAGTCCACATGACAGGCAAAGCCGAGAACAAGGAAATATTTTAGACAAGTGAATAAATACCATGGGACCTTCCTGGGAGTGGTTAAATACCATGCAAGTGATTCCTGGTCTAATACAATACTGTCTTGGAACCCATATCATGGAGACTGGTATGGAGAACTTTGGTATTGTCATGTCCACAGCCAAAATGACCTGCTGAGTATCCTGCAATGTGTTGTTCAGACAAAGGTAAGGAAACGACACTTGTGGGATCCTGGAAGGGTGTCCTTTCTTCCTTTGGTCTTGAAACCACTCCTCTGCTTGGCATAGACACCCTCAGCCTCTTCTGAAATAATTCAGAGAGTTACCAGGGTCTGTAGGAACGCTTCCTTGTGTCCTCTTAGCCTTCTCTACTTTGTATCTCATGGAGTAGGGATCAGGCCATGTGACCTGGGAGGAGAGCCGATCTAGGGGATGAATGTGGACAGACAGGGTGTGAAGAAGCCTTGCCTCAGGCCCCGTGGCCAACAGTCACCAGAATTCATGCAGAGAGGTGACCCACCCATCTGGGAGTGTACATTCCAGTGGTTGCTGATGTCACCTATAGATGAAACTAGGATTTGCAAATAATGAAAGAACACTCAAGGGAACTTTTTTGGCTCATCTGGTGCTCCAATTAAAAATTCAAATACGATTGTATTCTTTGTTTTTTAAACATTACCCCAGAGAAAGGGTTAGATTAGATTTTTTAAAAAGATTTTTAAAAGAAGAAAGCCTTCATAGTTTCTTTTTCAGGGTTGCTGAGAGTGTGATGTTAATCCAATGACCATTTCATCAAGTCTCATAAAAATTTCCATTCTAAGCTACTAAAAGTAACTATTTCCATAAGTTCTTTCATTTGCAAAACAGGGAAAATATCCAACTACTTCAGGTCATCTTGGGTTCGACAATAAGCAAGATGAAAGCAGAGACAACAAAATGTTCAAGGCCTTGGCCATAAACTGGGTGGGCTCATTGCCATTCTCCACCCGCTGCCTCTGAGTTCCAGTGCCTAAATGGCAAGTAGAACGTACAGTGAATTTCACATGGAAACATTCTTTGCACTGATTCTTTAATTAAAGCATACTCTGAACATTTGCCTATATTTTGAAATATTATGCCAAGAAAACAATAATAAATCCTTGTCAGAGCTCTTGGAAAAGCTGAACATCAGAATGAAATGTTAAAATCCTTTGTCAAATTATTTTTCACCTAACAATCATCAAACAATCATTATCTCCAGTTCTGAAGTGCATGCTGGACGGCAGACAGACAGAGAGTGAGACTTTTCCCTGCTCCACACATGCATGTACTCTGCACAGCATCTGAAGTGAGAACACTGAGTCCATTACACCACTCAGGGTGTCAGAGAATAAAATATAAAGGCTGTGCTGCTTCACATGAATCTGAGCCAAAATGTTCAAGAAAACTCAACATTTTCAAGACACTGCCTACAAAGAAACCTCTCCCTACCCACACTGGGTAATGATGTTGGATCACTCCACTAGGCACCTGCTTCTTTTCAAGATCAGCCTCAGAAAGAAAACAACTTTCCAATCCAGATAAAAACCCCAGTTTCCAAAGCTGAGCTCCTGACTGTTGGGTTCCAGAGGAAAACCCAGGGCAGGACTGATTACCTGTAGTTGCAGCTGTAGATGTTCACCTGGCCATCCAGGACAGACCCAGGGCTCTCCACATGCACATCAACCACAGACAGCTGGTCCGCTTCCATAAAATACTCGACCACAACCACATAGTGGCTGACCTGTGAGACCCGCAGCTGCAGGTGCAGTTCCACCTGTGAGAGAGCACGAACAGACAGACGTGGGATGTACTGGATGCGTTCCCAGGTGAAACGCATGGTGAAAACAGGGCTGAGTAGACACCTGGAAATAGTTTTCTATGTCATCACTGTAAGGCAGGTGACCCTATAGATAGGGATGCCAGATAAAGTACAGGATGCTCCATTAAACATGAAATTCAGATAAACTACACACAATTATTTATTATCTTCAATTCAAATTTAATGGGGCATCTAGTATTTTTATTTTGTAAATCTGGCAACCCCACATTTAGGAGCCTCTACTCTTTCTACTCATACATTTGCCTTGATTCTCAAGGTAAAAGATACTTCACAAGTTGAAGTAAAAAGAAATTTCCAATGGGAGATAAGAGGAATGGAAGTATGCCTTGAGGCTCGTTAACTGTTCTTTAATTTAAAAAGAAACTTTTAATTATACCGATGCAAATAATATAAAGGGATACACACAGTCTCCTCCTGGGTAATGATAAACAAGAGCTCGGCTTTCATACCCCCAAACTATTGCCTATGTCTGGAAATGCATGTGTATGTGCTTTAAAAAAAATAAAAACTGTTATCAGAACAGGTGTTCATGGCTGTTTTTGCACCATCATGGCAGAGCTGAGTGGTTGTGACAGAGACTATAGGGCCTGCAGAGCCAAAGCACTTACTGTCTAGCTCTTTACAGAAAAAGCAGGCCTGTCCCTGACATCACCTACTGGCTAAGAATTTAAGAAGTTGAAATGTGGAATTGTGCTGCCTCTGGCTGAGTGACCTAGAGCTGTGTGCCCCAGAGTTCTCCTGAGTGGAAACGAGGACAACAATAGCACCCACCTCTTAAAAGCACATGAGGATTAAATGAATGCACACATGAAGAGTCTTTAGAACAGTGCTTGGCATGTCGTGAGCACTATATAAACAGCAATGATTATAACTGTGATTATTGCTTTTTGCCATGACTTGCTTTATTTCCTCAGTAGTATTTCATGTGTCTATAGTAGTACATACACACTTCACTTTTCTAATGGCTGCCTATCATTCCATAACGTAAATGTAAAATAATTTGCATAACTAATCCCGTATTCATGGACACTCAGGCTGTCTCTAATTTTCCCTCTAACATAGACAATGTTATATGATCACCCATATATATGTATACATATACATCCATGCTAGTACAGCTGTAAGATTCCTAGAAATAGAACTTGTGGGTCAAACATATGTGCATAGTTAATGCCTGAGCCAACATTAGCACCACATTCCTTAGCAGTTTAACCCACTTCAGCTCATAAGCTCAGGCCCAGCCAGTGTTGCCACATTTAATTAAAATCCGCCAGCCCCTTGCCCTCGGGAAACTCACATTTACTCTTCTCCCTGCACAGCTCTGAACCACACCACAGTCATTTTCCACAGTGATTTTTCTATCACTTAAATAATAGAAAGACTTCCTTTAGGGGGGAATGTGGATCACCCACACTACTTTTCCATGTTACAGAGTGAAGTACGATGCTGTCATTCGTCTGTTCCCATCCGTGTGGAGAGGTTATTTGAAGCATTTCTCCCCTGGGCATCTCCAAACAAGGGCTTGTCTGTCTTTACCCCCGACACAGGTCAATGACGTATTGAGTTTTCTCCCAGAAGTCATTATTGGCTGCCAGTTCTGTCATAGCAGTATTATAAATTCCTATTACTTTTTCCACTCTGAGTCCTATGGGTATGGTTTTTGGAAGACTTGTAGGAAGGGTTTTGAGTATATTTGATGGTAAAAGTGGGTTTTGAGAAACTCAGAGGAAAGACATGAAAGATGGCAAAGAGAAACTTTACTGTTTGCTGGTTATTATCAGTTATTTATTTTTTTAAAAAAAGGAACTTAAAGAAAACCAGCATCAACCTGGTGGAATCATTCCAATTTTATGGTGTGGAACTGCCCTTACCTCGTTATCAGTGTTTCAGGATAAAGGCATAAAAGGCGGTGTATCAAATATGCTGCGTACGCAAAGACATCTAGCATGTCTGATATCACAGTGAGGACTCAGAATGATTTGGTCAATGTATGCTTGTTAAACACTTGTTCTGTGCCAGCCTATCACAGGGTGATGGGTATACAATGGGAAACAAGACAGACTGGGTATCTGCCCTCAGACAGACTCTAATCAAATAATTATATAACTGGGTAAATACAATGTTATATTACACATATGAGAAATGCTTGGAAGAGGTGCTAAGAGGGGTGCAAGAGCTAGTCAGAAAGATGAGGAGAGAGGGGACACTTCCTAAAGAAGCAGTAACTTAGCTGAGTGCTGAAGGACAAGGCCACGTGGGGAGAGAAGAGCATTCAGACAAAGGGAAACAGCCCACAGCAGGAGGTTACCCAACAGCATGCAGTGCTGTAGGGCAGCTTCTGAGGTCAGTCTGAGAGAGTGAAGGCAGGCCACAGAGGTGAGGAACAGAGCACAAGGGGAGGTTTGATAAAATGAGGAAGTAAGAGTGGCAGCCTTATATATAGGCCATTAAATTTTCTTGTCCCTATCCTAAGAGCAATAAGATGTTATTAGAATGTATGTGTGAGAGTCAGTGATGACTCAATATTTCTATTAAAACTAGCATGCTGCCCATAGTGTGGAGAATAGATTGGTAGGTACAATGGACAAGAACTAATGTGGGTGAGCTAACCAGGAGGCTACTGCCAAGATCCTTATAAAAGATAATGGTGTATTGAATAAGAAAGACAAATAAAGACAAGTGAAGATATTCAAGAAAAGTCCATCTTAGTACTTTCTGGTTAAACATGATGAGTCACACATACATATTTTTTAATCTTTCCTCTCAGAACTCCACAAAAGTAAGAGTCAAATTTTTAAAATCATAAGCCCATAAGGAAAAAGGGAATAGGAAAGAGGAAAAGAACAGACCAGAGAAATCAACAAAAAATTTTGGAAGCTAGAAAGTAAATGATGTTAATTAAGTACATCAGAAAGAGCTGAAACCTAAGTATCTCTGTGGGGTGAGGGGGGAGTAAAAGAAAATATTAAAGAAATCTCCCAAAGTATAAAACAAGATAAATAAATTGGAAAGGTGGATTAAAGATAAAGAAATAAATTATCAAAGAAATAACTCAAGAAAATTTCCCAGAATGATGGACGGAAGTTTCCAGGCCAAAAGTGTCTGCTGAGAGCCCCACACTCTGACTGATGCACCACCTATATGGAGGCACATCCTTGTGAAACTTCAGAAAATAGGAAACAGATGACCCCAAAAGCTTAAAAAAAAAAAGCAGGTGGCATCCATGGAATTGGGAATCAGAATGTACTATATCAACAGCAACATTTGACACTAGAAGTCATTGGGGAAACGTCATTGAATTTTGGAGAAAAATTATTTTTAATCTAGAATTTTATGTATGACCAAAGTAAAAAATCAAGATTGAGAGTAGAATAGAGAAGTAGTACTTTCAGATATGTGAGGTCTCCAAAAAAATGTACCTCCTATGTGTATTTTCTCAGGAAACCATTGAAGGGTATCTACCAAAATGAGAAAGCAAGCTGAGAGAGAGAGAGAGAGAAAGCCCCAAGGTTCAGGAAAGAGAGGATCTGGCACAATGAGATGAAAAGAGTGTCTAGGATGGCGGTGTGGTGGCGAGACCCTTCAGGAAATGGCTGTGCCTTGCTACATCCAGAGACTACATCCAGAGTAAAGAAGAGCGATGAAGGACTCCAGGAGAGATGTCTCCAAGGAGAAATGAAGGAGAGAAAGGGAATCGAGGAAAGGAAGGAGGAAGGAAGGGAGAATATGGGATGTATTTGAATTGAGGTAAAATTTATGCTCTATCTGAAGGTCTGGGAGGAAAGGGTGAAAATACAATTTCTAGACAACAAGAGAAAGTTGGACATGGGTTTACAATGGGTAACTAAGCATTTTAAAGTCATGTCAAGTACAAAAAGAAAACAGAATACTTAGTAACTTTAGGCTTCATTGGAAAAATTTATACTGTATTCTGCCATGTATAATGTCACTTTTTTGAGAATTTTTAGGGAAAAATAAGGATATACATTATACATAAATATGATAATTACATATATAATATATACATACTAATGTCTAATAATGGGTATAATAATTCTGTGTATAATGCGCTCAAAAACATAGGTGTGTATTATACACGGCAAAATATGGTACTTTAAGAAGAAATGTTTAGTGGTACAAGCAACCATTAAAAGATCAGGAAACAATCTTGACCTACCAAACACTCAGGGAGACAGAGTAAACTGTATCACTCAAACAGAAATCCAAAAAAATTTTTGAAAAAAAAAAAAGAAATAAAAAACTAGTAAATAAAATAAGATGATAAAAATAAGGCCAAGTATGCCAGCAGTCACCACAAACATAAATGGATTAAAGTCACACTGTAAACCAGAAGTGATCAGATTATAATATTAAAAAATCTACTTCTGTATTTCTTTACAAGAGACAGAGGTGTATAACAGGTGTGGTCTGACTCGCAAAGAGGAACTATCCAGTTCTCTTCCTCTGAGAGAATGAAGAAGGGAGACGCAGGTGGCAGTGAATGCCAGCACTAGGAGGTCACCGTGAAATGGTACCAGAGCAGCCTTCCCGGTGAGTGTGTGAGACAGAGCTGTCTGCAGGGAAAGGAGGCCACTCGTAGCAGCTCAGGTGAACAGACAAGTACACGGAGAGAAGGGGAGGCCTCTGTCAGAACCAGGGAGCTCTACCCCTCACAGATTTCTGGGAGACCTGAAGCCACTCGGTGCCTGACCTTGGAGCCCTCCCAGTCCTCTCTGTCTGTCAGAAAGCCAGCAAATGGCAGGGAAGAGCGGTCTGGCCCAGTCTTGCTGGCTGTGGCCTCTTTCTCCACACTCTGGGGCTGATCAGGTATTGTTCCTGCCTCCCCACTCCCTACTCTCTTTGTCTTTTTGTAAAGAGAAAATGGAAATTAAAAAGTTGTTTCACACACACACAAAAAGAAAGGAAAACCAACAAAAAACCCTCACAGACCTTCATGTGAGCTGGATTTGGTGGGTTGCTTTTCTTTTCAGCCCAGAATCCTGACAAGAACACATGAATAGCAATATGGCTAACCGCTCCTGAGCAGTCGCTGTGGGCTGGGCGCCCCAACAAGAGCCCCTCAGAGACAACCTTATTTAAAAGTGCCTATAAGGTAGCTACTACTCTTATCTGCATTTTGAATACTAGGAAATTTAGGCCCAAGGAGGTTTCCCAGCTAGTTATGGTGTCTCAACCACCCAAACGAAGGGAGGATGACTACATTGTTCCAGGTGGCTTATCACGACCCAAAGTTAGACATTATAATAGACCAGATTTTGGCTTAATATGAAAAAGGACTTTGTAATAACTGTGGTTTATTTAAAAATGGAATAGGCTACCTCTAGGAAAGGCAAGTCCTCCATCTATGTAAGTATTTCAACAGAGCTAAATTAATAGCTTACAAGGATGATATAAAAAGAAATCCTTCAGAGGTAGGGGAATCAGATGATTTCTAAGACCTAATCTAACACCATTGGTCTCTGAACTTTAGCACAATGATTTATTACACTGTATCCAATAGAATTTTCTGTGATGGCAAAAATATTCTATAATCTGTCTGTCCAATGGGGTGGCCATTAGACACATGGTTACCGAGCACTTGAAATGTGACTAATGCAACCAAGGAACTGAATGTTTAGCTTTACTTACATTTAATTGATTCAAATGTATATAGCCACACAGGGCTAGCGACCACTGCATTAGACAGCACGAGTCTGTAAGCATTTGGATCAAACCGTAAAAAGGACTGCTCAATAAAACTGGACAGCTCAGGGCTTAGTTTTAGGCGTCATACAAATACAACAGCTCAGTGCTGTGGCTCTGGGCTAAGTCAGAGGCAAGGACACTTCCTCATGAATCATCAGCATCACTTCCTGGGGGTTAGCCCTTCTCGACTGTACCTCCTGCTGTCTGGAGAACACATACACACATCTATTAATGTATGTGCACATGTATGTATGTATGTAGATATACACATGTGTATACATGCAGCATGGGTAGAGAAGGATACAGTAAACTAATTTAATATTAGAATAGAGTGGAGGATCATTTCATTATTTCTTCATGCATATCTATGTTGCTTTACTTATAAGTATTAACTCTTTTTGTAAAATAAAAATTCTAATAAAAATAAAATAAAATGAGGATGGAACTTAAGAATATCCTTAAAATCCTAAAACTGCTACCTTGAAAATGTCAGGAATGTACTTTTCAAAAAGGTACACATCTAAATGTTCAGGGAGAATTAATATCATATATAGTTTTGTTTCACAGATTTAAGCCCCCGAAGGAATGTTTTCCTCAAAGACACAGAACAGAGAATGCTGTGAGAAGCAAGGAATGAAAATACAATGAAGTTTTTGTTCAGAACTTCATTTTGAAATGTTGTACTGTGTGTTCTTACTGTTATTGTTGATAAACAGTACTTCTAACTCAAATCTTAAATTAGTATTGTCTCAAGTTGTTGTGAGGCTCCTGAAGTAAAAGGATGCCGAGACCTGCAGTAACCTGTCATCTGAGCCACGAGGGAGGTGCCTTGGGGTGCAGCACTTCCAGGGGCTGAGCTCAAGGAACTCAGCTGTTACAAACTGCCTGGCCTAAGGGGTTGAACAGTCAGGGAGCACTGTGTCCTTTTAGGGTAAGCCGTAGTTTCTGGAGGCCTTTTAGAGAGATCTTGCCCTGAATCAGGTAGGACAAGATGCCCCCCTACAAGTCCAGGGAATCAAAAGGGAAGGATTCTGTGGTTGCCCATGTTTAGGAAGTGCTCCAAGACAAATGACCATAGCTCAGTGTGGTATACCACCCAGCCCTAACCCAAATCAGAGAACCTTGTACACCTTTAATTAACACATCTGAGAAGTCCTTCCAGGTTCCCCTGAATATGAGAAGCAATCAAAGCCAAGGACTTCCAGCAGACACAGATCGGAAGGTAGTGATAGCTTTGACAGTAAACAAAAGGCTGCCCCACCTCTCTCCCGCTGAGGTCCGCCATGACTGGGTGTGCGGGGGTGGGCTGCCTCACTGCCAAGGGTCTTGGCTCCCCATCAAGCAGGAAATGTCTGGCCTCACAAGCCAGGGCACAGGGGAATCGGGTCACTGGCAAATGCTGGTAGAGCAAGCAACTTCAATAACAACAAAACACAATAGTTACAACTGAGAACAAAACATAGAGCATCAAAGTGCATCCCCGATGACCCTTATCCAGTCCATTCATTCATCATTCTTCCAACGCACTCTTACTGAGTGCCCACTACAGGAATCAGGAGCAAGTTTCTGTCCACATGAGGAACGGAAGGAGCAGAGCTCCTCCCCTCACTGGAAGCATGGCCTCAAGGGTATTACTTGGGCATGCCTCAGCATTTCCACATGCTAGAGGGTGGGAGTCACTCTTAAGCACCAGCTACTGTGTACAAAGTGCTTTGTGGTTCTTGGTGAGAGTTGGTTGACTGCTACAGAGAAAACAAATCACAATTAAATAATCATCCAAGCACCCTGCTGCAGCTGTGACCGTAAGACCTATTGCAAACCCTTGTACCAAAGTCTCCTGAATCAGAGGACCCCCATAATACACTCACTGCCCATACTCACTTCTCGTGGGGAGGTCCTGCGTGGGCACATGGCTCTCTGACGGGCAGCTGCAGCGCAGAGGCCTCATAGTAGTCTCTGGGGAGCAGCACCAGGTAGTCCTAGGAAATAAAGGCCAGAAGGATAATTACTCACTTTGATGGTAGCCCTATTTTAGAAATAAAATAGTCAAACCTGCTAGCTTATTTAACACCTAGGTGAAGCTCACCAGTTAAACTCTCCACGTCAGCTGCTTGTTTGGCCCCTGACGCCCCAGAACACCCAGAGTCACTCACACAGGTACTGTGAGCATGGGAGATGAGTGCCTTGGGGTGAACCTGCTCATTTTCAAATCTCAGGGAAAATTTTACTGTCTCCTCTGGGTTGTTTTTAATTCAAAAATAAACAAAGGTGATCAGAGTCCACTGATAACACGTTCCTTTGAAACACTGGTGCCTTCCTCACTACGGAACACCAAGTGGTGTTTCACGTGCTGTGGCTTTGTATTCCCACACCAGAGCAGTGCTCGCCGGGCTTGGTGGGAAAGGTTGTGTTTTGTGATCCTGGTGAATCATAGACTAAAACTGGCCTGCTGCCTGTCTTTGGATATGAGAGGAAGAACATGTTCCACTGAGAGTGCCAAGCAAAGCCCACAACATAAATTCAGCCAGCGACTCTCCAGGACAGAGAACAGCTAGGTCTCTGAGTGGCGGATGGTTTGCCAGTTGTGCAGCAATCCTGATATCACCACCAGTTTGCAGAGGGCAGGAGGGAGGGAATCTTCACAACTGTGGAGAGACTCATACGTAGGGCATAAAGCTTTTTCTCTCTCAGAGCCCTTAATTTGTCTAGAATGGAGAAGAGGAGGAATGTATGGGAAGGAGAAAGTAGCAGATGGTGATTCAGGGGGCATAGTGGTCCAGCTCAATGGTCTTTATATCTGAATGAGCTTTATTTCAATAATTGTTATTGTTCTATTGGTAAGTTTCCTTAGGTTGGGAGTATATCTCCTCTTTATTTAGTTCCATAGATCCTAGAACAGTGAAGGTTGATAACAGGTCCTCAATAAAACATTTTTAGAGAAAACAGGATCATAATATGGAAGGACATATATGAATTACTGCACAATCACACTGACTAAATGTCATGCAAATCTTCCATGCCCAGATATTAACTTTAATGGTAATTTTCATCTTTCCATTAGTCCAACTTTGTGTACCCATTATTGACCTTAATGAAAGTTTCCTTTTCCTCATTTCCAGCCTCTGTGAAACATTCGTAAACTTTTTTAAAGCAACAAAGCTTTCTACCAAGAAGATGCAAAACAAACAAGGACAGAATGGACAGCAGAAACCTTCACATTATCTGTGTGGGAACCCAGATTTGGAAAGCACCCACAAGGATAAGCAGTGCCCCCAAGGTATGGGAAAAGCAACTGGGGCTGGCTTGCAGTTAAGGGACTTGCTGGAGCTTTATGAACATTGCCAATCAAAGGGGTTGCCCCCAAAGGGAAAGTTTTATGTTTCCCCTCTTAGTGCATGAAACCAAGTACTGCCAAAGACTTTATTTTGAAAAGACCCTACTATAGTGAAAGCAGACATCAAAGAGCAGTATCTCAGCAGTTTTCATCCCTTCGACTCCACATGGCTCTCTGTCCATTCTATTGATGTTCAAGGACACCGGTCTTCACTTGGAGACTTCCTCGACCATGGCAATCTGCTTGGTGAGACTCTCGTCTGCACTTAAGGCAGAAGGCAGGAAGGATTTCACGGAGAAGCACTGGCTCCTCCAGTTTCTTTCTTCTCTTTCCACCAGCAAGAACTTCACTGATTTTAGGATTGTTTTTTCTCTGGCTTCTTCTGATTTGTTCTGCACAATTCTCAGTGAGGCTAGATTTTTAGATGCCCTTCTGATTCATGATGAACAATCCCAAAGAAACTTTTGAAAGGCTGGGACATATGCTCATTAAGGTTTTGCATTTATTTTGATACTTCAAGTCATTTTGAGTTATAATTTTGTATGTTTTCTGTCTGTGAGAAGCTGGCTGGAAGACTACAGAAGATAATTCTAAGCTGGTTCCTACGTTATAATGTCACATGAGGGCAAATGTCACCATAGGTTCCTGTGTCTAAAAGGGAACCAGCTATAGGTTTTGATATCTTATAGGCACTGTGGCTCACTGCAGATGGGACCATCTGGGACAGAGGGGAGAATCTCCACTTAGAACTATCACTTACCAGGAGGACTCCCTCTGCCTTAATACAAGCAATCCATGTCCCTGGTTCCAGTGAAAATGAATCTGCAAAACCATTTCCAGGGACAGTGACAAAGGCTGGATCCTTACTTGGCAGGAAGATAATCTCTTTGCTTTGAGCAACACCTATCAGAAATAAAAAGAATTGTTTAGGGCATTTTTCTATTAGTCGGTGTTATGATTTTAGATAATCAGTTTTGAACATTCAGTTCACATCTGAAAAGGTGTAGGACAGTTTACTGATCATATGTACATGTCTTATTTTTTAATTCTATGAACACATATGTGCAAAATAGACTAGAAAGGTTGATAAGATGTTAGCAGTGGCTATCTATGCTGGGATTGTAAGTCACTTTTTAATTTGTTAAATGATTAAGCATATTACTACAAATAAACTACTTAGAAAAGTTCTTGGCACATTTTTTAATTGTCAAAAGAAATATAATTCACAAGGAAAAATAAAATAGATAAACACAGTAAACACTCAACATCACAAGCAGTTGAATGAATGAAAATGAAAATAAGGACCTTGTGTAATTTTTGCCTATCGAGGAGGAGAGTCCTTCAGTGGTGACAGGCCGTGGTGAGCACGCAGCCAGCAGTGTGGCAACACTCAGGTAGAAGGGTAAGTGCTACCACTATTCTTAAAACCATTTTAACGATTTCAGAGCTCTTAAAAACTTTCTTACCAATCAGCCCAATGATTCCACTTCTAAAATCTATCGTGTGGAAGTGTTTTAAAATGTAGATAGAAACTTATGGGTGAAGATTGTCACCACTGCATGACAGTAAATAGAAAAAGAAGTGGCAACGCACTCAGTATCTAACAATGGAGGAAAGAAAGTCACTTAAGGTGTAACTGTTAGGTGGGATAATACAGGGCTATTCAGTGATGTGGGGGGAAGTTTATGAAGCAGGATAAAAAACTGGAGATCAAGTATGATCTCAAGTAAGTTTAAAAAACAGGCATGAGAAAAACACCTGGTAGGAAATATCACAGATGGTTTCCTTGATTGGAGGGGGGTAGGGTGGTATTTGCTTCTGTAGTCTCTAAGTATTCAATATATTACATTTGATATTATATTATTTTTCCTTATTTTACATTATTTTGTTTATATGTAATTCAAAATTTTTAATTTCTATTGGAGAACATGAATTCATTTTGAAAATTTTTAAAAAAGGATCCAAAATGTTTTCTTCTGCATTAAACAAATAAAGGACCAGCCCTGGCCAGGTAGCTTAGTTGGTTAGAGCATCGTCCAGATACACCGAGGTTGCAGGTTCAAGCCCCAGTCAGGGTACATACAAGAATCAACCAGTGAATGCATAGATAAGTAAAACAACAAGTCAGTGTTTCTCTCTGTCTGTCTCTCTTTCTCTCTCTTCCTTCCCCTCTCTCTAAAAATCAATAAATTAAAAACAAAAAACAAATAAACCTTCTGTAGAAGGTTCAGAAACAAACAAAACTGTTGTATCTGAGTCCAATGAGACTTTTTCTTCAGGAGATATGCTTATTCCAAGCCCTTGTATTCACTCTCCTGTTCTACTAACATAGGCCCACTATGTATCAGGCCTGGAACTAGGTTCCAGAGATAAGGCAGTGAACACAGCTAGCATTGCCTTTGCATCTCCAAAGGGGACAGGGGAGGTGAAGGGTTACCGATCAGAAAACAGGAGAATACGGTACAGTGTGGACAGTGGTAATCGGGAGAAGGGACAAGTTACCACAGGAATACGTACCTGAGGCTCCTGACTCAGACATGGGGGCTCAGAAAGAGTGTTCCAGGAGAAAACGAACCAAAATATATTCCAACTGTCCGAGTTAACAAAGGGCAAATTGCTGATGAAATTGCCATGTTGGAAGCAGTGGGATCTATTAAAAAGAGTCTGGGATCTGGAAACTGAGACTTATCTACTAAGTCCAGCCGAGTGCTTAGGCACTTGACCTACCACACCTCTCAGCCCTGTCTCCTCTTCAGCCCTCCCCAGTTCACAAGCTCTATCATGCAGGGGAATGATTGTCAAATCCTCTGTAAATGATAAAGCAAGCCTGCTAGGTCCCCCTATTGGTTACCAGTGAACCAACTAGCCTCAGGAGCTCGGCTGACACAATTTGGAAGCGTCATTTCTTCTCCCAAGTCTGAATCTGCTGTAGATGCTAAACACAGATACGGAGACTTCTACCCTGAATTAGATTTCCATTGGCCCATTTGGTGACTGTGTAGGATTCCTCCTGCTTCCTGGAATCTTTTCCCAGGACGGGCGGAAGCCCTAACCCCTCGAAGACACGACTGCCAGGCCTCCTCTCCAACGGGACCATGGTGAGGTCTGCCCGCAGACAGCGCTTCCCCTCAGCCCTCGGCATCCCCGGCCCTGAATGAGGTCGGTGTGCTCCCCTCTGGAGCACTCATGGGCTTCATCTTAAAATTCCTATCCCCGCGCATTTCCTTGAACTAACTTCAGTGTGCCCAAAACAATGGGAGAATCTAGGCCAGGGAGCCAAAGTCTTGCAAACACCACCACAAAGGTGACACCTGCTTTACCATAACTCATTCATGAGCTCTGCCCAGTGGTGACATCTAATCCATGGAGTCCAGCCAAGGTTATTATACTGATTTAAAATGAGAGTGAATGATATATTTAAGAGCAAAATGTGAATAAGCAGAATGTTTAGGAATCAAAAAGGTCGCACAGGACAGGGCACCTAGAGCCCTGTTCTAATTAGACCACGAACCTGGCGTAATGTTTACTCCAGAGGTGACTTTGTGAAAACTGGAGAAAACGTTTCACTAGTTAATCATTTCTTAATGAAAAAGAGGCTTGAAAATCTACCTACCTGTCTGAGCCCAGGATGGGTAAATAGTTAGATGGCCAGCTACCGCTTCAGTCCCAGGGTTAAAGTATCTCAAAATAACACGAAACGAAGAGAGACTGGACTTCCCCACATTCATCGTGATCCTTACTTCATTCTGAAAAATACCAAAACCCGTAAAGCACAGAAGAGACAACCGGTTAAAAGAAATGCTGGCCAAACAGTGCCGTTATTCAAGTTTCACCACTGGGCTTCCAGTGTACACACAGGCAAATACACACACATTCGCACCCATTCAACAAGCACCAGGGAACCAGCTCTGTGGAAGATGGAATCAAGCAGGCCTAACAATAAAATGAAATCACTTACAATTACAGTTACAGTGAAAATGCATTCCCTCAGCAACTGAGATCCCCTTTTGACCTCTTTGGAATCAGGCAGACAGAGCAGAACATAGATGGACTAGTTAGATGGAAAGCCACAGTGACAGAGGCAACCACCAGCCGCTGGGAGAAAGAAAAAGGTGGAAGGAGGAAAGGGACATGTATAATTTACCACCACCACCCTCATAGAGAGACCCCTCCAGGGTCCACTTCACATGCAAAAATTCTAAGTGGTCACAGAAATCGTTGGCTAAGGAAAGGTTACAGACCCCAAACACATTAGTGAAGAAACCTGAATGTACCTAAATATGCTAAGTCACATGACATTTATCTCAATCCCCCTCCGAGAAGAACAGGAGCTTCTTAGACTGGTGTGTGGAGGGCGGCCCTGTTGTTCACTAGCCCTGGTACATCCACAGAGGTCTGCAAGAGCTGCTGAGCCCATCATGTTGAAGGAAAAAGTAGATATTATAAGTCCGAACTACAGACTACGTGTTCAAATCCAGCTTTCTACGGTCCAAGGAAAGGTCATGAAACTTGGAAATTTCCCAGTCAGTGGTTCTTTTGGTTTCTCCCCTGGCTCCTTTGGTTAAAATGCAGGGAATGCTGTTGAACAAGGTATCTGTGACATAAAAGATGGAATGGGTAGCATCCCTTGTCCTGGGAGCCGGAGCTGCAGACGACCCACACTGAGGACCTCCAGCTGGCCCTCTCAGTTTGACTAGTTTCATAATTAAATAGTAGTTCCAAGTAACAAAATAAAAATGCAAAAATGAATTGGGAACAGTGTAAAGTTAGTGGTAATTTGAGGAATACTGCCAAGGTCCTCTAAAATTACTTAGAGAATTAATCACTAAAAAGTCACTCTTTAGTGTTAACCAACTAGTCTTTCAAACTCTAGACACCTGTGGGGAGGTACTATACATATTAGGTTCTTAGTCATTCACATCCTGTTATGACTCAGTGGAATCCACTGCTTTTTTCCTTGAATAATGAATGATGTAAGAGCAGGGAACTGAAGAAACTGAACTGCTGTATCTGGGAAGGAGAACACAGTGAGGGGTCTTAAGGTCCTCAGGACTGCTTGGATCCTCCGAATGGGGAGTTTGGGCCAGGCAAGAGCAGTGTTAGTTAGAATCAGTGGGGGCTGATGCGCCCAGCTTCTCTAAGAGCGAATGAGAAATAGCAAGGATGGTTCTGGATCCACAAGGACATGGGATTGCCATGGTCATTAGATTGCCTCTTTCGTTCTGAATTTCTCCACTGAGAAACAGCTTCAGAGACCCCCTCAAAGAGATGTTCTGAGAACAAAAATACTTCAATGACTGTATGTACATTTTTCATAATAAATATTAAGTTCTAAAAGTAAAGTGTAAATTCCTTACTTATTCCAATACAAAGCCAAGAGAGATAGATGCATAGAGCAGAGAAGAATGAAGGAAAGGAGAAATGTAGGAAGGGAAAATTAAATAACGCTGACTAAAACTCCTCATTTTTCTTAGTTTCTATTTAGATGTAGTAATTCAGAGTTTTAAAAAGTAAAAACTAAAATCATTGGCCAAAAATTAGCAACAGAAGCTTTATTGAAATTATTTAAGTCAACTTATTTTTATTTTCCTCAAAAGGCTTAAAGAAAAAAATGTCCCTTGTGTTAAAATATGGCCTAATTTTGTTTGGGAAATTTCTTGTAAAAGTATCCAGAGATAAGCACCATTTTTTTTAATCCCCTCATTTTCTTATTTGGTAACCAAATTTAAGTAACAAGAAACTGTGAAAGTGATATGTATGTTTATCAGTTAGAATCCCCCCTTACCCCAAACCCCATTTATAGACTTTTTTCCCAGGAGAAAAATAATCCTGGACTCACTGTGGGGACATGCACCCTTTGGGGAGGCCCACTGAGAGCGCGGTGGGTAGGGGCACGGCTGACCTGCCTCGAGCTCTTTCCTCCTGTCCACTAACCTGTAGAGAGGTCATCTGGGCATATCCCCGCCAGCTAAACTCAGGAAACTCCAGGGCATCGTAGCCGAATCGAAGCTCTCTCCCATTAGGTGTAGTGCCCTCTTCAATCTCATACTTCATGTGATGCAAATCCGGAAAATAGTAGTTGTTTTCAGGTCTTTCATAAATAAAAAGTAAACACGGGTACAGCAAGTTGGGTCCGTTGATAATCTGAATATCCTTCAATCCCAGTAGCTACTGCTAAAAGAACTCCCACCAAACTGACAGAGTGCATTACACAAGGGAATCAACAGAGGCCCACAGCTTTTTCTCTAAACTATTGCTTTCGCTCATGCAAACGTTCACAGAAAGCACAGGCCGCACCTACTCATTCCAGGCAGTAAAATGAGGTAGCACAACCCCTGGTGGCAGCATCCTTCAGAACATTCTCAACTCGGGCATCTCTCTGTTGCTAACAACTTGGCAAAGTCAAATTAGGTGATTTACTCTACATTCATTCACTCACTAACACAGTCATGCTCACTCACTACACAAACATCACTGTCTATGTGTCAGGAAGTGTTGCTAAGCACTACAGATACAATAGTGAACACAACATAAAATGTTTTATATGCTAAGTTTATAGATTAGATTCACTTATATTTATATATAATTTTGATCATTGGAATGGCTTTTCTATGCTTTGTTTTCTCTTAAATTATATGCCTAAAAATGGATTCCTTTCAAGAGTCCAATAATGGCAATCACAGAGAAGGATCAAAAATACTCCAACACTTGTGTGACATTTTAAAATTCAAACTAATTATTTGAAGTTCTTCAAAATGATACATTTTGGCAATTCAGTCACAAACTAATCACACTTCATGGATTTAAAGCCATAAGGATCATTTAGTAAAAAGAAATAAAAGGGCACACTCCCATATTAGAAGTAGAATTAGGAATGCTTACAATTTTTTTGGAGGTAATTTACAAAGATCTTGAAAAATGTTTATACCCCTTGGCTTAGTAAGTCTATTTCCAGGAATATATCTAAAGAATGACTTTATATACAGTGGTCAAAGAATGAACATAAAAGAATATTTATAGTAGTGAAAACTTGGAAACAACGTCAATGTTGTTTTGTACAAAAATGTAAAATAATTATGAAATAATTAAAGAAATTATGAAATATTATGTAACCAGTAATATCTTTGAGGATTAGTTATAATGGAAAATGTTCATCATATCACATGACTTAATACAAATTATGTAAAAAATATAATACTAATTTTTATTCATAGAAACTATAAAAATAGACAAAGATCCTAAAAGAAGTCCACTCTGGGTGGTGGAATGGAGATTGTTCCTTGACCGTTTACTTTCAGGTACTTGTGAAAATTTTACAATAAACATACAGGGTGGGCTTATACTTGTTTGAATGTAACACAGTAATAACACAGTAATTAACAACTAACAATACAAGAATAAACTATGTTCTGCATACTCACAACTGTAGACCTACTTTTGCTCCATCCTGTATATTACATTTACTATCATAAAGCTATTAAAAAAATGAATGTAAATGCTTCCTAAACTTGTAAGAAAAACTAAAAATGCTCAGGTAATACAAACATTAGAGAGGCACTTAGGACAAAAGGACACAGACTTACTGACCTAGAGGCAAGGTGGTACGGTGCCTATGTTGCTGGTTTGTTACCCTTTTATTTCAGATATCATTTACCACTAAATCAAAGGGCATGTTCTAAATTTTATATATAGGTATAGGCTATAAGGTAAAACATCAGTGTGTTTGCCTCAAGGTGAGCAGTGTCATTCCCATTCACTTGCATTATTTTGACCCGAAAATTAGCCAGTCATCTACATAGCTGGAAGGAGAAAAAGCTTAAGCTGGTTCAGCAGGAGACAAGCTCGCTTTATAAACACGAGGCTGGAAAGAGGTAAAACATGGGTGGAAAATGTTTCTGAACCTATTTACAAAGTTCCCCTGGACCATTGTGAGCCGGCTAGTCTGCAGGAAAACAAATCTCCAGATGTACCCTCCTTCACATAGATTTTATTATGCGACCCAGCAGTGACTGCCACTTGGAAAAGTACAGCAGAAGGAATGCAGTCGGTAATGTTGCAATAACTGTGTCAGGGGAACACTGTAAATGTAGATGATTGTCTAACCACTATGCTGTGCACCTGAAACCAATACAAAATAATATTGAATGTAAACTGTAATTGGAAAAACATAAAAGAAATGCCTGGAGAAAGCACAGCTGGGCTGCTCTGACTTTAGAATTCAAATGCTGGAAATAAGGAAGGAAAGGGGAGGCACCACACTAAACACACACAATTTATCTTAACAGCCTGAAAGATTTATGTGTTGAAAATGCGGAAATATTGAAGGTGCTTGAGATTTTGAAGTTGTTGAATCTCATGGCATTTCCAGTGTTTGATTAAAAGTCAGAATATTAAAAATTAGTTTTTCCCCCCACTGAGGGAAAATTACAGATGGGCACGATTTCAAATATGTATATAAATTGCTGCTCTACTTGCTATAGTGCTTCTGGGGCTCAGTCTCCACTTCACTCCCCTCCTCCTTCAGTTCATTTTAACTGGCTTCTGTGTGAGATGAGGGACTTTTCCCACTTCTGAGGTTTTCTGACCCCTCACCCTGCCATGTGCAGCACGCCTGGCCTCTCCAGGCCCTCCCTCATGGGTCCCAAGGGAGAAGCAGGACACGACTCTCCTTGGTGCAGGGGCCCACCGTCTGCTGGGCTCCTCCATGCTCCAACTTCTACGCGCAGGCTCAGCCATGGGACCCCACCTTGTGTGTCCTGCTCTAGTCGCTCCCACCTGACTTTTTGTACCCATGGAACTTCCTAGTGAAGCTGCTCCATGACCTACAAAATGGAACAGTTTTTCTGGGCCACCTTGCCTCCTGCTTTAACTGGACTCACTGACAAGTGTCCACATTTCAAATGACAGTACAGGTTCCGCTGCCCTTGGTCCTCAGGACCGTGTCTCTCCTCCTGAGCATGGTCAGCACAGACAGGACTCTGGGAGAGTCTCCCACCACGTCAGTGTGGGGAGAGACCTCCCGCGACTCACCGCTGGCATGCCATGCCCACGATGTGTTCTTGGCACTGGCACACTCCAGAGGGTCTGCTGCACATGGGGGAGACTGCCCCACCAATGTCACACTGACACCCTGAAAGTCAGGAAACAGCATGGTTACCCATCAAAGCATCTCCCCGCTGGATGCTTCCCCTGCCTCCAGGAGGAGTGGAAATCGGTAAGCCCACGGTCACCGGGCATTCTTTTTCCTGCTGTGTTATATCTGTCAGGTGTTTGAAATACGTTTGAACCTCCCAAACTGAGATGGCAGGATTCCCCAAAAGCCCACCACCAAGTTGGAGGTGACTTGTAGGCCAGCTCCAACATGGTTGTCCAAAGTAAGGGACAGCAGCCGAGGAGCTAAAAAGGAGTTAGCAACAGAGTGTTGTTATAAACAGTGTGTGCTAACAGGAGGCTTGGGACAGACATGAGCAGCTTTATGGAGACCTGCTCCCACAGCTTTATTGTTTAAAACAGTATAATCTCTAAAAATTTGGTGTAAGCTGATTTGATAATACAAAATATAGCTTTAAAATGACCAAGAATTGATGTTATTTACAATGACTCCCCCACCCCAATTATTTTTTCTTAATAATTAAACCCACAGTATGCTGGCAGAAGAGAAGTGGAAGCAACTTCATTTTCAATCACTAATCATGTCAACTGAAAGTCCGGTCCAATGTCCTGGACAAAATGTTTGAATCCAGTCCCCTCAGAAAGTCTGCATGGAGACAATGGATCCACGCTAGAGGTCGTCCTGGCAGACTTTGTCCATCAGCACTTTTGCTTCACTCAGGACTGCCAATGTGTTTACCTTGACATCCAAAGTAATTGCTCTTGTCCAAAGCAAAATATCCGTCTTCGCATGTGTCACAGGAATCACCACCAACATGGGACTTGCAGTGACAGTCACCATCTCGCTGCAGAACGAGCCAGATGACAAAATTGGATTAAGGTTATAGAGTTTGCTAAGCTTCAAGATTTAAAACTGGCTCACTGTGCAAAATGAAGCCAGGATCTAAAAACATCCAAAAAGATGACCACACACAGTACATTTACAGAGGCACTAATATTAATACCCTCCCTCAGAAACTCCACAATCAATTGCTACTGGTATCCTATGAAAAAGTGGCTCATGTTACCTGCCCACACTCTCCGATTCCGCTCACTGTTCCCGCCACATGGCACTGGCATTCTGTGAAGATAAGAGAGCATCCCTGGACCACGGTCAGATAAAGGACAGTTCCCCAGCACTGGGAACATGCCGCACCAGCGACACTACACAGGCAGTCACTTCCTAGCATGCTTCCGCAGAAGGCAGATTGCACTGCTGAAGCACAACAGCCAGAGCAATACTAGCACCTACGAGGAGTAATGGCTGGTTTATGACCACAGTCACTCAAAAGTGCACCACCATGGGATTCTTAAATGATTCTAATGTCAAGGTCATTGCTGATACGTTTACATGAAAATGTACTGTACTTAAGGATATTCTCTCCCTTAGCCACTGTCAGTTTGATGTTTTTGATTCCTATCCTGGCTTCGGTCTATGCATAAGATGAAAATAAAATTAAACTAGAAAGAGTGGATTATAAAAACAAGCCAATAAAAACCATTTATCAAGTAGCTGCCGCCTTCCTAAAGACCACAATGCATATGGAAACAGGATATAAATCTCTTGCTGAAACTTTGAAAATGACAGAAGTTCTGCCAAAGGGGGAGAAAAACATCAAAACATTTATACAAAATTTCAGACAAACTGAACTGATTAAACAAATAGCACTTTTGTGGGTTTAGTCACTGAAATGAAGAAACTTACGAGGAAGCTCCAGCATAGTAAATTATTATGTACAAGAAACTTTACCTGAACATCCGGTGGGGTTTTCTTTGGCCAGATTCCAATATAATGGCTTACAGATATTGCAGGTAGGACTTTCAACATGAAGCTTGCACTGGCAATACCCCTTTAAAAGAAAATCAAACCAAGATTTGACCTCTCAGAATTAAGATATGTTTTCAAACATGTATTCTGAACAAAGCTTGTCACAGAAACATATTTTGATGATGAAAAGTAAATTAAGTGTATTAAAGGGAAATAAAAGTACTGGGTTGATTTCAACAGTCCACCACTTACTGCTCTGGTTTTATTTCTCATTTATTTGGTACACACACAATCCATATTTCTGGTTAAAACAAAATTGGAAAGTACAGAAAAAAATTAAAAATCACTGTGATTTACAACACTGTTATTGTTGATTTTATTATAGCCTGGACCACATAGGAAAATACCTGAAAATAGTTAACATGTGAGGATCAGTAGAAAAGTATGTTTATCTGAAAGTCATGTGATACCTAGGAGTTGAGCCTCGTTGAAACACCAAAGGACTCACAGGGAGGATGCAGAACCTCTCTCCCCTGTGCCCCAGGTGTGGCAACCCCGCATCCCCAGGCCCAGGGGCTAAAAAGACAGATAATTTCTAAAGTGCTTAGCAAATGAATCTTGGAGTAATATCAAATAGTTACAATTACTCTGTACACAGACAGCTTTATTTACCGTGAAATTAGCCTTGATTTTCTTAATTTTAATAATGTCTTTCAGGCCAATGTGCGGGGCTCCAGGGTGGCAACACCCTCAGAATAACCAACAATAACAGTTAAAACCTAGGACTCTAGAATTCAAACTTTAAACAAACCATATTCTTTTGTTTTTGAAAAAGATCACAACATCACATATGCATCTTGAAAATGAGCAATGACCTCTTTAAGCAATTTGGCCTCAGGCCTTACTTCAGTTTCCTTTTAATTTCAGGAAGCTCCCAAATGTGTTAGTCTTGCAAAAGTATCAGAAGAATAGTTAGAATTGCAACCTTTTAATAATTCTGTACTTACCAAACTGGAATCAAGGGTACCGGCTAGGTCGCAGGAACTGCTGGAGCCTGTACATAATCCAGAAATGCGTTAAACATCTGGGGTGTTAACACTTATTTGTTTGTCTCTTTGTCTTCATGTTTTGAGTTTTAAAAGTTTTACTTGTTGTTGAACTTTAAACACGTTTTTCATCAATCCTCATTTGAGGTTGTGTTTATAGATTTCAGAGAGAGAGAGAAACATGGATCGGTTGCCTCCCAGACACACCTCAACCTGGGATCGAACCTGCAGCCTAGGTAAGTGCCCTGACCAGGACCAAATTTGCAAACTTTGGGTGTATGGGAGGACACGACAACCACCTGAGTCACCCAGCCAGGCAAGTTTTACTTGATTTTAAAAATAGACTTCCGGCCAAGATGGAGGCATAGGTAGACACTGTGCCTCCTTGCACAACCAAGATAGGGACAACAACAATTTAGAAACAGAATAACAACCAGAACTGACAGAAAATTAAACTCTATGGAAGTCGGACAACCAAGGAGTTAAAATAGACACGTTCATTCAAACCGGTAGGAGGGGTGAAGTTGGGCTGCTGGGTGGAGAAAGGTCTTGGAACAACGAGCGTAGGGACTGGCATAAGGCATCCCGGGCACCCAAGACTGCAGAAGGTGGACCCTGGGCATGCAAGCAGCAGCTGGCAGACCCCGGCTAAGGAATGGCAAGAAGCAGACCCAGCAAGGTGGCGACTATGAAGCAAGGCACTGCGCGCAAGGCATCTGGCTGGCCCAGCAGTCCCAGGGTCCCAGTGCCAGGGAAATAGAGCCTCAGGGCACTGATTGAAAACACCTGTTGGGGGGTTGAGGCACAGGGAGAGACTCCCAGACTCACAGGAGAGGTCGTTGGAAAGACCCTTGGGGTGCACAAGCCCACCCACATGGGACCAGAAAGTCCCAGTTTGCTTGGGGAAACAGTGGAAGGGACTGAAATCCAATGGAGAGCAGAGCGAGTGCCATTGTCCCTCTCTGACCCCACCCCCACGTACAGCATCACAACCCAGCGACTGGGGTACCCGGCCCTGGTGAACACCTAAGGCTCTGCCCCTCATACGTAACAGATGTGACAAAAAAAAAAATGGTTCAAACAGAAGAACAAATGAAAGCCCCAGAACCAATAATTTTAAGCGACCAAGAGATAGCCGACCTATCAGATACACAGTTCAAAACACTGGTGATCAGGATGCTCACAGAACTGGTTGAATTTGGTCACAAATTAGATGAAAAAATGAAGACTACAATAAGTGAAATGAAGAAAAATGCACAGGGAACCAATAGTGATGGAAAGAAAGCTGGGTCTCAGATCAATGGAATGGACTGGTAGGAAGAAAAAAACATACAATCAGAAAAGGATGAAGAAATAAGAATTCAAAAAAATGAGGAGAGGCTTAGGAACCTCCAGGACATCTTTAAACATTCCAACATCCAAATTATAGGGGTACCAGAAGAAGAAGAGGAAGAGCAACAAGTAGAAAACTTATTTGAACAAATAATAAAGGAGAACTTCCCCATTCTGGCAAAGGAAATAGACTTCCAGGAAGTCCAGAAAGCTCAGAGAGTCCCAAAGAAGTTGGACCCAAGGGGGAACACACCAAGGCACATCATAATTACATTAGCCAAGATAAAAATGAAGGAGAGAATCCTAGAAGTAGCAAGAGATAAGGGGATGGTCACCTACAAAGGAGTTCCTATCAGACTGTCAGCTGATTTCTCAAAAGACACCTTACAGGCAAGAAGGGGCTGGAAAGAAGTATTCAAAGTCATGAAAGGCAAGGACCTACATTCAAGATTGCTCTATCCAGCAAATCTTTCATTTAGAATGGAAGGGCAGATAAAGTGCTTCTCAGATAAGCTCAAGTTAAAGGAGTTCATCATCACCAAGCCCTTATTATATGAAATGTTAAAGGGACTTATCTAAGAAAAAGAAGATAAAAAACATGTATAGTAAAAGGACAGCAAATTCACAATTATGAACAACAACACCTAAAACAAAAACAAACTAAGCAATCAACTAGAACAGGAACAGAAGCACAGAAATGGAGATCACATGGAGGGTTAGGAACAGGGGAGTGGGAGGAGGTGAGAGGGGGAAAAGGTACAGAGAATAAGTAGCATAGATGGTAGGTAGAAAATAGACAGGGGGAGGGCAAGAATAGTTTGGGAAATGTAGAAGCTAAAGAACTCATGACACATGGACATGAACTAAAGGGGGGGATGTGGGTGGGAGGAGGTGTGCAGGGTAGAGGGGAATGAAGGGGGAAATGGGACAACTGTAATAGCATAATCAATAAAATATATTTTAAAAAATAAAAAGATAAAAATAGTGTGTCGACATTTATATTTTTTGATATATGGGTGACAAGGAGGACATTGCATGTAATTCAGAAAAAGAGTCCCCAAATAACCTTTATGCTCTTAATTCCTAAATCACCCCCTTTACCACTGAACAACTCTAATCCCTTCCCACTACTAAAAGTTCATTTTTTAATTTTACTTTTTATTACAGTTTACTTTCAATATTATTTTGTATTGATTTCAGGTGTACAGCATAGTGATTAGACACGCATTTACTTTACAAAATGCACCCCCAACATTCCCAGTACCCACCCAGCACCACACACAGTTATCACAATATCATTGACTATATTCTCTGTGCTGCACTTTACATCGTATGACTGTTTTATAACTACAGCTTTGTGCTTCTCAGTACCCTTTACCTTTTGCACCCAGTACCTTCCACCCTTGGCTACCATCCATCTGTTCTCTGTATCTATGACTCTGTTTCTATTTTGTTTGTTCATTTATATTGTTCTTTAGATTCCACATGTAAGTGAAATCATAAGGTATTTGTCTTTCTCTGACTGACTTGTTTTACTTACCATAATACCCTCTAGGTCCATCCAGGGTTTTGCATGTGACAAGATTTTCTTATTTTTTATGGCCAAGTAATATTCCATTGTACATATGCACCACAACTTCTTTATGCATTTTCTACTGATGGGTACTTGCATTCTGTCCATATCTTGGCTATTGTAAATAATGCTGCAATGAACCTAGGGTTCAAAGGACCCTGAATAGCTGCACCAATCTTGATAAAGTAGAACAAGGCTGAAGGTATCATCCTATATGATATCAAACTATACTACAAGTCTATACTTATCAGAACAACATGGTACTGGCATATGAACAGGCATGTAGATCAATGAAACAGAATAGAGCCCAGAAATAAAACTATGACTATATTATCAATTAATACTCAACAAATGAAGCAAGAACATACAATGGGGTAAACATAGTCTCTTCAATAAATAGTGTTGGGAAAATTGGACCAATAAATGCAAAAAATAAAACTAGCCTACCTTCTTATACCATATACAAAAATAAACTCAAAATGAACTAAGAGTTAAATGTAAGGCTTGACACCATAAAACTCCTGAAAGAAAACATGAGCACTACAGTCTTTGATACTTCTTGTAGCAATATATTCTTCTATCTCCTTGGACAACAGAAACGGAAGAAAAAATAAATAAATGGGACTACATCAAACTAAAAAGTTTTTGCACAGCAAAGGAAACGGCCAACAAAATGAAAAGACAACCTACTTAATGGGAGAAGATATTCACCAGTAATACACCGGATAAGGGTTAATATCCAAAATTTATAAACGTTCATTTCTAACTGGTGACATAGGAGGAGACTGGGGGAGAAAAAATAATAAAATTTTGAGCATCTTTAAGATTGTCCAGAAGAGGGCAATATTGTACTGAGACTTTTTAAGTGTCCAGTTAAAAAGTTCCAGAATCTGTTAAGCACATTTTTTAGTTAACCAAAACCTAAATCTCTAAGTATCACACAATTCCCTTGTTCCTCACCTGTTCTACAATTATTTCTAAAAATAGTTTGTTTTGCTGCTTTAGTCAGTATAATATTACAAGTCCAATATAATCTCTCTTCAATCAGTTGGGAGCTTGCAGTCTCTCAGTCTATTATACAGCATCAGAAGGCCTGGCTGCTGTGGCTCAGTGGATTGGGGGCCAGCCTGTGAACCAAAAAATCAATTTTTCTCTCTCTCCCTTTTTTCCTCCCTCCTTTTCTTTTCTCCTCACCTTCTTCTGTAATAGTCAATACAACCTTCCCACTCCTTGCAGTTTTCTAGCTTCGGTTCCTCCCCATCTGACCAATGTTGCTGCCTAGCCCTGAAGAAATCATCCCAGCTGCCCAGCCCCAGTGCCCGCTGACACACACTTCCCAGACCACCCCCTTCCACTCCGGGCCCCAGACAGCCTTGCCCGCTGGGGACCTCCAGGCCTTCTCAAAGGCAAGCAGTGCCCTATGACTGCTGGCTACAATTTCCACCAGAAAAAAAAACCCCGTCTCTTGAGGATTTTGGTGAGTAAGGTTCTAAAGAGCCCAGTTTGAGCCATGGCCCTGTCTTCAGATGTCTTTGAATGCAGAGCTCCAAGCACTATCAGGAGCCAGAAGGGGTCTGAGAAAACCACGTCCTCTTGATGGGAAGTCTAATTCAGCCTTTCACAAACACTTTTCCACTGCCCTCTGAAAGCCACAGTCAGAAGCTACTTACACCTGGAGGCTGCAAACACCTGGAGCACAGTGAGATTGCATCTCATGTCCGTGGAGCATCGTATGCTCCGTAAGATGGAGCCCCTTATGTCTGTGACCTGGACCCCAGAGCACGCAGACTCTCAATCTCTCATCAATCGAGGGATGAATATCGACAACTCACAGCAATGTTTCCTCCTTGGCTCACTCTTTCCAAACCAAATAGACTCTGGTTCACCCCAGCCCCTGCTCCTCACACCCGTGCTGACGTGTGATGACAGAGTTCCCCAGGAGGCCAGTGGTGGGCAAAGAGAGAGGGCCAGAAACCCAGCAAAGGTCCTGCTCAGCCTGCCCACAAGAGGACCTGTTGGAGCACCCCTGGGGTGATACAAAGCAGCCAACATCAGTGCCACAGCTCGGACCCAAGGAGAAGCTGGGATGCCTTGGCAAAGGGGGAAAGGAATGCTGGGCTTCGCTAAAAGGGGCCATCTTCACCACACAGTTAACACGTGAATCAAGAAACACATATTTATAACACATGGGAATGTTTTAAATTTTAGGAATCAATCATTTTTTGATTACCTAGAGAATGCATATCTGAAAATGTATTTGCATTTTTGATAACCAAGCAGATTAGTGTCAAACATAGATGCAACCAGTGCTGGGTCTGTGGGATTTGCACGCTACTCTGTGAGGCTGTCTGCACACCCTTCAGAGAGGACCCCTGCCCACCCCTGGCAACATTCAGATGTCTTCCCTACCTTGGCAGTGGGGAAAATCATAGGCTCCTGAGAGACACCTGTCACACTGCCGTCCTGTGATCCCCGGCTTGCATTCGCACTGTCCAGTCACTGGGTTGCAGGGCATCCGGTAGGAGCCAAGGGCTGAACACTGGCAGGCTGGATGAAAAGACCTCTGTCAGACATGGGGTGGTGAGGTATGGACCTGGATAAGAATGGGGGTGGGGCTGGAAAGACCCAAATGCAAGTTCCAGCTTCACCACTTTGTAGACCTGGAACCTGAAACAATCTGGCCAAATGCCCTACACCTCAGTTTCCTCTTCCTTAAGTGGGAATAGTCCTAGTGCCTGCTTGACAGCATTAAATAAGATCATACCTAAAAGAGCTGGGACAATGTTTGTCTCATAGTGAGAACTCAATGATGCGCATGAGTTTTGTTTTTGCTATTGTCAACTTCATATTCAGCAAAATTGCTGGTTGTGGATGAGGGTTGGTAAATTCCTCCTGCATGTAGTAACTGGTGCTCGTCAGAGAAGGAAGAAGGGAACAACTGATGGGGGTGTGACTCACTGGAGGGGACACATTAATTCCACACCCCACCAGGGATCAAGTGTAAACCATTCCAATCCAGATCAGCCTCTAACTGTCCCCCCTTTTTTCCCTGTCCACCTCTCTCCACACCTGATTTCTTAAGGTCTAGTGTAGTTGAATAATCACAGGAAAAGTTACACAGGCAGGGTTGGGAATGGATGGGAAAGGAATCCCAGTTTCCTCTCTCCCACCTCACGAAGGGGAACTAAACATATGTGGATGGAGAAAACAGACTCTGGCTGCTCCGCTCTCTGCTCCCTTTGCCCTGGGTCGGGCTCCTGGGTCGGGTTAGTCTATGCAGCTAACCCCCCACAGGGCTGCAGTTACTCAGCTTCACTCCCATTCTCACTGCAAGGACCCTGCTCCTTCCTGCAGAGGGGAGAGCAGGGGAGATGACCCACTGATTTCCTGAGCAGGACAGTTTCCCATCTTAAGAACAGGAAGGAACTGAGAGATTGCCTTGTTGATTTCTACTGTTATATAATGAAGTTCAGAAACTAAGTGACAGTTCCAAAGTCACCAATTAGTCTGTAGCTATGGGTTTTAGTCTCTGGGGCAGACACATCTGGATTCAAGTACCAGCTCTGCCACTTAGCTGTGCAATCATGAGCAAGCGGCTCAGCCCCTCTAAGCCTCAGTTTCCTCTTCTGTAAACTGGAGCTGATGACAGTACCATGTCATGAGGTCATTAGAGAATCACCAGTTTCAAGGCATGAAAAGCACTGAGCATGGAGCTTGGTGTAAAGGAAGTGCTCAGTACGTGTTCACTCTTGTTACCATTGTTACTGTGACGACTCAGTGCCCGGTGCTCAGGGAGGTGCTCCGTGCATGACCCCAGGCTGCATTAATGGGATCAGTGGGTTAGTATACCTGACTTCCAAATTCATATTCAGGGCATGCAGTCAAAAAACCCCACAAAAAACCACAACCTTGTTTGCAAGGTTTCAAAGATTCCACACCTGTTGAGGTCTTGGGGAAGAAAAGAAAGATTCACGAGGTAAACTGTACATTCCGGTGATTTATTTGCAAGTGTCTTCAGGGTGTGTCCAGCCCCACATCACCAAGCCTGGGAGCCCAGAGCTCCCCTGACGATGAGACCAGGCCACTTTCCCTCTCTTTGATGGGGCTTGGCCCAGACTCCCCAGTTTTCTCATTTGCCAATCACCTGGGACTTCAGTGGACTAGGCGTCTCATTCAGAGAGGCACAGTTATGTAGTGGCAGGCCCATCCACGCCACCCTATTTTCTATTCACCTCTCCAGCAGACTTGGATTAAATGCGTACTGTTTGTCAGCGCCATAGCTAGGTGTTGGGGTAGAGGTAAATATGAAAAGCACACATCCCTGATCTCGGGGACCTAAAAATCCAGAAGAGGGGCTAGAGAATTATTGACACTGTATGACGCAACCTCCCCGCCCCTCCCCGCACCAAGACACTATAAGGGAGATGAGGAAAGTCGGTCGGCCCTCGGCAGACAGCAGCACAGGCCTCAGATCTCCTGCTGCCGGCTGGGTCAGCGTTCTCCCATGGCTCCACGCTCCACCAGGCCTGTGCTTACCAGGGGACAATTTACCCAGGAAATGTTCTTGGATGGTTAATTTTATGTGTTAATTGCCTGGGCTACAGGGACTCCAATGGTTGGCCAACATCAGTCTAAATGTTATTGCAAAGGTGTTTTGTTTAAAAATGTGATTAACATTTAAATCAGTTGACCTTGAGTAAAGCCCATTACCCTCCACCACATGGGTGGGCCTCATCCAATCAGCTGAAGGCAAGAAGAAGAAGAAGTTAGAAGAAAAGACTGAGGTCCCAGAGGAGGAAGGAACTCTTCCTCCGAACTGCCTTGGGACTCGAGTGGCAACATCACCTCTCCCCTGGATCTGCAGCCGGCTGATCTGCTTGCAGGCTTTGGACTTCCAGCTCCCACAGTCACGTGAGCCAATTCCTTAAAGTAACTCTGTATTATGCACTCAGAGATACACACACTCACACACATTCTATTGGTTCTGCTTTTTCTTGAGAAGCCTGACTAATACAAGCTCTGTCTGCTGTTTCTACCCTGAAGGAAAGTGAATGCAGAGAGAAAAGCACTCACTGGGCAGAGCAGAGCTACAGGGATCCAGAGCACCATTATGGCAGCTCTGGCCGGAACAATGTGGGTGCCATCTACATTAACCCCCTAGGGCCTCAGGGGTTGTCCAGGAGATGCAGTTACACTCCACAACTGGAAACAAAGACCCAGCCTTAAATGCAGGTTCATTGCTCTAAACTGTGAATTGCTCAATCTGTCATCGCCCTCCTCACTTCAACCCATCTGTCAGTGAGAGCTTCCAAACCCCAATGCTGGCGGCTCTTCTCACTCTTGGAAATACTATAAGGCTTTACAAATATTTTAACTCTGCTCTTTGTTTTGGTGCAAGCCCTTTGAAGTTTCTGGAGTATTTTCCTACTCATCTACTCAATTGTTTCTGATTTAAGATATTCCCCAAAAGTACTTGAAAATAATGATGAAAAGGTCCATGGTGTCAGGGAGCTTGTCTGTGCTGTTCCCCAATGTCTTCCAGCATCGAGCACAGTCCTGTTCCCTTGTGCATGCCAAATGGATATTTGTTAAATGAAAGAATAAACAACAGTTGAAATCCTTCTACCAGTCCAGCCCATATAGGTTCTTCGTAGGTGTTCTCTCACTGAATCTTGCAATGCTGCTAGGAAATAAGTATTGCCATGAGTAACACCATTCTCTTCTCCATCCATCAACAAGTGAATTACAAGGTAAACAGAGCTCCTCATTGTGTCAGGGATGCTCTGATTGCCCATGATTTTGCAGTGTGTCCTTCCATTGGAAAAGCAGGCAGGCACATTCTCCAGTCAAAGCCACAAAGCCAACAGTCAGTGTCATGATACTTAGCACCATCTACCTCTGGATAATGGACTTAGGGCAGATTCAATCTACAGAAAATCCTAAGGCTTCTTCCAACCAACCACCTCAATGTTCTCCTACATAAAAGCTGAGTTAGAAAGTGAAGGGCCAGTTCAAGGCAAAACTGCACAGAATTTGGCCTCAGATGTGCCCCACACCCAGCTCTCCAGGTCTGATGTGCTTCCTCGGAAAGGCTGGGAGGGTTGTTCCGGGAGCTTCCCCAGCCAGGAGCCCTCCCAGCAGCTCCATCCGCCATCAGCTGGTGCATTTGGCCTCTTCTCTGGACTCTTTGTCTGATTCATGAGAATATGCTCACAAATAGGTTAATCTTGGACTGGCAACATATTTATAGGAGTTTTCTAAGAAATGACACATCACCACAAATCAAAGACCACAGCAAACTCTGACAGGGACAGTTCCGGGCCCTGGGTCAGGGGCTGATGTGGCTGATGTTTAGGGGCAGCTGCACTTTGCCCTCCTTCTGTTTCTAGTCATGGAGGTCCCATTGTTCCCACCCTCCGAGCCTCTGTTCTAGCCAACTGCACCAGTGGAGAGGCAAGGGAAGGGGAGAAGAGGGAGGGGAAAAAAAAAAGACAAAGGAGAGGAAGCCAGGAATGAGGGGTGAGGAGAAGGAAAAGACAGGGTGGCATGGGAAGGAGAAAAGGGAAGAGTCAACCCCCTGAATGACAAAGTTAACCTAGAGTCGCAGTTGCATTCCATGGTTGACAATAAAGAGCTGAACCAGACATCAACATAATTACAAATTACAGGTACATGTAGACAATTCTCCTATGTGGCCCCATATTTTACACCTATAAGAAAGTACAAAGCATGGGAGTGAGTCAAAATTAAAATGGCAGAATATGGCCTAGTGCTAAGAGAAGTCTGGAATAAATCAAGATAAAGCAAAACACGAATGCAGGACTGCATCTGGCACGAACAACTTAGAAAGGTTTTAAAATTCCTAAAAAAAATTCCTTTCCTCGAAGATTTAAAAAAATCTTTAAAGCAATACAGAGCAGAGCCATAAGAACATGTCTTTTTTTTTTTTTTTTTTGGCTAGAATATACTGAATCATGTGATGTAGCATTTGGAGTCATATTGATTTGACTCTAAAATTCAATAGCAATCCACTGCAACGGAAAAGATCATAAACTAAAATGTTAGATCAGACCTTGATGCTAGATCAAGTTCAGATTTCAGTGAGTGTGAGCTTCAGCCACTAGCTTCAAAGCCACCCCACAAGGAAACAACTTTAAATGATCACAAAAGCTGTTAGAGAAAGGCGCGAGTAAGAGAAGTGAGACCATCATAGACAGATGTTGGAGCATCCCACATTCCTCTGGAACCCGACAGTTCGAATTTGAAACAACAAACTGTGTGGTTATTCCTTCAACCGTGCCAGGAGTAAGGCAGACTGTGTGTTTCTTGCAAAACTCAGAAAACAGCTCTAAGGTGGTGGGGGGCTTCCCCAAGGCTGGGTGTGCTTAGTGATGCCCAGAAACACCAGATGTGAGGTGAACTGATGCCCACTGAATTCCAAAACCTGAGCCATGCTTTCTCCCTCCTGCATCCACACTTTGGGTGGAGCTTAGGAACAGGTGGAAAGTGAAAGGGAGAGTGAAAGTAGGGTGCACAATGTACCTGCA